GACCCCCCATTTTGCTCGTTCAGAAAATTTGCCGAGAGCTGCAGTTGGAGGACGAAACTGTACAACACACCCGAAAACTCGTAAAAGTGTTGTGCTTCCAACTCTACGTGTCCACTGCAGGTGCGGAGAAGAAAACTCGGGCAGGGACGTTGAAGAAAGAAGATTGTGTAACAGCACGGCGTGGTCCATCGCATACGGCCAAAAATGTGGTGGAAGAGCTGCCTGCGTCAGCAGAGCACGCATCGTCTCCTGCAGAGTCCTGTTCATTCTTTCTGCTACCCCCATCTGTTGATGCGCATGTGGCAGCGACTGCTTCCGTTCGATGCCGAGTGTCTGAAGGTAGTCTGTGAAGGTGTTGCTGGTGTACTCCCCTGCACCATCGCTCTGAAATTCTTGCAGTTTTACGCCTGACTCTCGTTCAGCGACAGCGAGCCACGCGATGAAGACGGAGTGAGCGAGATGGCGTGCAGGTAAGTTAGCTGTCCAGACATAGCGTGTAGACGCTTCGATGAAGGTTATCACATACTTCTCGTCTTTAGGTCCTGCTTCAGACAGGTTGAGTATGTCGCTGTAGACTTTCTGCATCAGTTTATAACGGGTTGAGCCGGGAAAATGACTTGGAAACGGATCGTGAGTAAGGTTGGCAACTGGACAGGTGGTGCAAACCGTTGGACGAGACTGCGGCTTCATCTCCGTGCCATCAGGTAAAAGTAAAATGTTTTTATCAAGAACTGCTGTGCGGATTGAATGATTGAGTATGCCTTGTGATGGATGTCCTAGACGCTGATGCCATATATCGTCTGTGGCTTTGTCTCCTGAAGATCGCAGATAGAAATCGGAGTTAGTATAAAAAGAAGAAAGAAGAAAAGGAGAAAGTGCTGGTGACTTGTCAAGTTCCCCTTCGACAAAACGGTGAAGAGGTAACGTGACATGTGTTGGTGCTGCGGTAGTTGGAAGTATAATTCCTGATCCTGCTTCGGTTGATGTCATGGCAGGTATTGCGACGACAGCTTCTGTTGGACTCGGCTGCTCAGCTACTGCTTCCTGTTCTGCTGCTTCAACGACGCCAGGTTCATCAGCTGCAAGACCACTTATCTCTCCCCGAAGTGGTGCTGGAGTTCCTTGGAAGGCTGCTCGGGTATTATAAAACGTTCGCCACGCATTGGCACTTTCATTGGCGGTGTTGAATTCCCAGGTATTTAACGCGGTAAGGACGGCGGCTGCTGTTCGAGAAGCTGATGGTACGGAAGTTGCTCGAAAGTCAATATCCACGTTTTGATAATCTGTTTCTTCGGGTTGATCCCAGGGACCAAGTGAAAGGACGCGTTCAGAATCGCCAGAAGTTCCTTGTGCTGCGAACTGAAGTACCGATACGCCATGTTGAGTGGCGGCACGACCAAGGTAGGTATTAGTTGTACTGTGCCAGAGCTCTTGATCCATCGTCTCACAATTTCCTTGTGTGCGGATTTTGTGCGCCAGGAGTTGAGCTGTGGAAAGAAGGTTGAAACCAAGACCAGCGACGATAAGAACGTTCGTAACATGAAGTGAGTATCCCGTGTCGATAGATTCGAGCATGACACTGCCAACTGATCATGTCATTATTGTTTGTCCGTTGGCGACTGTAACAGGTATGGGACGACGAAGCGGACGCTGATTCGTGATGAAGCTTGTTTCGGCATAACACATATGCCATCCGCAGCAGCTGTCGAGATACCAGGTATTTGGTCCTGAAATTATGCGAGCAAGATTAGCGTAAACTTGAGGTAAAGGAATGCCTTCAGCACTTGTTGTTTCTTCAAGTCGGGTTTCGAAATCTGTTTCTGAAACATCAACTGTTGTAACACATCCAAAAACTCATTTTCCTGATGTGTTTGATGCGAAGACCGGCGGGCGTTGCTGCAACGTTGATGAACTCTGCGGCGGTTTCGGCATCTGCTGCTGCTGAGACGTTAACTGCTGCTGTGGCGGTTGTGTCTTCAGTGACTGCTGCGATCGGTGATACGGCTGCGAAGTGCTGCGACGATTTTGATGACGGCTGCGACAGTTTTGGTAAGTATGTCCTGGTTTCTTACAGAAATGGCAGAACGGATACTTTGGTGGATGTCGATGCTGTGTTTCTGGATTGGAGTAAAAACTTAAATGAACCCCCCTTTTCTGGTTGCGTTGTGACTGCAGGTCAAAATCTTGCTGCTCGGCTTGAAGATAAGAAGAAATTTCAGCTTCGGAGAGGTTGGGATTCATGCGCAGGAAGGCGCGCGTCTGTCGCCATTCGGGTCCAAGACCAGCCAGAAGGACCGTGAGATATATTTTACGAGGGAAGTATCCCCCACTTTTCTCCAGTTGATCACGTAGTGTACGGACACGGTTAACGTAATCCATTACGTTTTCGTTTGTCATCATCTGCACACTTGTCAGCTGCGAAAGTATTTTACTCACTGTTATCGTATCCTTTGCCATGTACACCCCTTTCAAATGGTTCCATGCAGTTTCGGCTGGTGTGAAACTTGAGTGAAATGATCGAACGCCGAGTTGCTCCTTCGGCGACAGGTTCCGTACAAGAACTGTATACGCCCCGAGAGAAGCGTGCAAGAAACTCTGCTGCTCCAGTTGAGTTCCCACTACAGGATATGTAAATTCGCCAGTGAAGAACGGCCATAGCCCAGCGGACTGCGCCAAAAGCTCAAACTCAAAACTCCAGGAGTAAAAATCCACTCCATTAAAAGGTACGGTTGTCTTGATTTGAGTATTGTTAAGTAGATTTGGAGGCTGAAAAACAAAGCCTGGCTGTTGCTGTTGTTGCTGTTGTTGCTGTTGTTGTTGTTGCGATTGCTGTTGCTGTGGTTGCTGTACTTGTGGTTGCTGATATTGCTGTTGCTGTACTTGCTGTGGTTGCTGAGCAGGAGAACGACCAAAGACATAAAAAGGATGCTGAAACTGCTGCGACTGCGGCTGCTGTACGAAATGTGAGAAAGCGAACGAACCAGTATTTGGAGTTGTTGCTCCACGCATGTAACTTGAGCCGTCAAGGCTCATTCCACTGAACGCAGATGAAATAGATTGCGTTGAGACTGGTGGCTGTACTGATGCTTGTTGCTGTGCTGTTGTCTGAGACTGTTGCTGCTGCGTTGCAGGTGCAATCGATGGAGCACCTGGAGTATTCACAGAAGGCGGATTCTGCATACCGATATTAGCATAGGCTGGTGGAAAGTGCCCAGAGGCTGAGAGACCAGCGGCGGTAGTGGAGGCATGTGCTCCAGTAGTCCCAGTAACTGATCCAGCAGATGGTGCTGGTGTTGGACCAGTCATAGTTGACGGTAGTCTTAATTCCAGATAGCTCTCATACCATGAAGTAAATCATCTGGTGTTGTAGTAGACTAAGTATAAAACTATTAACACGAACACTTGGCAAATCCTCAAGTGTTGGTCCAGGATCTTTGCTAGAATGGTAGACTAGTAAGACAGCGGAAGTCTTGTAAAATGTAAAGGTCAAGGTTGAATAACCTGAGTACGTGAACTTGTGAGTAATCAAAAGTTAATAAAGAAAAGACCTAACAAGTATTTATAGTTCTACGAAAAGTACCTATTCGCTATTGTACCTGTTCGTCACTATCGCGCTATGCGCCCTAGATGATATTGAAGAGGTGCGACTGTTCGCGTGACTGAAACGACTGTCCTATGACGAGCGCTATTTGCTGACGTCATCCTACGGACTTATGTTCTACAGTAGGATTCGGCACTAACTACACATAATCGACTTACAGAAATGCTAAGTACCAATTATATCACAACACTCGTAACCACAACAGCCCAACCCCCCGCCCCCCCCCACCCCCCCGCTCCCACCCCACCCCCCCACAACTTGTACTTCGGAGGGCAGGATTCCCCTTCCCCGCCCCTGCTATGTCGAATCTCCCCACCACCCCCAGCTCGATTACCCCCCCCCCCCCCCCTCCCCTTGCAATCTCGGTTTTCCCGCCCTTGAAATCTCCCGATTCTTCCCCAACCTCGGCCCGCCCGTGTCCTGATTTCGCCCAGCACGATCAAATTCGTGTTTTTTCTCACACACGTTTCACTCGAACGCGCCCCATCCACCTAATGACCCTCGGGCATTCAGAAATTCAACTTGGGAATTCTTGTTTCCCCCTGTCGCACGTGACTTTACCGCAGCTAAATTAGAGTGTGACGATCATAAATTTTACAAGGTTTTATCTGAATTTTCAGAAATCGGTAATCATTTTGTCTGGGAAATCAGGAAAAGAAAATCCACACATCTGATGATCAAACGGGCCCGAAGGTCCCGTCTGATCATCAGAAAGTGGAAAAAACCTAGGGAGGCCCCTGGTGATGTGATGTGAATCCTCAAGTGCTGCTATGCTATGCTAGTGCCAAGAGCATTATGGCATGGCAACAGCAGCAGGTAGTGAGCCCTGCAGGTTGAAAGTGATAACCATTCAGATTGAGAAAGCTTGCTTTCTTGTCCTTTGCAATAGGCATCGTTCTCATTTCAAGTGGGTCAACGACGGGGTCAATGTTGGGGTGGGCGGCACGTCAGACGAGGCAGCCGCGCGCCCCCTTTTTCGCTGGCGAGAAGGACCCGCCACTTGCAGGGCTGGCGCGTGCTGCTGCTCGGCGTCAGGCGCGAGTGGCTGGCTCTGCCCAGCCACTTGCGCGTGTGGCTCAGAAGGGGGCGGGGGCGCGTCAGCAGGCTGACTGTTGACCTCGCCCCCTCCCAGCAGAACGTCAACCCCAGTTGGGGCGGCCGCCCCTTCTTCTGCCCGACCCTTGTTGCGCCAGTCGCCCGCAATTTCCGTGGCTTGGCGAGTAGACTCGGAATTGGGGTGGTCGGTGACGACGTTGGACTCGCCGCGATTATTCGTAGTCGGTGTCAGAAACCCAGCCACTAACCACTGGGTTAAAAGGGCTTGTTGAATAGCGGGTAAGTGCGCCCATAGCCCCCCAGGCTCTGCACCTGTGGCCCTTCCCCGAGGATTTCAAGGGCAACCCCAGCGGGTCACTCAACACCCCCCCCCCCGCTGGGATAGGTGGAAGACACGAGCGCCTCTGCGGCGCTGGCACTGGGAGTTGAACCCAAGACCTTTGGCTCTGATACCATGTCAGAAACCCAGCCACTAACCACTGGGTTAAAAGGGCTTGTTGAATAGCGGGTAAGTGCGCCCATAGCCCCCCAGGCTCTGCACCTGTGGCCCTTCCCCGAGGATTTCAAGGGCAACCCCAGCGGGTCACTCAACAGTCGGAGCCATGACGGATCGGTGAAACTTAAAAATGTCGGAGAGAAGAGTCGAGGGAGACTCGCCGCGAGGCAAAGTTCTAGTCTTAGCCAGCTTGAACGGGAGAAAAGCTAGAGCGGGAAAGTTGACTGAGCCGTTTGAAAAATGAGAGACGTGGGTGGAGGTAAATGAGCTCCAACCCACGTATATGTAGTTGGAGAATTGCGAGTAGCGCGCTTCGACGATGCCCAACGCTTCAGTACAATCAGCTTCGCTTTCACAATACACAATTTTTGAAAAACACTACCGGTACGTGTGTTAAAAATTATAATGTTTCGTGATGGGTATGTCTTTTTCTTGCTCTCTTGCATTTACACATGAACCCCAATTACAGAGCAAGGCAGCAAAAGAGCACACTAGGCGCTCCTGTAATGCCATGGGTGCCATCAGGCATGGCCCATCAGAGTTTGCACACCAAGCCCTAAGCTTGCTGAATATAAACAAGGGCGCTATAAACAAATCGAATGCACAACCACCTGGGTTAACATTAATACGCAGCAGGCACAGGAGGATCTGATGGAGCACGTGGGTGCAGCATGCACATAAGCGGGGGCGGGGCATGTGCGGACGTTGCGCGCAGCATGCATTTGTCGGTTTAGGCGTTGGTAAGAGCGTGTGCGGGAGCATTTAGAAGACATCTGGGTGAAAGCGGTTGGGGATGGTCCCTGTGCCTTGAGCCTTCTGGAGGTGCAAGCTGAGGGCGTAGTTGCTCACCTGCCAGCCATAGAATCATCACAAGAACCCCATCCCCGCCCATACAAGCACCCCCAGCGAAAGCATCGTGAGATTAGATGAATTACAAGATTGAAGGACAAATCAAAAGGCACAACCTAAAGCTAGCCTTGGAAACTAAGCTAGCCTTGAATCATACTTTTGTCCGACGGGAAATAAGAGGATGGTGGAGTTGCCGGACTAGAGGAAACAGCTCCAACATGCAAACAAACGTAAAAGGGTAACCGAAACTGCACCAAAGCATGCCTTACATGCACCAGCTGCCTAGCCCGCTATGGTAAACCACACGTTAAGAGAGTACAGGTACCTACCAAACCATTTCCCGAGGGCCCTGCCTACCTCCAGTTTCCGCAGCTGCTGCTGGTACTGTGCCAAGGCCTGCTTTAACTGCACACTGCCTGCATCACAATCAACATCTTCATTTAACAACGGGGATTGAGATCTTACCTCTAACTTCCGCAGCTGCTCCTGGTAATGCGCCAGGGCCTGCTTCAACTGCACCAGCTCCTCCTCCCGTGCTTGGTGCTCCCGCTGCCTCTCATGCTGTATGGCCACCGCCCGCTTCAAGATCGCATTCTCCTTCACCAGCGCCGCCATCTGGTGCTGCGCTGCCTGTTCATTGGAAGGAGTGAAGAATCACGGGAGGGAGGTGCAACGGAAGGAGGAGCAACAGAGGGAGCGGCAGCAGATGGAGGGGCAGCAGGTGGCATCGTGCATGCGTGGAAACGGTACGTGTTTGGACAATGAACTCGAGGAACTGTTGGAGGAGGAAAAAGACAAAAAACCACATGGCAGGTGGGAGGAAAGCTCCACTTCACGCACCTGTGGAAGGCCAGCGGAGGCACCAACAGAACCAGACCCAGCAGCAGCAGCAGCAGCGGAAGCTTCACATCGTTTCCGCACTTCTTTCTCGAACTGCTCCAGAACCGTGGCTGCCTTTTGCCTGACGTCAGCAACGTCCACCGCTGACATCATCTCCTGCACCACCAGCTCCACCCACTCTGCACCGCTGGACGGCACCCCATCTCCCTCCCTCCCCCCTCCTCCTCCTGCTGCTGCTGCTGCTGCTGCCGCTGCTAGCGCTTCTGCTGCTGTTAATTCTAACGCTGACGCAGAAGCAGCCTGACCTGGCAGCGTCTCTTGCAGGGGCTGCGCTTGCCCTGATGCCGGAGAAAGTTGATCCGCGGCTGATAGATGAAACGGGTGAAATGAAACGGGTGAAATGAAAGATGGCGGGATGACACGAGAGAGGGGGGGAACGGAGCTCAAGAGGGCATTCGCGAGGACATGCAGGAGATTTGGGTCGGAAAAAAAGAAAAGAGGGATTTAGAAGGACAACGGGACCATTCTTGCACGTGCGCAACCTAAAACTACTGCGAGTGATAGAACCTACCGCGTGCTGCGGAAGGATCAGCGGGCTGGGCCTGCGTTAGCGCGGCGTTATCGGCGGCGATGATGCGCAAGCCCTTGAGCGACTGGATGGCGGAGTCGATGTCGTGATTGCACGCTTCCAACACCTGGTGGACGACCTGCCACATAGCAGCGAGAAGGGAGATAAGATTCCGCTTAGGAGTTAAATCAGATTAGAGGGATTCCAGTAAGCACGCTTCCAACACCTGGTGGATGACCTGCCACATAGCAGCGAGAAGGGCGATGGATTCCGCTAAGGAAATCAATTTTGAGGGATTCCAACAAACACGTTTCCAACACCTGATTAACGACCTGCTAGCCTCAACAACGCTCGGGAAATGACGCTCACAAGTCCAATTGAAACGGTGCATTGAGACGGAAGCGAGTCTTACAAAAAAGAAAAAGAAAAAAAAAGGGGGGCATCAAACACCGCGGTAAGGAGCGTGCTCGCATGCTCCTCCACTCCACCAAACATGCTTCGCAGCACGACAGGCCAACGAGCGCAGAATACGAAATCACCGTGTGTGCACCTTCTAGAACGTTAGGATTCCAACAAGCACGCTACCATACCTGATGAACGACCTGCGACAGGGAGAGGACCGAGTCTCGGCAAGGCTTAGGAATGGCGTTCACAAGACCAACGGTGCATCGAGGCAGAAGCGAAATTATATACATAAAAAGAAGAAATAATAAAAACAATATATCAAACAGAGCGTGCTCACCTGCTCCTCCACTCCACCGAACATGCTTCGCAGCAGCACCACCTTTTCCGCCAACGACCCTCCTCTACCTCCCACGCCGATGCTCGCCGACGAAGGTTGTAACCAGCGAGCGCGCTTGGTAACGGGCGGCAAGGGGACGTAGATGCTCTCGTCGAAAGCGGACCGGCTGGTTGGGTGGAAGACCTCGACCGTGCTCTCCTCGAACGCTGACCGCTTACCGCAGACGATCGCCGACATCGCGACTAACGGCCGTCAGGCGTGAGGTGACGGCGAAAGGAGCCTCGCCGGCTCCCTCCACCCCCTCTCTGCCACTTTCTAAGATATTTTTGGAACCGAGTAGCCTAAGCTGAACTAGGCGCTTGAGCCTGGCGTTCGAGGCCAGGGCTTAAAGCTGGGTTGATAGTATAATCGGCGACAGCGAAACAGTGAGAATCACCGCAGTGCACGATGGGAGATTGGCAGGTTTAATCTACAAGAAAAACCAGGTTTAATCTACCAGGAAACCACTCAGGCTGCTACCCGGCCGCAGACGATACTCCTCGCGAAACTCGAATCCACGTCCTAGTTGAGCATCAAAGAAGACAGCGCAAGTGCTGAGCTAGGCGAGCACCCGACACTGAGCCGAACAACCAGCCACTTAGGAGACCCAAGAAAACTGTGGAGGTTGGGGTTTCACCTGGATTGATGTTGGTGTGTTCGTTGAGAATCTGGGATTGCTGCTCATGGCTGCTGTGCTGCGCTGATGGGTGGAGGATGATGTGGGGGAGGGTTGGAGGAGAAAGAGAATGCCTGGTTCGGGTGGTGTATCTTGCCGGAAGGTCGTTCGAGCTGGTTTGAAAACGCTTCTACATGGTGCGGTAGAATACAGTACGTTTCAGTGCGGTATTCTATGGGCTGCTCTCCTCAGAGCGCTTGGAGGGAAGGGAAGGGAGGGAGCGACAGCAATCACGAATTTGCTCGCCAACCAACGACTGTCTTCTGGGAAAAGAGGTCCGGCGAACAGCTGTGCGATAGTGGAATTCACGCATGACTGGCTTTCAATGTTCACATGCGACAGGGTGTGTGCGACGAGACCATTCATTGAGCGTATCATGCTGCTCAAGAAGCGCCTGCGACTTCGCAGCGGGGTCGTGGGAGTCGCCTGAGGAGTGGTCGCGTCGCGTGGTGCTGCTTTGTAACATCGGAGCTCCTGCGACTCTACGGTATTGGCCAGTTGATGGCCAGCGAGGAGACGAGCGAAGACAACCAGCCCCCTGCAAATTCGCCTGTTGTCACGGAATCCAGCCAATCCATTGTCACTCATTATTAACGGCTGCGCTACCCGTTAAGTTACGATAACAAATTAAATATCAGAATTAGCGAGGATTTCACAACTCCAAATTCCCCGTTGACCACCAGCACGGAAACCAATGCCCCAGGCGTCCCCGCATTGAGCAGATTTCCCGCTTGCACGAACCCATCGTTGTGGCTGGCTCGTTGTGACTTCGAACTTCGAGATCAACGACCGTCGTTATGTCGCTCAGCACGGCAAGGAACTCGTTAATCCTCTTATGTTCCCATTTTTCTACCCCTACCCTTTCGCGTTTCACCCGCTAGTCTCGCATTCACCCTTCCTAGTGTCGCATTCACCCGCTGGTGTCTCATTCACCCCGCTGGTGTCGCATTCACCCTTTCACGCACCAATGGCATCTGATCGGCCAGGTTCTAATCCGCAATACTCGATTCCTATTGGCGGAGCGACAGGCGGGTTAGGAGGCCTGAGCCAGCCGCATTACCGAGCCTACGACCGACCCTCGGCAATGACGCTAGGCTCGGACTCGTCCCCCGTGGCGGACGCTAGGCTCGGAGACGCTAGGCTCGGCGTTTCCGCCTCGGCCGCGCACGGCGGGCCCCCGCCAAGCCCGGGACCCAGGCGGAAGCTGCAGCAGAAGTTTCTGGCGGACGTGGTTAAGTGGCTGGTGGGATTCGTTATTATCACATCCTTCTGTAGCCTCTTGGTGAGCTATGGGGGTTGAGGGGGGGAGGGGGGCCGGGGGGCGGGGAAGGGGGGACTCGATGAGGCGTTGAGGAATGGGAGGGTTGAATCGCACTGACTCACATTGTCTCGCACTGACTCACATTGTCTCGCATTGGCTTGTATCGACTTGGATTGCCTCCCATTGACCCGCTCTGACTCGCATTGGCTCGCTTTATTTGTCCTAATACTGTTTCACCTGCTGTGATGCACATAACTACGTAAGTATCGACACGCTTACTCCCCTCGGCCCACACGTGTCCTCTCTTCTGGCAGTACGTTGGGTCGCTGACAGACGCCCTGAGAAAGGAAGACATCACCACCTCGCCCCTCATGTCCAGGTGAGTGTCTCGTGTGTGTGACTATATAGGGTACGACTATCTAGGATGAGTGATATATGCGTGGCTTCTAGAGGAAGGCCTCCCTCAGGCGCCTTATAGAGGCTCACTGCCGCCTCCCATTCCAAATCCTCCCCTCCCACCGCCTCTGCCCCCCTTCCACCCATTTTCCTTCCGGCACCGCATCCCCCAGCATCACCCACCACGAGAGCATGCAGTCGGAGCAGATGACGTCCCTCTCAGCCACGGTGGCCGAGATCAACAACCGCACCAACGCTGCCCTGCACTCCCTCTCGCTCCTCCTCTCCCGCCTCGACCAGCAGCAAACCCACTCCCTCACTCTCGAAAACGAGCTCGCGGCTCTCACCACCGCCGCCACCACCCACCTCTCCGACCCGCCCCCCCTCTCGGCCTCCGCTCTCAACTCCCTCTTAGCTAAGCACTCCGGGCAGCTCTCGGCAAATTCCGAAAAGCTGACCGAAAACTTCAAGAGGGAGCTCCTAGATGAGGTGGTTTCAGTGAAGGAGGTGATTCTAAGGGTGGCGGGGCCGGTGGCTCAAGCAGGGTTGAGACAGGAGCTGCAGGGAGAGCTTGAGAAAGTAACAAAGGGAGTGGTGGGATCGGTGTCTGCAGCGGTGGGAGAGCAGAGCAAGGGGGTAGTTATGGAACTTAGTAAAGTGCTGGGGGAGAGGAGCAAAGAGGCAGCGGCAGAAACGGCTAAGATAGGGGAGAGGGTCGCTTCTGAAGCTGCAGCGGCGGCGGCTGCTGCTGTGGTGGCGAAAGTGGGGCAAGAGATGGGCCTGAGACAGGGGGGGGGGGGGGAGCAGGGGGGGATGCAGGGGGAGGGAGTTGGGGGGAGTGATGGGAAGGAGCTGAAGTCCCTGCATGAGTCTCTGCAGGTGTCGATTAAGGAGGCTGCGGAGAGAGTGGCTGAGTTGGTGCGGCACGCCGAGCAGATCAAGACCCACTTGGCCGCTGTGCCCTCTTCTGTTCCCGTGAACAGTGGCGTGAACAGTGCTGTGAACAGCGCGGTCGAGAGATTGGAGCGGGTTGCTCGGCAGCTAGTGGAGAGAGGAGGAGGAGGAGGAGGAGGAGGGGAGAGGAGAGGGGGGAGGAATGGCGGAGGAGGGGAGGAGGCAGAGAGAATGAAGGGAGAGCTGGAGAGGAAGGTACGAGAAGAGCAGATGCACTAGCCTTTACAATTTTGGTGCTGTGCCTCCAGTCTTGTTTTCTCACCACTCCTCAGCCCCCATCCCATCCTTTCCCCTTCCTCCTCCCCACCCTCCCCAACTGCCTGCCTCCCCATGGATCCCTCCAAACACCAATGGGTGTCTTCCTATGAGCCACTCCCCCCCCAATTAACAGCACGCCTCCCCTCAAGCCCGCATCTGAGCCCCCTTTTCCCCCCACTCTCACCAGTAACCTCCCCATCAAACTCTCCCAATCCGCAGGACGAGATCATCTCTCAGCTGCAGGCGCAGCTCTCTCTCACCCACGGCCGGGCGTTGGGCACTGGGGCCTGCTGCTGCCGCACACGGCGCAATGGGCTGTGCATTGCCTTCTCCCAAACCCCCATCTGAACCCCCTATCCCCCTCGCTCTCCCTATCCGCAGGACGAGATCATCTCCCAGCTGCAGGCACGGCTCTCAGCCACAGCTGGCCATGGCGCAATGGGGGCTGTGCGGGCCTCACAAGGCGCATCACCCCATGCTTTGCCCAGATTCGGGGGCTACAGCTTCGTGCATTTCAGGTGAAGCCCTTTTTTAGTCGCCTCAAAAGCCGCCTCAAGCATATGCCCAGATTCGGTGGCTACAGTTCGTGCATTTCACGTGAAGTCAGCTCTCAGCCTTGGCTGGTCACGGCACACTGAGGCCTGCTGCTGCTGCCTCACAGGCCGCATCACCCCATGCTTTGCCCAGATTCGGGGGCTACAGATTGGTGCATTTCAGGTGAAACTTTGTGCACACGTTCCCCCTTCCTTCTCCTTCACCTCTCCCCTTGATTCCTTGAGGTGCCTCATAACCCCCCTGACAATTCTCCCAACCTTCCCACCCTTCTCCCCGTCACCCCTTCCCCCCATCACCCCTTCCCCCCGTCACCCCTTCCCCCCGTCACCCCATCACAGCTCTCACAGGGTGGGGGAGGCGTCCTTCGCAGCAGTGGGGTTGGGGCTAAGGGCAGCTCGAGACCTGCGCCGCGCCAGCCACTGTGTGTGCGTCCCACCCTGCTCTGCTGCCATTGCTCTCGTCCGCCCTGCTCTGCTGCCATTGCTCTCGTCCCGCCCTTGCCTGCATATCGAGTGTCTGTTGTCAATTCTCGGTTCTGATTGTTGGCTGTCGGTTGTCAGCTGTCAGCTGTCGGCTGTCAGCTGTCGGCTGCTGGTTGTCAGCTGTCGGCTGTCAGCTGTCGGTTGTCAGTTGTCGGTTGTCTGCTGTCGGGTGTCGGTTGTCCTCGGTCGGGTGTTGGGTGTCGGCTGTCGGGTGTCGGCTCCTGCGTTCCACCCACGCCTGAGTCCCATCCTCAGCCTGAGTCCCATCCTCAGCCTGAGTCCCATCCTCAGCCTGTGTCCCATCCTCAGCCTGAGTCCCATCCTCAGCCTGTGTCCCATCCTCAGCCTGAGTCCCATCCTCAGCCTGAGTCCCATCCTCAGCCTGAGTCCCATCCTCAGCCTGAGTCCCATCCTCAGCCTGTGTCCCATCCTCAGCCTGAGTCCCATCCTCAGCCTGAGTCCCATCCTCAGCCTGAGTCCCATCCTCAGCCTGAGTCCCATCCTCAGCCTGAGTCCCATCCTCAGCCTGAGTCCCATCCTCAGCCTGAGTCCCATCCTCAGCCTGAGTCCCATCCTCAGCCTGAGTCCCATCCTCAGCCTGAGTCCCATCCTCAGCCTGAGTCCCATCCTCAGCCTGAGTCCCATCCTCAGCCTGAGTCCCATCCTCAGCCTGAGTCCCATCCTCAGCCTGAGTCCCATCCTCAGCCTGAGTCCCATCCTCAGCCTGAGTCCCATCCTCAGCCTGAGTCCCATCCTCAGCCTGAGTCCCATCCTCAGCCTGTGTCCCATCCTCAGCCTGAGTCCCATCCTCAGCCTGAGTCCCATCCTCAGCCTGTGTCCCATCCTCAGCCTGAGTCCCATCCTCAGCCTGAGTCCCATCCTCAGCCTGAGTCCCATCCTCAGCCTGAGTCCCATCCTCAGCCTGTGTCCCATCCTCAGCCTGTGTCCCATCCTCAGCCTGTGTCCCATCCTCAGCCTGAGTCCCATCCTCAGCCTGAGTCCCATCCTCAGCCTGAGTCCCATCCTCAGCCTGTGTCCCATCCTCAGCCTGAGTCCCATCCTCAGCCTGTGTCCCATCCTCAGCCTGAGTCCCATCCTCAGCCTGTGTCCCATCCTCAGCCTGAGTCCCATCCTCAGCCTGAGTCCCATCCTCAGCCTGAGTCCCATCCTCAGCCTGAGTCCCATCCTCAGCCTGAGTCCCATCCTCAGCCTGAGTCCCATCCTCAGCCTGAGTCCCATCCTCAGCCTGAGTCCCATCCTCAGCCTGAGTCCCATCCTCAGCCTGAGTCCCATCCTCAGCCTGAGTCCCATCCTCAGCCTGAGTCCCATCCTCAGCCTGAGTCCCATCCTCAGCCTGTGTCCCATCCTCAGCCTGTGTCCCATCCTCAGCCTGAGTCCCATCCTCAGCCTGTGTCCCATCCTCAGCCTGAGTCCCATCCTCAGCCTGAGTCCCATCCTCAGCCTGAGTCCCATCCTCAGCCTGAGTCCCATCCTCAGCCTGTGTCCCATCCTCAGCCTGTGTCCCATCCTCAGCCTGTGTCCCATCCTCAGCCTGAGTCCCATCCTCAGCCTGAGTCCCATCCTCAGCCTGAGTCCCATCCTCAGCCTGTGTCCCATCCTCAGCCTGAGTCCCATCCTCAGCCTGTGTCCCATCCTCAGCCTGAGTCCCATCCTCAGCCTGTGTCCCATCCTCAGCCTGAGTCCCATCCTCAGCCTGAGTCCCATCCTCAGCCTGAGTCCCATCCTCAGCCTGTGTCCTGCCTTGCTCCTTCGCTTCTTCCTCTCTGCTCTCTCTTCTCGTTCGCTCCTTGCCTCGTCTGCTCGTCTGCCGTTTTCCTTTCAGAGCTCTCCTCTGCTGCCGTCTGCCGTTTCTCTGCTGCGGCTCACTCCCTGCTTCTTGATTCCTTGTCCTCAAGTCCTCCATGTTCCCCTGTCTAGCCTTCCCTGTCTAGCCTTCCCTGTCTAGCCTTCCCTGTCCAGCCTTCCCTGTCCGGCCTTCGCTGTCTAGCCTTCCCTGTCCAGCCTTCCCTGTCGGAACGCTCAGGTTTCTCTCTTCCCACACGTCTCCTTTTTCTGTCCGCTCCCCCCTTCTTTCCCAAACCCCCCCCCCACCCCACAGATGGAAACAATCCAACCAATCCTCGTCCACCTCAGCCTCATCCGCCACGTCAGCGCCATCGGCCCCGTCATCATTACCAGCAGAGGAAGCAGCAGTGACGGGATCGCTCCGCATCGTCTACCCGTCAGACAGCAGAGAGACGACCTACGAGACGGTCATTCTACTCTGCTCGTTCCCCTCCCCTGTGCCTCCCGGTGAAGGGGGAACAATCGCTGCTGTGGTGGACGATGAGCCCATCCCCCTGCTGCTACAAGGGTGCGTGCACTGTTGCCTTTCCCTCTCGTTCTCACTCCATCCCTCGCTGCTGAAGATCAGGTGGGTTCGACCCGCAGCAGGCCACAGAGTAGTCTCTTAGATCGGATACTAAGCTAGGCTAGTAAGGAAACCCAAAGAAAGGCAAGAAAGGTAACGCAAAATCGTGGCTAGTAAGGAAACCCATTCTCACTCCATCCCTCGCTGCTGTGCCTCCTTGTGAAGAGCGGGTGGCTGGTGCTGTGGTGGACGACGAGCCCATGCCCCTGCTGCAGCAACGGCGTGTTGTTCTGCAACAATCAGAGCCCTCCACTCTGACTCTGAACGCCGAGCTCGTCTTCACCGCTCTCAATTGCTACAACCCGTGTTTTCCTCAGCCTCAGTCCTCCCCCTCTCCCTTCACCCCCTCTCCCTTCACCCCCTCTCCCTTCACCCCCTCTCCCTTCACCCCCTCTCTCTTCGCCCCCTCTCCCTTCACCCCCTCTCCCTGCCCACACCCATCATCCGTTCCCTGCAGCTCTGTCAAAAACCCAGCATTCACAACCCCCTCTCTCTCCACCGACCACCCACCCTCCTCCCCTGCCCTCCCCTTCCTCACCACCCTCTGTCTCCCCCGTCTCTACAGCCCCTCCATCTTCCCCCGCTCCCTCTGCGAGTTCCTCCACTACCAGTTGCTCAATCTACCACTCCGTTTTTCTCCCCATCCTCACTTTGCCCCTTTTCCTTTCCCTCTCCCCCTTCCCTTCACCCCATTCCCAGCAGCAGCAGCAGCAGCAGCAGAAGCTCCTCCGCTCCTCCCGCCGCCCTCCCCTTCCTTACCACCCTCTGTCTCCCCCCGCTCTACGGCCCCTCCATCCTCCCCCGCTCTCTCCTCGAGTTCCTCCACTACCACCGCCTCTTTGGCGCCGACCACTCCACGCTCTACGACGCGGGCGGCGCCACGTCAGCAGTCCGCACCACGCTGGCCGCTGACGTGGCGCGGGGCCGCGTCGAGATCATCTCCCTCGACGGAATCCAGCCGTTCAATCCGTGGAACCACGGGCAAATCCTGGCCCTCCATGACTGCCTGTACCGCGCCCGAGTCTCCTCCCAGTGGGTGCTGTACCTCGACATGGACGATTTCCTCTACCTCCCTCCCTCCACCGTCCCGCTCCCCATCCCTCCTCTCCAAGCCTTCCTCTCTCGCTTCCCCTCCCCTCCCTCCTCCCCCTCCTCCCCCTCCTCTTCCACTCCTGCCACTGAAGCCGCCACCACCACCAGCACCGCATCTCACCCAGCAGCACCCACCCCACAGTCCCCCCCACCACCGGCAGTCATCACCTTCGGGTCGCTCTGGTTCAGCGTCCGTCAGTGCCGGCCGCGCATCGAGCACGAAGAGGAGGTGCTCGGCGTTCCCCAGTACGCGCACGAGTTCACAGACTACGAGGAGGCGAAGCAAGCACTCCTGCCGCAGTCAGCGGACGAGGCGTGGGGCGGGCAGCGGGATGACGAGTTTCTGATTGAGAGATTCGTGTTCCACTGGCCCGACCCCGCGTGCCACAGCAACGGGGAGGGCGGGCGGTTTGTGAGTCCAAAGATGTGCCTTGGGGAGCAGGGCCACCGCAAGTTCATCGTTGACCCCAGGAAGGTGGGTGTTGGCACGGGTGTGTTTGGCCCTCACAGCGAAGACGCTCCAACGCTATCTCTCCTGAGTCTGAACACAGACAACTTGCTGCTGCTGCACTACCAGGGGAGACTTTTGAGTCGACTAAAAAATCGACTCATTACACACGGATTTTTGAGTCCACTCAAAAGTCATCTCCCTTCAGACAACCTGCCCCTCCTGCACTACCAGGGGCTGTTGCTGGTGGGCGACCTGCACGTGTGCATGTGCTCTCCCTTTCTCCCACAAACCCTCCTTCCTCGTTCCCCCCCAGGTGGAGCGCATGCGTGTGTTTGGCCCTCGCAGTGAAGATGCGCCCACTCTGCCTCTCCTCGACCTGAGCACGGACGACTTGCTGCTGCTGCACTACCGCAAGCTGGGGCTGGTGGGCGACCTGCACATGTGCGTGTGCTCTCCCTTTCTCTCTCAGTCCCCCCCATCCCCCCATCCCTCCGGTGCCAGGTGGACCGCATGGGTGTGTTTGGGCCACATAGCGAAGATGCCCCCACCCTATCGCTCCTCAACCTCTCGACCGATGACTTCCTCCTACTGCACTACCGCGAGCTGGGGCTGGTGGCGGACCTGCACGTGTGCAACGAGACGGTGCGGGTGAGGGACAGCGTGGGGTGGTGGCACAACAGCACCACGTATGCGCGGTCCGCGTGGCAGCTCAGGCAGAAGGTCCACTGCAGCTTCACGCAACATGGGGTGAGCGGAGGACGAAGGTGTCTAATGGGTTGATAATGCTAGTATTTTGCTTGTTCTTTCTTTCGGTTTCCTCTGCAGATTTCACTACGTTATATTTGCTTGTTCCACCCAATCTGCGTTGTTCCTTTCATCCGATTCTTTCGCTCGAGTTCCTCTCCTCCTCTTGTACCTCGTGCTTCTTCACAAGAAATCACATCTTCAGTATAATTCTTGCTCCCTATCCTCTCACTTGTCTCGTGCTGCATATTCTCCAGTGTGAAGACCCCACTCATGAAGCCTTTTCACGTTCGTAGCTTGGATTTCCCGGATGAATATAGACGTAATGTCATAGCATATGTTTTTTGTTAAAAGAAGCCATTAGATGGTAAATTATCCCAGATTTGAGAGCTCATAAGCCGTTTCACTATACTAATGACTAATGATGTTACCTAATCAGGCCGACAGGAATGGGGACACCAGCTGTTCCCTGACAACCACGGGATTGCCTGCTGGTGCAGGGGCAAGCTCAGCCAATCAGCGGCTCTGCGTCAGTTTTCCCGCGTCGTTCACTCACCCCAGATCACCCCAAGGTGCGCGGAAACCTTGGCCCTGGCGGAGCAAGAAATGAGCGGGCGGAGAGCTCGGCGCGCTGTCCCGCTCCGCGCGCACCCATCACTCGCTCTCCGATATTCATGGAAAGCCAAGACTGATGCCAAATGCGCCAGTGCATCTGACTAAGGAGAAAGGTACTGACGAGCTAACAGAACCGCGGTCTTGGGGAGCACCTAAGACCTGCAGTCTTGGGATGTTCTAGCGGCTCCAGAGCTAAGGAGGCGTAGTGCGCCGTCTAGCCTCTTCCATAGCAAATCTGGCAGGGTTAAGTTATTGATCGCTCCCTACAGTCGCACGAGTGTTATTATTCTTCGCCAGTCGAACGGATCTATCGCTTGCCGTCGCAATGGTGGCATCTGACGGCTTGGCTTTGCCAGCGCAGACAGCGCAGTCGCACATTCCACTCGCGACAGGGTTAGCGGCCGATGCTGGCGCAACAACTGGCGCATCGTCCATCGATGAGCGATACCTCGAGGTACCGCGCAGGTGCTTCGATGTTCCCGCTAGAGCCATGACCGTTACAGTGCAGAAGATCACTCCTGTATTTCGTTATTGTCTGTAGTCGACCTAAGACGTTCTTCGTTCGTTCGATCGCTTTCGAGTTATTTTCCTTTGTGCGATTCCTCGAGCTCTCTTCTTGGTTCGTACGACTCCTCACTCGCTGCTGTAATGTCGCTTTCGCTCCTTTCAGTCGCAGGCTCGTCGCTGGCTGTCGCAGACTTTATCGCGATCGCTTCCCGCCGATAAGTCGCTGAGCGATCTGCTGGGGGATGGCGAAATACTGTGAGCCGTCGATGCTTCTTAGCTCCACTCTGAGTCGTCGATGCTTCTTAGCTCCTCTCTGAGTCGTCGATGCTTTTAGTTCCTCTTTGAGCCGTCGATGCTTCTAGCTCCGTCGATGCTTCTAGCTCCTCTTTGAGCCGTCGATGCTTCTAGCTCCGTCGATGCTTCTAGCTCCTCTTTGAGCCGTCGATGCTTCTTAGCTCCTCTCTGGCTCTTCGAGCGGCTGTCATGCGTTGTTCATTTCTTCTGGCACCGACACCCTTCTCTCCTCTTGCCTTTTCCTCCTTTCTGTTCCCCTCCCTCTAGTCTCCAGCTCGCCTCTTCGGTGCAGCCGCTGCTCTCGCCTGACTCTCTCCCACGCTTTCTCCCTGTCTCCCTCTCCTCCCCTTCCCCCTCCTCCCTCCTCTCCTCCCCTCTCCCCTCCTCCCTCCTCTCCCCCCGGCACCAGGCTCGAGCTCGCGTGTTTGGTGCAGCAGCTACTCTCGCCTGACCCCTCCGCCGCTGCCGGCGCCCCCCTGACTCTGGACTTCGACGCTGCTCCGCCTGCAAACCCCCCTGCGCCATCCGCTGCTGCTCCCGCCGCCTCTGGCGAGAGAGGCGGCGGCGGCGGAAGTGGTGGTGCCCGCAAGAGCAGCCCAAGCGGAAGCTCCAGTGAGGAGAGCGAGAGAGAGGGGGGCTTTAAGCGCGCGTACTGGCACGCGTGCACCAACGTGGAGCGGTTCCTCAAGGTAAGCCTTCAGGAGCTCGTGGTGCAGCATGGTTTCCGATGTGTGTGTCGCCACGTGGGGCTCAAAGGCGTGTCACTGTTCACGTCCGCCGACCTCATGGATCTCAGGGACGTCAACCCCCCCGTTCCTCCGCCCCCCTACATCTTTTCAATCACTCCACTTCTAGGTGTGTCGCCACGTGGGGCTCAAGGACGTGTCACTGTTCACGACCCCCGACCACATCGACCGCAGGGACGTCAACCCCACGCCTTTCCCTCGTTCCCTTCCCCCCCCCCCTTGTTTCCTACACCCCCCTTGTAGGTGTGTCGCCACGTGGGCCTCAAGGACGTGTCGCTGTTCACCTCGCCCGACCTCATGGACCGCAGGGACGTTCGGCGCGTGTGCCTCTGCCTGCGCACGCTGTCGAAACGGCTTGTAGGGATCAGGGTACGAATCATATGGTACTATAGTATGCCTGCCCGCCTCAAGATTCTGACTGCGTCCTAGTTAGTTAGCAGTAGGCCTCCTCTGTTTCTCGCCGCATGTTCCCATCCCTTTCCTGGGTGGCTCGCCCGCTGTCCCTTCTGTGCGTCTTTCCCCCGTCCCCCCTCCCTCCCGTCCTTTGCTTGCAGGAATTCGACAGCATTCTAGTGACGGCCTCCTTTGCTGCTCGCCAGAGACTCACCTCTCCTCCGTTCTCTCTTTCTCATCTGTCCTGTCCCACCTCTCTTGCTCCTCCCCCTCCCTCCCTCCCCGTTCCCTCCTCTCCTTTCCTCTCAGAATTTTGACGGCATTCTAGTGGCGGCCTCTTCCACTGCTCGCCAGAGACTCATCTCCTCCCGCCCGTCCGCTGTCCCCTCTGTGCGTCTTTCCGCCGCCCCTCCCACCTCTTCTTTGCTCTCAGGACTTCGACGGCATTCTAGTGACGGCCTCCTCTTCTGCTCGCCAGAGACTCATCTCCTCCTCTTCCTCCTTCGGCCCCTCCTCCTCCTTCTCTCACTCATCCTTCCCAGACGCTTGTGCTCCCCCCTCATCTCTTGCCCCTCCTGCTCGCCTTGCCCGCTCTGCTACCACCGCTCCTTCTTCCGCCGCCCTTCCTTCTGCTGCCCGTCCGTCCACCGCCTTTCCTTCATGCCCTGTTCCTTCCGAGCCGTCCGTGCCTGCTGCTGACGTCTCCACTCTCATAGCCACCACCACTCTTCCAACCGCCACTGCTACTGCTGCTGCTGTTGGTGCTGTTGGTTCTGGCACAGAGTCACCAAAATTAGGGGCGGCAGATCCAGGCACGGCGGGTTCAAGGGCAGCAGACTCAGGGGCGGCGGATTCAAAGGCGGCAGACTCAGGGGCGGCAGACTCAGGGGCGGCAGATACAGAGGTGCTTTCAAGCAGCATCAAAGAACCAGGTGTTTTCTCAGGTAGGGAGAGTGGCGTGCGGGGCAGCAGTGCTGCAGGTGCTGCTGATGCTGCTGCTGCTGCTGCTGCTCCTGCTGCTGCAGGCGGTGCAGGTGCTGCAGGTGTAGCTTCGCAGACACATGGCATTCCAGCCCGGAATGCACCCGCGTGGTTTGGGCTGAACGAGGAGGAGAAGCAGAGCATGGTGGGTGACATGCCTGCTGGCCTGCCATCACTCCGCGTGCATAGGGGACGACCGGGGGAGAATAGGCAGAGAGCTCAGCAGCCCGAGAAGCCACAACAGCAGCAGCAGCGGCGTCGGCAGCAGCAGGAGGAGGAGGGTAGTGGCCTCACCTCAGCAGCGGCAGTGCCAGCATCATCATCAGCAGCAGCAGGAGATGGTGTAGGTGTGCGATCACACTATTGGAGGGCCGTCCGGGCGGAGGCACTGCATGGGGGCCATGAGCAGCGGTATCAGCATCAGCATGAGAATCACACTCAGTACCAGAGTCAGCATCAGCATCCGCATGAGAATGAGCATCGGTACCATGGTGTTGGGAAGGAGGCCGTGAGCAATCATCTCCCAAGGAGTGCGGCGGCTGCAAGAGCTGCTCTGGAGGACGTCTCGCCTCGCCTGCTTCCTCCCGACCCCACGTCCCTCACTCCGGTGCTTGTACGTTCCGAGGTGACTTTAGAGGCGACTCAAAACCCCCGCATCCCTCACTCCGGTGCTTGTACGACCCCTCCCCCGCTCCTGTTCCCAAAGCCACTCCCCCTCTTGTTCCCCCCTGCATTCCCAACCCCATGCACACAACACGCCTTTGATCTCTTCCATCCACTGCATCTACATTCTCTTCTCTAATCCCATCCCCACCAGAATTCCCACACCCTTTCCTCATAGCTTTTCTTTCGTCTTCTCTCAACCCACTTGGACGCCTCCTTCCCCCTTTTCTCCCGTATCTCTCCTCCTTCCCCTTTCCCCCTACCTGCCTCTCCCCCCTTTTCTTCCTCACTCCTCTTTCTGAACTTCCCTGCCCGACCATCTGGCCAGTCCGCGCAGGCTGCACATCCCCCTCTCCCGCACTCATTCCAACACCTCCCCCCTCTCTCTCCCCTTCTCCTGTCTTTTCCCCGTGTCTCTCTTCTCCCCTCTCTCCCCCTCTCCTCTTCCCCGCCTTCCAGCCCGACCACCTAGCCAGTCCGCGCAGGCTGCACGCACCTCTCTCCCGCACTCACTCCAACGCCTCCTCCGCCTCTGTCCTTAGCTCCTCAGCCGTTACTGTCTCCCTTCACAGTACTCACACCCACCACAGTCACACACACCATAGTCACGCTCGCAGCAGCCACCGCAGCCAGAGCCACGGGCTGGGGCTGGTGGGCGAGGGAGGGGCGGAGGGTGAGCAGAGGCGGCGAGGGGCGTGGGACCTGGTGGCCGCGGCCGGCGCTGTGGCGCTGGTGGGTGGGGCGATGGTGCTCGCGAATAGGACCAACAGACGCACCAGGGAAGAGCGGCAGAGGTAAGTGTGGGGTGGGGCAAACAGCATGGCCCTTGCAGGGGAGGGAGGGGCGGAGGGCGAGCAGAGGCAGGGAGGGGCGATGGTGCTGGCGAATAGGACCAACAGACGCACCAGGGAAGCGAGGAGGAGGTACATGTGGGGTAGGGCAAACAGAGGAAGGAGGGAAAAGAGGTGAAGGTTAGTTTAGGGGTGTGAGGGTGGGAGTGTGAGGGTGGGAGTGTGAGGGTGGGAGTGTGAGGGTGGGAGTGTGAGGGTGGGAGTGTGAGGGTGGGAGTGTGAGGGTGGGAGTGTGAGAGGGCGAGTTTCACAGACCATTCTGATGCATGCTTACACCGCACCCTCCCATGCATTCACACCACCGCACTGCACCGCACTGCCCTGCACACTCCCATCCCATGCATACACACCACCACACTGCACAGCACTGCCCTGCACACTCCCATGCATTCACGCTACCGCACTTCACCGCACTGCACCGCACCCTCCTATGCATTTCACACCAACGCACTGCACCGCACTGCGCTGCACCCTCCCTCCCCCTTGCAGGCGAGCGTTGCAGTATGAGAGGGCGAGTTTCACAGACCACTCGGCCCAACGACCCCATTTGAACATGTAAGTTGTGCTTTCAGAAAGGGAGTCCCATACCACATGACCCATTACCATCTCAACTCATCGTCCAACATTAAGTGACTGAGATTGCCCTCTAGCCCCGTTTCCCAGCCTTTTCAGACTCCATTCTTCTTCCTGCCTTTCACCCCCGCCCCCCTCTCCCCCCCCTCCACTCCCCCTTCCCCCCTTCCCTCGTTGCAGGGGCTTTGGCGGGGCGATTGAGCTCAACTTTGGGGACTCGCCTGTTGCTGCCTCTTCCCCTCTTCCCTCCTGTCCTCACTCTTAACCTCCCACACTTCCCCTCCTCCACACTTCCCCTCCACCTTTCCCACCCTCGCAGGGGCTTTGGTGGCGTGTTTGAGCTCAACTTTGGGGACTCGCCTGTTGCCGCTTCTAGTGAAGCACAGGGTGACGCGGGCGAGAGGCAGAATGGGAGCGAGGGGGAGGGGGGGCGGGCTGAACCCAGCAGATCTCAGACGCGGTGAGTGCTGCTGGCGTGGGGCCTTGCTGGTGCGTGGTGAAAGAATGACAGGCCGGGTGACGGTTGGGCATGGGAGAACAGACAGGGGGAGGGGGAGGGGGAGGGGGAGGGGGAGAGCGAGCGAGCTGAACCCAGCAGATCTCACACGCGGTGAGTGCTGCTGGCTTGTTTCTTTGAAGGTGCCATGGCTGCTGGTGCTGCAGGGAGTGGGCGCTGGTGCTGCAGGGAATGGGCGCTGGTGCTGCAGTGAGTGGGCGCAGGTGGTGCAGTGAGTGGGCGCGCATACATGCATTCAAAACGTGGCAAGTAGAAACGTCTAGGCTCGTGGTCTGAGACAGCTAGGTGCGAGAGACGAGTTGTCTGCCTGCCCTCGTCCTGCCTCCCTTCTCCCAGCGGCAGACAGCAAATGCTTCGGTTCTGTGCGTTTTGTAATCCCTTTCCTATCCTCGCACCATCTCTCAGAAGTCACTTGCGTCATTTGTTTTTGGGGGAAGGGCTCAGGGCCAAGGGTTTTGGGGGAAGGGCTTAGGGCCAAGGGTTTTGGGGGAAGGGCTCGGGGCCAAGGGCTCAGGGCCAAGGGCTCAGTTATTGTGTCCTCCCCTTGGCCCTGAGCGCTGCACCCAGGCGCCCCTGGTTTATGACCCTCGGCCCTCGCCGCAAGTCAGGAGAGGAAGAAAGCAGCAGAAGCAAGAGGCATTGCTGACTAGCTAATGTCCCTCTGTGCCTCTGTCCCTCTGTGCCTCTGTGTTTCCCATCTAACTGCATCGTCCCTTACTCCCCCAGGCGCCCCTGGTTCCTGACCCTCGGCTCTCGCCACAAGCCAGCAGAGCAAGCAAGCAGCAGCGGTAGCAGCAGTGCCAGTGGCAGTGGTGGTGGGTGGAGGAGGAGCAAGCCGATGCCGCGGTGGCAGCGGGCAGAGCTGGTTCTGAGGCAGCAGAGGGAGATGGTGATTCGGCGACTGCATGGGGACAGGCGCAGCATGGCAGAGATATGGTGAGTGTTGCTGATATTTGGCGGGTGTTGAAATATGGTAAGTGCTGCTGACATATGGGTGGTCTTGTTGACTGGTGAGTCGACTCGAAGCTGATTCTGAGGCAGCAGAGGGAGATGGTGCTGTAGCGCCTGCATGGGGACAGACGCTGCATGTAATGAGTCTGCTTTTGAGTCGACTCAAAAGCAGAGGGAGATGGTGCTGTAGCGCCTGCGTGGGGACAGGCGCAACATGTCAGAATATGGTGGGTTGGCCGGGTTGACACATGGTGGGTTGACACATGGTGGGCGACACGCTGAGCACCCTTGCCCACTGAAGTACGCCCCCACGACCCCAATCCTCCCTCTTCCCGTCCTTTCCTTTGACTCCCCGTGCAGTGGGCTGGATGAGGAGATGTACTCGGACCTCTGTCGCGACTTCACTGCCTCTCTAAGGGATAGGAGTGACTCATCTGCCACTACGTCTCTGTACCCCATTCCCCACTCCCCCACCCCCCCCCCCCCCGCACTCCGCCCTCCCCCCCCGTGCAGTCGACTGGATGAGGAGAAGTATTCGGACCTCTGCCGCGACTTCACAGCCTTGCAAAGGGGTGAAGAGGCCAATGACGGGGGGGCGGAGGGGGGCGTGTACGAGGTGCAGGAGGGCGACACACTGAGCACCATTGCGGACCGGTTCCGGCGCAGCGTGGGCGAGGTGATGCGGCGCAACCCCCACATCAACGATCCAGACGCCATCTACCCGCGGGATCGGCTGGTGCTGTGACGACGCTGAGGACGGAGGGGAGGAGAGGAGGAGAGGGGAAGGTAGACTGGAAGGGGAGAGACGGGGGGGCAGCGTGGGCGAGGTGATGCGGCGCAACCCCCACATCAACGATCCAGACGCCATCTACCCGCGGGATCGGCTGGTGCTGTGACGACGCTGAGGACGGAGGGGAGGAGAGGAGGAGAGGGGAAGGTAGACTGGAAGGGGAGAGACGGGGGGGCAGCGTGGGCGAGGTGATGCGGCGCAACCCCCACATCAACGATCCAGACGCCATCTACCCGCGGGATCGGCTGGTGCTGTGACGACGCTGAGGACGGAGGGGAGGAGAGGAGGAGAGGGGAAGGTAGACTGGAAGGGGAGAGACGGGGGGGCAGCGTGGGCGAGGTGATGCGGCGCAACCCCCACATCAAGGATCCAGATGCCATCTACCCGCGGGATCAGCTGGTGTTGTGACGTGCTGGGAGGGCGGGAGGAGGGGACAGGATCAGAGGGGAAGGCAGGAGGGGAGGGCAGGAGGGGAGGGCAGGAGGGGAGGGCGGGAGGGGAGGGTGGGAGGGGAGGGCGGGAGGGGAGGGCGGGAGGGGAGGGCGGGAGGGGAGGGGGAGGAGGGGACAGGAGCAGAGGGGAGGGCATGCTGGGGAAACAGGGGATGAGGAGGGGAGAGCGTACGAGGTGCGGGAGGGCGACACGCTGAGCACCGGTTCATTGCGGACCGGTTCAGGCGCAGCCTGGGGGAGGTCGTGCGGCGCACCGCGTTTGAGTCCACTCAAAAGCATATTTGTGAACCAGATGCCATCTATCCCCGAGACCGGGTGGTGCAGTAACGTATGAGAGCAGGGAGGGCAGGATCGGAGGGGAGGGCATGCTGAGGAGGAGGGTAGAGCGTATGAGGTGTGGCAGGAGGGCGTGTGTGAGGTGTGGGAGGGGGACATGCTGAGGGTCGTTGCCAACCGGTCCCGGCGCACTGTGTGGGGGGAGGTCATGCAGCCCAACCCTCACATTTGCGATCCCGATGCCATCTACCCGCAGTATCGGTTGATCCTGTGACGCTGTTTGAAGGCAGATTGGGGGGGCAGGAGACGGGCACATTTCGAAACTTTTGAGTTGACTCGTTGACTCAGAAGACGCACGAGGCAGCATCAGGCGTGTGCGCATTCTGCGTTACTAGGTGAGGGACATGCTGCTTGGTGGTGTGGCAGTGCCGCATGCTGCTTGATGTATAGAGGCTGGCCCTGTCTGACTGGTAAGGATGAAGTATGTGCGTGCGTGTGGTGTGGTTGCTTCTTCACTGCTTGCACAGGTTGTTGGGAAAGAGGAGGACCCCTGGTTCCAACTTCCAAGGTCACTGGCGTGTTCTAAAACTATCATACTGGCAAGCAAAGCAACGCAGAATCTGCCACCAAATATCCACTTAAGCCTTAGAAAATATCCATGGTTACTGGAATTGCATGCCAACCAGATAAGGTACCGGTACCGTACCTTTGCAGCTATCCGGTGTTGTCATGAATTACCAAGTTACCAGCTCGATGTGTCCCTTTGTAGCTCGATGTGTCCCTTCGCAACTCGATGTGTCCCTGGCTGGCACTCATGGATGTGATACTAGGTACTAGTTAGCAGTCAGACGGACACTGAGATGTACATTTATTGTGTCAATGGATGTGTTCCTAATACCGAATATACCATGTATATTCACGTATATTTGTAACTGATGAACTGAATGCAAATGTAGGGTACCATGTTATATCTGACCAGTGCACACATTCTGGTTACTCGTCTCATCACTTCCGCCCCTCAATTCCACATATACATGGTGTTCCATATCTCAGTTGCGGTTCCAGCACTGCGGGACAAAGCATGCCACCCACTTATCAGCCGCCCCCACCCCAATCCTCCCACGGCCAACCCAGTCCGGCCCGTTCCCCCCCGGCCACACCAAGGAGGAGGAGGAGGAGGAGGGGGAGGAGGGGGAGGAGGGGGAGTGGCAGATTGCTGTACCAGTGGACGCAGGGGGGGAGCAAGGAGGGGAAGACAGGGAGGAGGCGGAGTGGCTAGGCACGGGATCAGGAAGGTCTCCTTCACCCCCTGCCCACCCTGTGTGTGCGTCTTGCTGCTGGTGTGCCCTTGATCCGCCCTGACCTGCCTCTGCCAGCTGGTGTGCTCTTGAGTCCAGCTCCGGCGTTCTTTTGAGTTGCCGCAGGGATTTAGAAGGAAGCAGCTGAGGCACAACTTGGGCAGGTGCCATCTGGTTGGGTAGTAGAACCTGCCCAGGAACTAACTGATTGTATACTGCCTCCCCAGGTACCATCTGGCATGGCACGAACACCTGTCCAGATGCGACCTGCCCAGGTACCACCTGGTCAGGTGCAACCCGGCCTGTTATTCCCCGCCCGTCAGACGCAGTGCGCTGCAGATGGCTGGTGCAGGTGCTTCTGGGGAAGGGGCTGTTGGTGTAGGCGTTGCTGGTGCTGTGATCGGTGCACGGCTGGTGGCTGCTGTGGTGGCTGCTGTGGTGGTGCTGGGGGAGCGAGCGGGTGCGATGAGACAGCGGCTGATAGGGTGGGGTGGTCTGCTGGTACGGTGACGTGGCTTGCTGTAGCGGTGACGTGGATTGCTGGTACGGTGACGTTGCCTGTTGGTACGGTGACGTGGCTTGCTGATATGGCGGCGTGTTCTGCTGGTAGGGCGACGTGCTTTGCTGCTCCATTTCGTATTCGTCTCTCTCTGCCTCTTGCGCCTCATACACCTGCTGCTGCTGCTGCTGCTCCTGTTGCTGCTGGCACCATCCCTGCTGCTGCTCTTGCCCCTGCCCCAGCTGCCCCAGCTGCCCCAGCTGCCCCTGCTGCATCCGCCACAGCTGCCACTGCTGCCGCCTTTCCATCTGCAGGCGCTGCGCCGCCCTGCGCTGCTGCTCGTGGTGCCACTGCTGCTGCCGCCGCCGCTCCACCCGCTTCAGCCGCAGCTCGATCAGCCGCTCGCGATCCGGCTCGCTTCTATCCACATACATGCCGTCCGCATGCCGCCTGTCCAGATAACGCCTGTCCGGCTGCTGCCTGTCCTGCCTCTCCGCGTGAGCCCTTCCCCCGTAGCCGCCGTTCCGCGCGAGGCATTGCCCGTCGGATGCTTGGCGCTGGAGGTGCTCTCCCCGCTCCTCGCCGTGTGCTTGCTCCCCGTCCCGCTTTTGGCCGCCCCGGTTCTCTGTAACAAGCGGTTCGAGGCTTAAATGCCTCGCAAGATGCTGCTGCTGCTGCTGCTGCTGCTGCTGCTGCCGCTCGTGGTTCGTGAGATAAGACCTATCTAGTTGCCGCCTGGATTCCTCCCCGTACCATCCTCGCGCTTCACCTCCCGCCGGTCCCCCAGTCCGCGCATTCACTCCCCATCCGCCCGCATCCCGCATTCCCTCACAATGCGCTTCCCCTTGCCCCGCCATCTCGCTTTCCCCCAACTCCTCCCCCCAATCCTCCCCTTCTTCCCCCTCCTCCTCCCCCTCCTCCCCATCCTCCCACTCTCCCTCACCTCCGTACCTAGCCGCTTCCCGAGGCGCTCCCCAAGCCTCGTCATCAGCCACGGGTGCTGACGTGGACCGCTGAATGGCCGATGCTCCCCACCCGCCCCCGTTACCGTACCTTCCGCCGCCGTTTCTGCTGGTAACGCAGTTACCAGCAGGTTCTGTCGGGTATTTTCGCAAATTATCGCTAAGAACGGGGTAACTGGCGTTGCTCGTGACCGCGGGCGTGTAGTTCCCGCTGGGATACGCGGAAGCCGCAAGGGGGAGGGAGGAGTGGCGCGGAATCGGCGGAGCGCGGCGGGAAGCCGCGGGGCCGCCGGCGCTAGGAGTTGCGCCGCTGTTTCCCCGCGGAAGCGGGCCCGGTCCCCGTTGCGGCTGCGCCCGCTGTTCGTACGCGGGCCCCGCGGGGGGGCGATTCGGCGGAATGTAGAGCGGAACCGCTATCGGGAGAGGCTCGGAAGGGGTGGGCGGGAGGAACATGGGTGGCAACGCCTGTTCTTTAGCGGCGGAGATTCGCACAGGGGCGCCAAGCGAGGGCGTGCGGAGGAGCGGAGACTTGGGCGCGGGGGAAGATGAGGGCAGGGCGGAAGCGGGCGGGGCGGGGGAGGTGACGGAGTTGTACCGGCGGAGCGGAACGGGGGAAGCGGAGGGGATTGCGCCATAGGGACTCCCGCCGTACGGGCTGGCGGAAGCTTCTTGCGCGCAAGTTCTAGGGGGAACGGGTGCGGGGGAGCGTCTAGTGAGGTTTAGCGGAGATGGCGGGCGCTGCGCGGGGTCCCACAGGACTTGCCGATTGGTTGATACTACGGGACTCGCGTGTATGGGCGGTCCGTCGTCCATGTGGCGTTCTGTGATTGGACAATTTCTGGCTGAGGGAAACAGCGCAGGATACGGATTATAGTGAGGCAGAAAAGAGCAGGAGACGGTGCTCGTGCTCGTGCTTGGGTTGGGTCAGGGAGTGACGCTCAGAGGCCTCGCGCTGCTAGATACACTTCTACGTCTTATTGTTGGGAGTTAGTTGGAGTGAGTGGAGTTTGTGTGAGACGTCGAGTAGGCCTGTGGAGGGTTGCGATAGGTACAGGAGGACTACTGTAGTCAAGTTTGTGCAGCTAGGCTGGAGAGGAGCAGGAGAGGGGGCTGAGAGACGAGAGAGGACTGTGGAACAGGTTCGCGAAAGCGAAAGCATAGCGAAACTAGATGTGCCAGTTTGTTTGGTTGGGAGTAGGAGAGTTAACGTGCAATACCGTGATAAAACCATCTGAAAACACAGGTATCACTTAAGACTCCTTGACTATAGTTGATGTGAAAGGTTGTTGGGGCAGTGCGATTAAATTCTGGACGAAGCTCGGGGTGTTTTGGTAATTTTGGCGAGTTTTGCGAACGGGTGTGTAAGACCGCTTGCGACGGTATGCGACGTTTCTGTACAAACCGAAATCGCTCGCCATCATGCTGAATGCCAGCCTCCAATGAAAGAAACTGCTTGGCCTGGCCAATGACCAAACGCGGCTTTCCAAATTCCAGGCTCCACGAAACAGTTCAACCCGCGTACTGTCCTGTACAGAACGTGGTGGTCGTGGATTCATTGACCTGACGACGTGGGGCGCACAGCACTGGACTGCCATCCAGTGGCGGGCATGACGAAATCGTTTTGTCGCATATAACGGTTGCACCTCATCAGCAACACGTCACCTCACCCTCCTCTGACCTTCCAGAAACTGATACACCAATCAGAGCTCATGCATCGGCATTGAAACTGCACGCGAGGGCCTGAGGCTCGGGGATTTTGGAACTGGATGGATGAGGCCAGGTGGTGAAATTCGGCGCTTTCCTCCACGTGACTTCAAGCATTGAATGTGATCTCGACGAATCCCACATCGCCTCAGGTATTGCAACAGAGCCAGGTTAGGGTACAGGTTCGGAATACACCGTGCATAGTAAGATTCACTTCATCTATGTTGGTAGGTTATAATATAGGCTTGAAGCAATCAACAAAACCCCTCCACATATCTATTATGCTAAGCCCGCTACGCTCTGGTCATCATCCTCGTCGTCATCCTCCTTTTGATAAACACGGCAAAAGGGCATACCAAGCGATGAGAATATGGTGCCCGTAGATCGCGCAATGTCTTTCTTCCGCCTGCCCGAGAGGCTTGAAGTGTCGGTCGACGAAGCTGTGCTATGTGCAGGTGATGGTGGCATATCACACCCGTTGGCTGCCATCCACGGATGCGCTGCATTGATCAAACGGGGGTAAGAGGGCGTGAAAAAAGAAACGCCAGAGTAGGGTAGGGTTACACTATACAAACAACACATTACACTACAACCAACTTGCCCTCTAAACTAAGCCACAAATTACCACCAACTCACAACCCTCAAACCAAACAAACGGCAAGCGTGATGCGATGATGTGGGCCGGCCGACAGCATCCCGAGCATCAGGTCTTTCACCTCGTCCGAAATCGCGGGGCACATGCCGCTCTCCATGTCCCCAGAGCCTTGTGAGTCAACATACAAGCACACATGCCGAGCAAGCTCGAGTCGGAGGCAGACATACAAGCATACATACCGAGCAACCCATCGAGCATGATGCGTCGGTGCCGGTCAGCCGACAGCATCCCGGGCACCAGGTCCTTGGCCTCGTCTGAGATGGCGGGCCACACGCCGCTCTCCATGACCACCTCAGCGCGCTTGATCTGCCGGTAGACCCCCATTTGAGACGGATCAAAGCCTCCTCTTTCCATCCTGCGAGAACACACCTAAAACCACCCCAACTTTACGTACCGAGAAGTCTGTCGAGGGTGATTCTCTGGTGCGGGTCGGCCGACAGCATCCCGAGCACCAGGTCCTTGGCCTCGTCTGAGATGGCGGGCCACACGCCGCTCTCCATGTCCACCTCAGCGCGCTTGATCTGCCGGTACACGCCCGCATCCGTGTCGTCCCAGAACGGAAGCTTCTGGGAAAGCATCGTGTAGAGGATCACCCCCAGGCTCCACACGTCCGCCTCGTGGCCGTAGATGCTGTCTAGCACCTCGGGCGCCATGTAGAAGGGCGACCCTGCGTACCCCGTCATGCGCTCGCCTGGCGTCAAAACCGGGGGGGAGCAGGGGGTGAGGGAGGAGGGAAGAAAACAAGGCAAGAGAGGCATTAGCCTTGTGGCATTGGACCTCGGGCGCCATGTAGAAGGGTGGGCCAGCCTACCCGGTCATGCGCTCGCCTGGTAGGGATAGAGGGGGGGGGGGGGGGGCGAGTAGGTGTGAGGCAAGAGGGCGAGGGGGCATGAGGCCCAGGCCCTGGAGACGCTGACCCCACATATGCCTGTGCGGGGGTATGGGAGCAACCTCAGGGGCCATGCACAAGGGCGAGAGGGACCTCAGCCCATACCCTGTCACGCACTCGCCTGGACAGTGGGGTTGAGGGGTTGGCTTGGCTGGTTACCGTACGGGGCGGGGGAAGGGAATGGAGGGATGGGATGGGGAATGAGTTTTGAGTCGACTCAAAAGTCATCCCGTATGGGGCGGGGGAAGGGCATGGAGGGATGGGAGGGGGGAAGGGCATGGAGGGATGGGAGGGGGAATGAGTGGAAGGCACGGCGGGAGGGCCATGAGAGGTTGCGCCGCAAGAGCAGTGTCTTACACAGCCCCACTCACCGGCTCTTACACAGCCCCACTCACCGGCTCTTACACAGCCCCATTCACCAGCTCTTACACAGCCCCACTCACCAGCTCTTACACAGCTCCACTCACCAGCTCTTACACAGCCCCACTCACCGGCTCTTACACAGCTCCACTCACCGGCTCTTACACAGCTCCACTCACCAGCTCTTACACAGCCCCACTCACCAGCTCTTACACAGCCCCACTCACCGGCTCTTACACGGAGAAGCCAAATTCAGCGAGCCTGAGGTCCCACCAGCACCCCGGTTGCGTCAGCAGAATGTTCTCGGGCTTGAGGTCGCGGTGCATGATGCCGTGGTTGTGTGTGTGAGTGTGGTGCGAGGCGTCACTACCCACTCACCGGCCTTGAGATGCACTCACCGGCCTTGAGATGCACTCACCGGCCTTGAGATGCACTCACCGGCCTTGAGATGCACTCACCGGCCTTGAGGTGCACTCACCGGCCTTGAGATGCACTCACCGGCCTTGAGATGCACTCACCGGCCTTGAGATGCACGGAGAAGCCAAAGTCCGCGAGCCTGAGGTCCCACCAGCACCCCGGCTGCGCCAGCAAGATGTTTTCCGGCTTCAAGTCGCGGTGCATGATGCCGTGGCTGTGGCACGAACGCAGTGTCTCTGCCAGCACTCGCAATATGATGGCAGCCTCGCGCTCGGAGATAAAGGGCGAGGAGTTGATGTGGTCCAGTAAGTCCCCTCCAGAACACAGCTCCATGATGATATACACACACTGGATGGAGGGAGGTGGGGGGGGAAGGGTTGGGGGAGAAGGAAGGAGGGGAGATGGAGGGGAAGGTTTGGGTGTCTCTGCCAGCACCCTCAGCATGATGGCGGCCTCGCACTCGGAGATGAAGGGCGAGGAGTCGATGTGGTCCAGCAGGTTGCTGCCAGAGCAGAGCTCCATTATGATGTACACGCATTGGATGGGGGAAAGAACGTTGGGATGGGGAGAGGAGATTGAGGAAAGGGCATCACCGCAGGGGCTCGGAGAGGATTTTTGAGGCGCCTAAAAAATCATGACCGCAGTGGCTCAGAGAGGAAGGGCGAGGAGTTGGGTGATGTGGTCCAGGAAGTCCCGCCTGAGCAGAGCTCCATTATGATGTACACACACTGGAGGAGGGCTGAGGGGGAAAGGGAGGGAGGGGGAGGAGAGGGGGGCAGAGGGAGAGGGAGGGGGGAGGGGGGGGGGGAGGCAGGATGTGTCTCCGCCGGAACGTGCAGGATGATGGAGTCGATGTGGTCCAGGAAGTCCCCACCAGAGCAGAGCTCCATTATGATGTACAAGCACCGGGGGGAAGGGGAAAAGTTTGGGCGACTGAGCCTTGGGAACACCCCCCCAACCCTGAGCCCTGCCTCTCAGATCTCTCACCTGTTGGGCGGTCCGCCAGCGCGTCTTTCACGCCCACCACATGCGGCCATCCCAGCAGCTCAAACCCTAACCCTCATCATTCATCCAAGTACAACCCCCTGAACCCTGAGCCCTTCCTCTCAGATCTCTCACCTGTTGGTCGGTCCTCCAGCGCGTCTTTCATGCCCACCACATGCGGCCATCTGGGTGGAAATCTGGACAGCCTGCTGATCCTGACTTTTAAGAATTCTCAGAAATCTGGACAGCCTGCTGGCCCTGACAGGGCCCAAAACCAAACCCAAACCCCAAATCCTCAAACCCCCCTGATCTCCCTGCAACTCACCTGTTGGTCCTCCAGGGCGTCTCTGACCCCCTCCATGTGGAGCCATCCCATCGAGTGCACCACATGCCAACCCACACACCACTCACCCGCTCCCTGCCCTCCCTGCAAACACTGCCCTCCCTGCAAACACTGCCCTCCCTGCAAACACTGCCCTCCCTACACTCCCTGCCTCTCACCTTCTCATCCCCCAGGGCGTCTTTGATCCCCACCACGTGCAGCCATCCCAGCAGCTCAAACCCTTACCCTCACCACTCCTTCGACTGGAACCTCAGAATCCTGAGCCCTGCTTCTCACCTTGTCGTCCTCCAGGGCGTCTTTGATGCCCACCACGTGCGGCCATCCCAGAAGCTTCCTCATGACATCCACCTCGGCCCGCACAGCTGCCACCTTCCTCGCCTCCACCAGCGTGCCCTTGTCAATCGCCTTGCACGCATACTGCCGCCCCGTGCGCCTCTCCGTGCACATGTACACCACCACGCCCCGCCGCCCCTGCCCGATCTGCTGCCCGACGTCGAATTTCCTCCGGATGTCCGAGAACCCGCGCTCGAAGATTCCTTCCGTGCTGCCCGGCTGCTGCCCGGCGTCGCGGGGAGTCCGCGGGCTGATGGTCTTAGGGCTGGTGCTTGGCCGGGGGCTCTTGCTGCCTACTCCTCTCGGGCTCGTTTTCTCTCCCTTCCCCGGACTCTTGTTCCTTGTGGTGCGAGGACTCCTGCTCCTGGCACCTGCCTGACCCCTAGTAGCAGCAGCGGCTGAGCTGCTTGCACCGGCACCAACAGCAGTGGCGCTAGCAGCGCTGGTGGAGGCGGTTTGGCCCGAGCCTGCTGCGCTCTTTGGTGTGGACGAACCGGTTCGGGCCGAGGCTGATGCTGCAGGAGCAGAACCAGCCGAGCCAGCAGCAGCAGCAGCAGCAGCAGCCGCAGAGACAGCAGCAGGAGCGATCGCAGCAGCAACTGCAGCAGCTGCAGTAGTGGGAGTGGTGGCAGCAGAAGAGGGGGAGTGCCCCTGGGAACCACCTGTGAAAGTAGACGAGGAGGGGGAGGAGGCAGGAGGCCCGGTGGTGCTGCTGCTGCTGAGGCCCCGGGGCGTGGTAGACACCGTCAGACCCTTAGGTCTCTTTGACCCACCACTACCACCATCACCACCAGCATTACCAGTACCACCACCACTACCAGCACCAGCAGTAACAGCAGCAGCACCGGCCGCAGCAGCGGCGCCAAAGGAGCCTCTAGGCGCAGTGAGGCTGCGGCTGAAACCCTCCACTACAGCCACCAGGCCCCCGCCCCACGTGCCCGACCCCGCCCGCTTCGACTTAGGCTGGCTGGCCTCCCTTGGCGTCTTGCTGCCGCCCGCACTCGTGCTGTGATCCATTTTGAACGACCGCGATGCTAGCCCTAAGCCAGTGGGGGTACGGATGCTGCTGATGACACTGCCACTGCCACTGTTGCTGTTATTGCTGCTGGTACCAGCCCCACCTTTGGGAGTTTTTGAGCCTTTAGAGGATTGGGAGGAGGAGGAGCGGGAGGAGCGCGGCTGAGTGAAAGACCGGAGGAAGCTAGGGGTCTTAATCTCCCCTCCCCCCCCTCCTTCTCCTCCTCTCGCTCCTCCTCCTCCACCTCCTACGCCACCTCCTCCCCCTGCTCCTCCTACCTTGCGCTTCTCCCAGAGAGACAAGCCTTTCGGCTCCTTCGCAAGCCACTCTGTGGTCTTACGTGCCAAGTCTGCCGCTCCCCCTCCGCCTCCGCCTCCCTCCCTTCCCGCTCCCCCTCCCCCGCCTCCTCCCTTTCCCGAACCCCCAGCACCCTTGCCTGCTTTGCCAGCAATGGATGATTCCCACCGCTTAGTAGGCATGTCCAGCAACGCCTCTACCGCTCTCCTGCCCGTGTCCCTATCCCTCTCCTTCTCCCTCCCCTTCTCCTTCTCCCCCCCCTGCGCTACTTCTACCATCTCCCTCTCCTTCTTCGTCCTCTCCCCTGTAATGCTGCGCCCCCACCCCCCTCCTCCCCCTCTCGCTCCGCCCACCCCTGAAGACACCGCCTTTCTTTCCCCGCCCTTCCCGCCATTCCCCTCACCCTGACCTCCCTTCTCCTCCCCCTGAGTCCCCTCCTCCTCCCCTTCCCCCCCCTGCCAACCCCTCCTCTTCCCCTTATCCTCCCTAAAACGCGGCGAGGCCAGCCCCTTAAGCCTTTGAATAAACGCCTGGCGCCGCTGCGACTTCCCCCCTCCACTCCCCCCTCCCAGGCTTTCAGACCGCCTGTGCCCTCTCCCCTGTGCCTCCTCCCTCTCCTCCTCCTCCCCCTCCTCCCACTCGTAGCCCCCATAGTCCTCCTCCCCCTCCTCGTCAGGCTCCCCGGCTAGAGGCTCTAAGGAGTCTAGCAGTGTGGTGCTGCCAATGTCGCCGGACCAATATGCCGAACCAGACACCAAGGCTCGGGGCTTAGGCTTGGTGCTGGGGTGCCCCGCTGCAGGCAACCCAGCAACTGCAGCAGCGTGCTGCTGCTGCTGGTATTGGTGCTGCTGCTGCTGGTACTGCTGCTGCTCCTGATGCTGTTTCTGGTGTGCATACTGAGTATCCCCCATGTAGTAAACCTCCTCCTGCCACCTCTCCCCTCCCGCCCCCTGCGTCTTCCCCGCATGCTCCTGACCCTGTGGTATGTACTGCTCAGGCACATACACCTCCTCTTCCTCCTCCTCCTCTCCCAATCGCACCAGGTCTTCCTGCCCGTCTTCTCCATCTGGCCCCTGCTGATTGGTTGGAGAGAGCTGCCCGAGATCCAGGGCAGCGGGGCGGCGAAACTTTCCGCTGTTGCTGCGGACGGTTAGGGTGGGCGCGGAGGGGAAAGGGGGAGAGACGGAGGGAGATATCCTTTGCGGCTGCTGTCTCTTCTGCAAAAGCTGCTGCTGCTGCTGATCTTGCTGGTCCTGGTGGTGTTGCAGCTGATGTTGATAGTGCTGCTGCTTTGGCTGACCCGCACCTTCCAGCCTCCCTGTAGCACCACCACCACCACCACCACCACCACCACCACTAACATCACCATCCCTAACATCGCAACCGCCACTGTCACCACTGCTGCCAGCACCACCAACCAGGAGATTCGACGAGAACGTGGGTGACTGTAACGGGGCCTTGCTAGAGTCAAAAGAGAAAGACGACGAAGTGGGATAAGCAGGGACCACACCGGCATCACTAGCACCACTAGCAGCAGCAGCACCACCACCAGTACCAGCGCTACCAGCAGCAGCAGCAGCAGCAGCAGCAGCAGCAGCCCCACCAGCTATTCCGCCCATCCCTTCCGCCCCTCCCGCCCCTCCCGCCCCTTCCGCTCCCCCTGAGGCGGAAGCAGAGGATTCCCCAGAGGAGGGGCGAAGAGCGAACGAGATACTTGGAGGGTACGAGCTGGCAGGTGGGTAGGAGGAGGGAGAGCGCGAGGGAGATGACCCCGTATGGGGAGATGAAACCGTACGGGGAGATGAGCCCACACGTGGGGACGACCCCGTACGAGGAGCTGCTCCCGTACGGGGAGATGATCCCACATGGGGAGATGAACCCGTACGAGGGGCGGAGCCTGTAAGCGGGTCATAAGCAGTGCGTGCTTCTTGCTTGTCTGAGCTCTCATAGGACTGGGAAAACGCTCCAGAGCTTACATAAGAGCCGGATTCGGAATATATATCAGTACTGGTGCTAGAGAGCGTGGATAAGCATGGGGCGGCAGCGGTGGGGGCAGCATTGGCGGAGCGCCCTGAGGTGGGCGCGGAGGAGGAGGCGGACTGGGGGAAGTGCTGGCGGGAGGGGGAAATCGGGGGAAGCGCGGGGGAAGCTTGTGGCGTAGAAGGGAGAACTGACTGGGGCGCAGCGGAAAGCGGGGATTTTGGCGCGGCGTAGCTGCGCGATTTGGGGAAGCGCAGGGACGCGTCTCTGGGGGATCTTCCCCCTCCCTCGCCGCTGCTTCCCCCCGCTGCTGCTGCAGCAGCAGCCCTGGCTGCTATCCCGCCCCCTGACCCCGGATGCCTGAAACCCTCATGCCTCCGCACAACGTGCCCCCCTCCCTCCATCTCTCTGTCCCTGTTTCCCCTCACCCCCGCTCCGCCGGCCTCCCCTTTCCCCGTCCCCGCGTCCTTCCCCCGACCTCTCCCCTTCCGCGCGTCTCCGCCACGCCGCCTTCCGTCGTCGAAACCTCCCCTAGAATCCGACCCTGGGGTGGACTGATCGTCAACTAAGAACCTAAGTAATCGGGGCGACATGACGCCAATGCTCCCCGCGCGCACCCCGCGGGGTCCCCCACTGCCCGCGCCTGCGCCTGAACCTGCGCCTTCTCTCCTCCCGCTGTTTCCCCCTCCCGCGCCCGCAGGTCCCCCGCTGCCCCCTGCGGCTCTCTGCTGCTCCGCCCCCCACCGCCCCTCCCCCGCCGTCTGCCCCTCGCCAGAACCGCTCTGCACCGGTCCGCCTACTGGCGACTTCGGCGCGCCGGCCACGCTTCGAAATCCCCCGCCGAACCCGCCGAAGCTCTCGCCGTAACCCGCGCCCCCTGCCGCGCTACCTCCCGAAAACGATCCTAATGCGCCTCCCCAAGAGGTCCCTACCGCAGCGATCCCCGCCGCATTCCCCCCGGTAAGAGACACGTGGCCTCTGGAGTGCTCAGGTCCCGTTCTTGACCGCCGCTGCAGCTGCACTCCGGACGCCCGCTCCGCCAGCTCCGCCCTCTCCCCCTCAAATCCGCTCCCCCACTGGCCGTCTTCCCCCGTACCCTCCCCGCCCTTTCCCTCCTCCCCATGCCGAACTGTCACCCCCCCTATGCCTGTGGTATGGCGCCGAACCATGGGCACAGGCTCGGACAGAGCCTCGGGATTATCCGCGCATGTTGACAGCCCGTCGCTGCCCCTCCGCCACCCCTGCCGGCGGTTAACGGCTAGCCGGCTGTTCTCGCCGGAGCCAGCACGGCTTGCTGATGGGGATTTGGGCATGCAACGCCGTGCGCTAGAAACCCCTCGTGCCGAATCGCCTCTTACCGAATCAACTCTTACCGCGTCGTCGATAGCGGCGCCAACAGCACCGCCGGTCCCGCCAGTGGATTCATCGCCGTAATCCCACGCGCCTGCGACCCTCCCTCCCACAAGGTACCCCGCAAACTCGTTGTATTCACCAGCGCCATAGTCACACCGCGTATAGTCATCTCGCTGCGGGGGATGCGCGGGATGCGGGTCCAGGTCCGCGGACGAGGCGGAGACCCCCTTGCGGAGGGCGCGGATGGCGCGGTCGCGCTTAGAGGCGGCGCCGGCGGAAAGCGGAATGTACTGGTCGCTGGAGGCCCGAGCGCCATTAGGCTCGGATTGTCGGAGATACCGCTGGTTCGAAGGGTGGTAAGGCGGGTGGCTAGGAAGCTGGTTCGGGAGAGTGGAGAAACGCGGAGAGCGGTTTGGAGGAGCGGCGGCTTCTGCGGGATTTATTGCGTCGATGTGCTGACGTGGCATCGAGCGAGACGCGCCGAGACGTACGGGGTCTTGTTGCTGCGGAGCGTAGCACGCGTTAGGACTGTCGGTACTGGTTGCGAGGCGTGCTTGCGGCTGCGCGTACCAGTCCATGCTGACTCAAGGCGAGGTGATAAGAGCGAATGATAGTTGCGATGGGATAAATACGAGAGCTGGAGCGGCGCTGATACGTTGTCGACGTGTACACTAGTAGCCATCCATCACGCTAAACTTTTTCTGCTCTGCCGTTGTCGACGCAGGAAAACTGACCTGGGAACTAATGTCATTAAACTACCACGCCCGAAGTACTAACACCATGATATAACTGACTAATATTAGCTGGTACAAAGCAAAGCAGAAACAGGCTAAGGCTGTTGTCCCACTAACAACGTAGGAGGAACCCTGCGCCAGGGTTTGGTCCTTCAGGGACCTTTGGGGAAACAACTTAGACCTCTTACTTCTCTGACTGGGTATGCTATTACAATATGTGTGCGTCGAACCAACCTTACAGAAACTTATCGTAGAATAAAGGATCCGAACATCAGTCTCGCATGAAGCGTGATATTTTGCACATTGCAATGCAACTGAAGACTGCATGGCTGGATGGTTGGACGTCGACGGACCGAACAGAAATCCCTATCGCATCCGCCATCAAACGTATCTCGACACTCAACACTCGTGCGGCGGACCTACGGTAGTGCACAAAATAATCTCCAATCTGCAGGAAGCAAGAAAGTGAGGAAGAGTTGTGAGGGACAAGTCGGATCTGATGCTGTGCAAGATGGCCTAATAAGGTTGTGATGGGTTTGGGTTGGAGGGGAGGCAAGAGGTTTGAATTTGAACGGATGGGATGATTGGGATGGATGGAACAAGAGAGGCGAACCCACAGCACAAGTCAAAGAGAAACAAGCAGGGCTCTCGGTTCAAGGGTAAACATCCGGAATGTCAGGTACATTCCGGGTCTTTCCCGCTGAAATCCTGATTTTGAGGGTTTCGGGTTCCCAAACCTTCTGACTGATTCCGGGCGTTTCCAAGGAACACCTTGAGCAATCCGGATTGCGCGAAAAAATATCCTGGCCACCCGACTGGCATGGAAAATCACCCGTGCTGGAATTGCAACCCCACCCTTTCCCTCCCCCGTGCCTTCGCAATCCTGACCAATTTTCTACGCAATCTGAAGGAGCGACCGTGGAACTTTCACAGCTACATAAGTGCAGGGCTGTCGGTCCTATCACAACCCCTTAATGACTGCGTTCTGCAAGCAGAAAAGGAAAGTGCAGATTACATCAGAACACCTTCGGAAAGCCTGATTTTTGCTTCGGATCGAGGGTCAGCCTGCAAAATTTCGTTCAGACCTGGCACAAGGTACCCGAACCTAGTTACATCAACATGCCTGCAGAACAGGTCCATGTACAGATGACATCTACGTCAGAGAAACACCCCCCTCGCTTCCCTCCCTGGCAAATTTGACGCAAAGGTGACGCAATGCTGACGTTCGCTAAATCGCAGAGTTCACCTTGCGTGTGGCGTTACATCAGCCTCAATTTGGCTACTCTCTCCTTTCGCTCGCGCTTTCCACAGTTTGGCGCGTTGCTTCCAAGAGAGGTTTGGAAAGTGCACCTGGTTTGAGTGGTAACCAGTGCTCTAGAAGTCGCTTGAGGAGCTTCCTCAATGTCGACGTCGACGTTGACGTCAAATGCCTGTAGAACACAGCCAATATCACCTTAGCCAGGTTGCGCACTGTCCCTCTAAGCTATATGCATTTCTTTTGCGATTGACAAGGAAAGTGTAGAACTTGGTGTGGTGGTGAGGGACAACAGCAGCAGCAAGTGTGTGTTATGTATTCTTCTCCCATCGTTTCTTCCATGGATGTCCTTCCTTCTTGTACTCCAAGTGCCCACAGGTTCTACTGATAGATAAGAAGTCTAAAAAAACACTCTGTAATTCATATTAAAACTTCAAAGTAATCCTGAAATAAATAGATGTTCTAGGGAATGCTGAATTTCAGGGTCTTTAGTGACGCGAATCCTGAGACCGCTGTATTGAAAAATGAAACAACAAAAAAAAAATTAGTCCCGGAAACAATCCACCACCACGAGGCTTGTGCTCGAAAGGACAGAAATGGCACGCCCAAGGTGAACAAGAAGCCAACAAGAAGCCCAAGGCGAACAAAAAGAGCTGATGGCAGTTCCCAAGGCGGTCCCCTTGTCCCCTTCACAATGTCGAAAGTCGAAATAAAAGGCGTCTGCAAGTGTACAGTGTACACTCCCAGCAGACGACCTAAACCAAACAGCAATTACTGTAATGCACAGTGCTAGTAAAATTCTTGACCTGCGATCCTGACAATGGGCTGCTGCTGCTGCTGCCTTTGCCACGTCGCGTGATTTTGGGGGTGCAGCTGAATCTGCTGTGCGTGGCTCGGCATTCGATTTGACACAGCATGGTTGTGCTCGAGCGAGTTTCATTGTCACCCATACAGTAGCTGGCCGTTGACCTGACCCTAGCTAGTGATTTGCCGCACTACAGACTACAGTACTGCGCCCGCACGTGTCTTCAAAAACTCAAACTGATGGCTCGCTTCGCTACGCGATACTTCAGTAAAGCAATGCCACAGAGCAGAGCAGCTAGTTCCAACATTTCTGCCATTTCCCCTATTGAATTCTTACAGTAGTCAGATTGAGGGCCATCGTGGCTCTGAAAATGGTGGTTGTTCTTCATGTAAAGTAGACTGACATGGCGTTTGCACGAGCCATTCTCTGTCGAAAAAAAGAAAGGGGAAAGTTGATGGCAACATAAGAGGTTGAGGTATGAATAAACTATATTCAGAAAGAAGATATTGAACGATGGATTCCTAGTCAGAAAGGACCCAGAGGTCGCAAGAAAAGAAGGGGGCGAGAGTCCTTACCAGGTAAAGGTATTTGCGATGGTATGTCACAGCCTTCTTGCAGAGCTTCTTAATGTTCCAACTAGTGGCGGCAAGGTTGAAATACTGGAAGGTGGAGTAGTGAACAATTGAGTGTGAAGGAGGGAGGGGGGGGGAGGAAGGGGGAGGAAGGGGGAGGACAGGGGAGGACGGGGGAGGACGGGGGAGGGAGGGTCGAAGGAAGTGAGGAGGTAGAGAAAAAAGGAGGCACCAATGGTGAAATTAAGGAATCATTCTGCACATGATGCATGCTCGCGTTACATCATGCTACATCAACATGTGCATGCATGCATGCGCCACACCGCATGCACCACATAAACCATTCACATGCACCACATCATTAAGCCCTTGAGTAAATTCACCAGGTCTTCCCTCATCTCCAGCAGAATCGCCAGCACACATCATGCGACATCACAGCATGCATGCACCACATATACCACACATGCACCACATGCAGCACTCACATGCACCACATGCAGCACTCACATGCACCACATATACCACTCACATGCACCACATGCAGCACTCACATGCACCACATGCAGCATTCAAATACACCACATCATCGAGCCCTTAGAGCATACTGCACCAGGTCTTCCCTCATCTCCAGCAGAATCCCAAGCACCCATCATGCGACATCACACCATGCACGCACCACACATACCACTCACATGCATCACATGCAGCACTCACATGCACCACGTCGTCAAGCCCTTGAGCATACTGCACCAGGTCTTCCCGCATCTCCAGCAGAATCGCCAGCACACAGAACGTCGTCATCCTCTCCACCTCCACCTCCCCCTCCTCCTCCCCTCCCCCAATCACCACCCCCTCCTCGTCCACCTCCCCCTGTGGAGATGGTATCTCAGCCACGGACAGTGCCGGGGACGATGCGTTAGACTCGGACGGGGAGGACGGAGCTTCGGCAGCAGGTTTGGTGATGGAGCTGGGGAGAGGTGCGGAAGGGGCGAGGACCACGAGAGGCGGGATTGAGGGCCGCCTGCGGTCCGAGCCTAAGCCCGAACCTGAGCCCGAGCCTGTGCTTGAGGTTAGGGAGGGAGAGTTCTTAGAGATGGAGCTGGGAGGTGTGGTTGGGCTGTCTGTTGCTGCTGTCGCTTCTGGTGCTGCGGTTGCTGCTGTGGTTGCTGCTGCTGACGCTGCTGCTGTGGTTGCTGCTGCTGACGCTGCTGCTGCTGCTGCTGCTGCTGCTGCTGACGATGATGATGATGATGATGATGATGATGATGATGATGATGATGATGATGATGATGATGATGATGATGATGATGATGATGATGATGATGATGATGATGATGATGATGATGATGATGATGATGATGATGATGATGATGATGATGATGATGATGATGATGATGATGATGATGATGATGATGATGATGATGATGATGATGATGTGGAAGGCAGTGCTGCTAATGGCGGTGCAGAGGATGCTGGGGGCGGTGGTGGCAGTACTTTTGGTGCTGTGGAAGACGAAAGAGGCATGAATTGAAAGACATCCTTCCTGCTACCAGCAACAGCAGCAGCAGCAGCACTACCACCAGCACCAGCAGCAGGGGATGCATCAGCAGCCACACCAGCAACAACAGCTGCAGCAGCAGCAGCGGGGGGAGAGAGTGCAAGGTCAATAAAAGCCATAGGGCCACTACTGGGCCTACTACCTTCAGAACTAGCTTTCCTGCCTTCAGAGCCAATGCTCTCACTCTCACCATCTCCCAATCCCTTCTCTGTCACCTGCCCTGCCTGCCCTGCCTCCCCTGCCTGCGTTGCCTCATCGTCATCCTCCCCTCCCCTGAAGCCACTCGCACTCTGCAGACTCAAGGACAGCGAAGGGCTCTGCACGAAGCCTGATCCTAGCCAGTCCTCATCCGCATCTGCCTCTTCAGACACTGCTGCACCCTTCGCCTCCCCTTCACCCATCATCCCCCCCCCACCCTGCATCCCTGCTTCCCTCTTGGTTCCCCCTTCCTCTGCTGCTCCCCCTGCCTCCTTGCCCTCCTTTGCTCCCTCTCCCTCCTTCGTCCCACAAAATCCCTTCACACTTCCTTCCCCCCCACTTGAGCTTCTCTGGTGCGCCTCCTCCCATTCCCCATCCCGGCTGCTCTCCTTTTCTGTATGCCTCCTTGCCCCCTCCTGCCTGCTCCCCTCCTCCTCCCTCTCCTCCTCCCGCCCTCCCAGCACCCCTCCCGCCTCCCGCGGAAGGCTGTGCCACCCCTTGGCACCCTTTTTCACCGCACCCGACTGCAGCATTGCCCGGTTCGTGTCGTCAAATATCTTAGCTAAGAACTCTTTGGACGACGGGGATTTAAGAGCCAGCGGGGATTTAAGGAGATCCGGAGGGATGAATGGTCGGGGGGACTTCATACCAGAACTAAGCTCGGGAGGAATTCTAAAAGGGCCGGGGGATTTAAGCCCTAGGTTCACCTCAAAGGGGAGGGCAAAATGCAGGGAACCCGGGGATTTTGGAGGGTGTTCCGCCCGGGGTGACTTGACATTCAGGTGTAGCTCCAGGGGAACCTTGAGGCTTAAACGGCGCATGGGGGGATGAAACATGCTAGCAGGAGAAGGGGGAGAGGCTCGGGGTAGAGACTTGGAGTGAGAGAAGAGGTGGGGCGAATCTGGGAGATCGTTGGACCGGTGATCTGGGCGAATCTGGTCTCTCTCCTGCATGGACCGGGCTTTCTCGGGCGAATCGTTCAACGGCTGCAAGGCTCTTTCCTGCATGAGATTGACAGCTTCTTGCACGGATGCTGAGGGGTTGGGTTCGGGTTTGAGGTCACCACGCCTTGCCTCTCCACTACCCGGTGATTCTAAAGAGTGTGGAGACTGCAATGAGCGTGGTGATTGTAGAGAGGACCCCTTCCGAAGCCCACTAGGCCTGCTGCCTGCAATGCTGCCTGCAGTGCTGCCTGCAATGCGGCCTGCAGTGCTGCCTGAACCGCCGGGAGGCGACGGCAGGTAGCGAGGCGATTTAGTGGAGCCTCCCCAGCCGTGCCCGAAAGTGCTGGCGGATCCCGAACCTGCAGACTCGGAACCCGAGCCTGCCGAGCTGGTCCGGGAGAGCCTGGGAGATATGGGAGGCAGGCCGAGGAGATAGTTGCTAGGTACGCTAGTGCGAGCAGCAGCAGCAGCAGCTGCACCCCCAGCAACACCACCAGGCGCGGGACGAGCGGAGGCGGAGGGAGAGGGGAGAGAGCGGGAGGGCTTGTGGGAGAAAGTGCCTGGGGACCTGGGAGGCAGGAAGGGCGACGGCCTTGGCTGCTCAGGGGCGGCACCAGGAGCAGCTGCACCAACAGCAATACTTGCAGCAGGGGGAGAAGCAGCAGCAGGAGAAGGCGCAGCAGGGGCAGCAGCAGCAGCAGCCCCCGGCACCTCAACGTGCGGGGGTCTGAGGCGCTGCAAAGGCGCGTGCGGGTCACCCGTGCTGTCCCTACTCCCCCGTGCACTCTCAGGCTCACCCTTGCCCGACTGAGCTTGCAGGGAAGAAGCGCGACCAGCGGCAGTGCCACCGACAACAGTGGAGGAGGAGGAAGAGGAGTCTCGGGCGTCTCGAGCAGTGGAAGTTGCATCTGCAGTTTCCGCATCTGCAGCGGAAGTTGCATCTGCAGCAGCGGCAAGGGCGGAATCCCACGGGTCTGCAGATCCCACGGGTCTGCTGATCTCTAGGCGGAATCCCAAGGAAGTTGCATCTGCAGCAGGGGCAGGAGCGGAAGATAACTGATCTCTAGGCGAACTCCCACGGGTCACGAATTCCCGCACCTCACCCACGATCCCCAGTGCTCTCCTCGAGTCACTCCTCCACACATCACCCGCGGGAGCAGGGATCTTAGGGCTGCCCATTCTCACTAGCTCCCTCTGCTGCATCCCCATCCCCAAGTTTGTTTTTGGACTCTCCTTTGCCAACTCGCCTTCAGGCACAGGGATTCTCGGGCTGCTCGTCCGGACCAACTCCCTCTGCTGCATTTCCAAGAGCGTTCTGGGACTGTCCCTTGCCAACTCCCCCGTCCGGAGTTCAGCCTCTGGTGCAGGGATTTTTGGGCTGCCCATCCGCACTAAATCCCTCTGCTGGGCTGGTATTTTCGGGCTATCTTTCATCATCCCCACGGGTGTTTTCGGGCTGTCTCTCCAAGGGAGAGGCGGCATGCCCCGTGAAGCCAGGTTCTCCTCGTTGCTCCTCACCCGCCTCACGTTCTTGTTCCCAACTCCTGCTGCCGCTGCCACTTCCGCTGCTGCAGCAGCTGCTGCTGCTGCTGCTTCTGCATTTCTAACTTCTCCTCTTTCCCGTTCCTCCCTCCCTTCCTCTAACCTTGTCCTCCGCTGCTGCTCTGACGGTGATCCGAACCCCCCATCCGAGCCTCTTCCCGAGCCTAGATCCGGCTCGGACCCCAAACTCATCCGCCTCTGCAGCTTATCCCTGCGCGCCCTTGTCGAGCCTGGCCCGAAGCTCCGTGTCGAGCCTAGCGCCAGGCTGCCGTGCCTGCGCAGGCTGGTTCGGGAGGAAGGCTCGCGGATGGCAAGAGTGGCAGCGAACCTAAGATTATCCCTTCTGTAGGGCCCGGAATCTGCCCAGGTGAAGGAGCGGGAGAGTGTGCGAGAGTCGGAAGGGGTGGTGGAGGGGGAGGAGGAATCTGACGTTGTAACGGCGAAACTACGGCTGGCGTGGTGCTTACTGCCAGCAGCAGCAGCAGCAGCAGTGCTGCGAGCAGCAGCAGCATTGGGAGACGGCCCCGTGGCTAGGAGTACTGCAGGCGCCCAATCACTAGCGCCAGCAGCAGTGCTCCTATCAGTAAAGGCTCCACCAAAACCCCAGAAGGTGTCCCTACTGCCGCTGCCATCGCTAGGCGCACTGCCAGCCGCAGCAGCAGCAGCAGCAACAGAGGCAAGAGCAGCCGAGAGTTCATGAGCAGCCATGCTCCGATGGCCCTTCAACTCGGATATTTCCTGCTCCTGCTTCCACACTAGGGGCAGGTGCAGCGGGCGCAGCAGCTGCCCCGGACTCATGCTCTGATACCTCCTCAGAAACCCGTGCCGCTGCTTCACCTGCTGCAAATGCTGCTCCACCTGCTGCTGCTTCTGCTGCTGCTGCTGCCGCTGCACAGCCACCGCTGCTGCCTTCTGCTTCTGGGAGCTGTTGTGGCGGCGGAGCAGGCGCGAGTGGAAGGAGGACGGGCGGTGCTGGGACGAGAGGGGGAAGGGGAGGTGGGTTTGGGCGCGCTGGGAGGGGTGGGAGGGGTGGGAGGGCGGGGCGAGAATGGTGGGGAGAGAGTGGAGGTCGATTCGGGGGATGTCGGATTTGAGTGATCCTCCTGTGCGTTTCATTGAGAGCAGCGACCGGTTGGCATTTAGGGCAGTTGCCTTGTTACTGTGCCTGGCACTAATAGGGCTGTTTCTTTTGGTGGTTTGACCGCCGGGTGTGAGTTGCCTGTCCCTCTCTGATCCCATTGACTGGTAGCGGCGCAACGAGAGAGACGGCCGATCCGAACCGTCCATCTGCGGGCTCTTCGCAGCCGGAGAACGAGCACCGTTGATGCCTCCCCTACCATCAACCGCCTCCCCTCCTGCCCCCTCCATCTTCTCTCGCGTTTCATCACCCCTCCCCTCCTTCGACTCCCCCTCCGCTCGCTCCCTCCCTCGCCCCTTCCCAGCTGTTGCTCCCACAGGCGGCCTCCCCATTTCAGATCCCACCCTCCCAAACCCACCCCGCCCCAGACCCCTTTCACCACCACCACCACCACCATCACCCACTCCTCCTCCCCCTCTTCCCCCTCCTACCTCTCCTCCCTTTCCTCCCCCCTCTCTTCCCTCTCCCCTAGCCCTATCATTCATCCAGTTTCCCCCGGACGCTGACCGTACAATCGCCCTCCTCCCCTCACCCCCCTTCCTCTCAAAACTCCCCACACTCCCCACACTCCCCCTCATCGCCCCCCCCAGCGCGCCCCTCCTTGCCTCTAGCTGCAGCTCGGAGGGAAGCCTTTCTTCGGGGGGGAGATCCTTGGACGGATCAAACGCCACGCGGGTTGATACCACTGATGATAAGTCCAAGACGGTATCCTCTGTGGTGCTGTTAGGGTGTGGGCTGGTGGTGCCTCGGCTGCTGTGCCGGCTGTGGGAGGTGGTAGAGGTGGAGGGGGGGGAGGAGGGTGCAAGGGAGGAGGAGGGGAGGGGAGGCCCGCTGCTGCTGCTGCCCATGACATGGATGGTGATGCTGCGGGTGAAGCCAAACAGCCCTTCAAACAGCCCGTCGCTGCTGCTTCTTGGTACCAATGCTGACTCTGCTGCTGCTGCTGCTGTTGGTTCTGCTCCTGCTGGCGCTGGTTCTGTTGTTGCTGCGTGTGATGGGTCAGACGCTACTTGCAGTGCTGCTGCAGCTGATGCTGCTGTGCCCGTATGATCACTCCGGGGGTTGAAGTTACTACCGACATTCGTGTTTCTAGTTGCCTGTGTTTGTGTGCGGGTGTGGGAGTAAACGTTGACTTCATGCGTCAGCTCGCTTTCTGAGCGGCTCTGGTGCACACTCTTTGCGCTGCCCACCCTCGCATCACCACCACTACTACTGGCGCTAGCACCTGCAGCAGCAGCAGCAGGATTAGAAGCATCGCGAGCAGAGGCAGGAGAAGGGTCTTCCTTCTTCCCCCACAGGGACCGCATGCGGCCGAAGAAGGAAGACTCACTCGCACCCACCGCAGTTGCTCCACCTCCAGCTGCTCCCGCCCCCCCCACTCTTCCTGCCGTCCCTGTTCCTGCCCCTCCCACTGCTGGCTCTGCCATTCCTGGCTCTTCGGCTTCAGCCTCTCCGTCCCCCCACACGCCTGCTATCCTAGCAGCTTCACGGGACAGCAGCCTGTCCCCGCCCCATTCCTCTTCCTCATCCCCCTCGCCCTCTCCCCCATCCACCCGCTCCTCTGATCGGTGCTCTTGATCTTCCTCTTCTTCCTCACTGTCTCCTTCCAAGTCGCTACCCTGACTCTCTCCATTGCTTCTTTCCTCCTCCTCCCCCTCTCCACTCTCACTTTCCCCATATTCATCCTCCTCATCCTCCTCTTCTCCTGCTTTCCTCCTCTCCCTCCCCTCTCTCTCCTCCCCTCCCTCCTCTCCCTCCTCCTCCCCAAAATCACCCCCGTCCCACTCTTCCCCATCCTCATCCCCCTTCTCCTCCCCCTCCTCCCCCTCCCCCTCCTCCCACTCACCAGGCACCACAAACTCCCTCCCACCCGCCCCGCCACCCCCTTTCCTCCCCATAAGCGCCCCCGAAGCAGGAGTATCCGGCACGGCATGCACGGCGGCCTGAGTCACAGCCAGCTCTGCCGCCATAAGGGCGATCTCGAGCCTCTGAGGAGATGAGAAGAGGTCCACTGAGCCCCGATTGGCATCCTCATGCGCTGCTGCAAAGGCCGATGTGCCCCCGCTGCCTGCTATGCTGCTCACAGTGCCTATAGAAGCAGCAGCAGAGCTAGAGCTACCACCACCACCAGCAGTGAAAGAATCGTCACCACTGCTACCACCACCACCGCCATCGCTACCAACACTAGCAACGCCAGTGGCGGCAGAGAGCGGCACCCGGGTGGCGTTCGCAATGTCCATAGCGATAGCCGTGAAGAGGTCAGCATCCAAGAGCACAGAGGCGGCGGCGCGCACAGCGGCCACGGTGGCTGCGATGTAGGCGGCGCGCTCCATGGTGAGGTGCGGGAGGTGGCGCGCCGTGAGAAAAATGGCCTGGTCTGCTAGGGGGAGGAGAGCGGCACTGCATGCGTCGTAGTCCCACGCCCACGTCATCTGGGGATGAGAGGGGAGGGGAGGAGGAGGGGAGGAGGAGGGGGGGTGTGGTGGTAAAGGAGGGAAAAGGGAGAAAGAGATGTAGGTGGCGTGCTCCATGGTGAGGTGCGGCAGGTGGTGGGCCGTGAGGAAGATGGCCTGGTCGGCTAGAGGGAGCAAGGCCGCACTGCATGCGTCGTAGTCCTACGCCCACATCATCTGAATTGGGGGGGGACTGGGAGGTTTAGGGGGAGGGGGGAGGAAATATATGAAGGCGGCGCGCTCCATGGTGAGGTGAGGGAGGTGGCGGGCCGTGAGGAAAATGGCCTGGTCGGTTAGAGGGAGGAGAGAGGCACTGCATGCGTCGTAGTCCTACGCCCACATCATCTGAAGTAAGGAGAGGGGGGGGGTGGGGGTGGGGGGGGGAAAGGGGGAAGTAGTTGGAGGGGAGGAAGGAGGAGGAGGGGGGGCGGGGGAGGATAGATGGCGCATTGAAACGGCATTAGCCACGTACTGGTCTAACCGCAACCGCAACCACCGTAGAGGTCTAAGGGCATTAGGCATCACTAGAAAGGCAGATCCCTCACCTCCCACAGGTAGAGCGCATCAGCAAAGGACAGCTCTCGGCGGAACATGGCCATAACAGTCCGCACCGTGAAGAACATGGTGCCCGCGCCGATCTCGTCTGTGAAAGGGGGGTCGGGGGAGGGCATGCAACAAGGAAAGGCGGTTCTCTATATGGCCATGGCGGTGCGCACGGTGAAGAGCATGGTGCGGTGCATACGGTGTGGTGCCCCCCTATCTCGTCTCCGCACTCCCCATCTCGTCTGGGAGGGGGGAGGTGGAGAAAGAGGAGTGGTGGTGGGGGGGAAGGGGGGGGTGAGAGGGAGGCACAACCTATCTCGTCTGCGCCAATTCTCATGCGGAGATTCGTGGGTGGTTCATGGGGCACTCGTGGGGGCTCGTGGGGGCTCGTGGGGGACACGGGGTTAGAAAGAATTGAGGCAGTAAGGAGCGAGATTCAGACCCCGCTAAGGAAGACACTTACCTAAGTGTGCATGCAGCTCGGGGTCCAGGGTGTAAACCATGTGCGACAGGCGGCTGATCTCCCTCTGGATGCCCAGGCCGGTGTCAGTATTCATAAAGTCCTCCCTCTGGCAATCAATGGTAGCAAGCAAGCAGGTACAGACGGGGCAAAGAGGGGGGCAGATAAGAAAGGGAGCCCTGAGGCGCCTCAAGGCTGATCTCCCTCTGGATGCCCAGGCCAGGCCGATGATGTCTCAGGATGCCTCATGATGTCTCAGGATGCCTCATGATGTCTCAGGATGCCTCATGATGTCTCATGAGCCAGGCCGCTGGCTGATCTCCCTCTGGATGCCGAGGCCAGGCCGATGATGTCTGTTTCCATGAAATCTTCTCTCTTGCAATCAATGGACACAGCAAGAGGGGCAATCAAGCACAGAAAGCAGGACGGGCACAAGACAGAGAGCAAGAGGCGCCTCAAGTCTGATCGCCCTCAATGGCCCAGAAAGCGTCGGCGTCACTGGGAAACAGGACAACCATGGCCGGCCGGCATGAGGTCTCTCACCACCCATTGACAAACAAACCCCTCCCACAACGCTAACCGTGGCAAACACCACCAACGAGTCCCTCTTTGCACTCACCACTCTCCTCATGAGCCGCTCAAAGGCCCAGAAAGCGTCGGCGTCATCAGGGAAAAGGACGACCATGGGCGACATGAGGTCGCTCATGCCCTGGCAGTAGCCCACATCGGGGTCGAACCATGCATACACCGCCAGCACGTTCATCAGGCGCGCGCGGGCCATGCTGCTCTCAAAGTATAGGAGCGAGCGATCGGCACGCGTCACATCCACTCCTGAAAGGTGGGGGGGGGAGGGGTGGGGGATGAGGAGGGGGAGGGGGAGAGGGGAGACCGGAGGGAAGATGAGGGCAGATATGATTTAAAAAAACATTTAAGGGGGAAAAAAAAGCTGAATTTTGAGACGACTCAAAAGACTGAAGGGAAGGAAGGAGGGATGAAGCTGCAGGAGGAACTCAAACCCAAACTCTCTTCCACAAGATGCCGAAAGCTAGACTCTCCCTGTCTCCACTTGTGAATACAGTGACGTTCACCCGAGCGAACACAAGATCTCTATTTGTTACCTATTTGGTAGAGCCCCTGTCTCCACTTGCGTATTCTGTCCAGCCCCACTCGAGCCACCACCTCCGCTCTCTCCTCTGCTACACAACAACCTACTTCATCATACTGACCCTTTCAGAAGCCCACCTATTTGGTACAGCCCCTGTCTCCACTTGTGTATTCTGTCCAGCCCCACTCGAGCCACCACCTCCGCCCTCTCCTCTGCTACACAACAACCTACTTCATCATACTGACCCTTTCAGAAGCCCACCTATTTGGTAGAGCCCCTGTCTCCACTTGTGTATTCTGTCCAGCCCCACTCGAGCCACCACCTCCGCCCTCTCCTCTGCCCACGTCCTCATCGCCTCATCCACCTCATTCTCACTCGCCCTCCTGCGCCTCTCCATGCTCTCACTCCCCTTCCTCCACCTCTCCCTGCTGCCACTGCCGCTGCCATCTTCCCCCTCCCCCTCCCCCTCCCCCTCATCTTCCTCCTCCAGCACCCCCAGCTGCGCGCCTCTGTCTTCCCAGGGGGTGTCGATGGATGGGATGGGGGGCACCAGGCGCAAGGGACCCATGTAGGAGTCCGGGAGAAGCATCTCGGAGCCATCGTCCTGACAGGCATGGGGGGGGTTGTGTGGGGGGGGAGGTGGTCAACAAGGGGCACTAGGCGCAAGGGACCCATGTAGGAGTCGGGGAGAAGCATCTCAGAGCCGTCGTCCTAATGAGGGGTGGGGAGGAGATGGGCGAAAGAAGGAGGGGAGAGAGGTGCTCAGCAAGAGGCACCAGGCGCAAGGGACCCGTGTAGGAGTCTGGGAGGGAGAAGCATCTCGGAGCCATCGTCCTGGTTGGCGCAAAGGAGCAGGAGAAGGGGGTAGGATGCTTTTGAGTCGACTCAAAGGAGCAGGAGAAGGGGGTAGGATGCTTTTGAGTCGACTCAAAGGAGCAGGAGAAGGGGGTAGGATGCTTTTGAGTCGACTCAAAGGAGCAGGAGAAGGGGGTAGGGACAGGGAAGCCATTGTGAGACGTGAGAGGTGATTAAGAGGCCCCAGCCTCCAGGCGCAAGGGACCGACGTAGGAGTCTGGGAGAAGCATCTCGGAGCCATCGTCCTGATGAGAGAATGGGGGTAACGGGGGGAGAGGTGCTCAAGAGGCACGAGGCGCATCTGGGAGAAGCATCCCTGAACCTAGACATGAGCAAAACCGGGTAATTACCCGACCCGACCCGGTTTTGCCCTACCCGCAATCGGGTCCGGGTCGGGTCGGGTCGGGTAATTTCCGGGTAATGTTTGGAGGTCTGTTACCCGACCCGACATTTTAATACCGGGTAATTGGGTACCCGTCTGTCGGGTCGGGTATACCCGACCCGCATTTAATTGAAGTCGGGTAATATTACCCGGGTACCCCTAGGTGGCTGTAAAATTCAGCAAACCCAGAGTAACAAACCCAAAGTCGGGTCGGGTACCCGTGACCCGACGGGTAATAAATTACCCGACATTTCGGGTAATTCTCGGGTTACGGGTATGCATTACCCGGCCCGAGTACCCGACCTGACCCGGCCGGGTAATTCGTCAAAATCCTATTACCCGACCCGGCCGAAATGTCGGGTCGGGTCGGGTACCCGCGACCCGACCGGGTAAAATGCTCAAGTCTACCTGAACCTCCTCAACCCCTCTTTCGACCGCCCATCACCGCTCTGCACCCACCTGCACTCGGGGGAAGTCGACCACGAATCCGCTGCCGATGACCGGATCCACGAGCTGGCACTCCTTGAGCAGTGCAGCATAGGCCTCCCGGCGCATGCTCCTCAGCTCGCCACACTCTGCGCTCGTTGCTGCAGGGCTCACCAGCCCTAGGAGATACTCCCACACCTCCGGCCGAATGCCAGGCTCGCAACCCTGTATCAGTGTGTCAATAGGAGGAGAAAAGGGGGGAGGGAAGGAAGGCGTTACAACTTACAAGCAGAGTGCAACAAGAAAGTCCTCCCTGCGCATGCCATGCCCTCGGACCCTAAACGCACGTACCCCTCGCTGTATGAACCTGAGAGCAGCGTCCAGGTTCGCCATGCGCCCCTCGAGATCCAGCCAGATACTCCCATAACTCAGACCGAGAGAGCTCCCGTGCAGCATGTAGGGAGATCTAGGGAGATCTAGGGAGATCTAGGGAGACCTCCATTGTTGCACATACATACCCCTCGCTGTATGAGCCTGAGGGCAGCGTCCAGGTTCACCATGCGCCCCTCGGCATCAAACATGTCGCTCCACTTGTCCTCTGAGAGACGCTTGCTCGCCTGCCATGCCATGCCGTGCCATGCCATGCCATGCCATGCCATGCCATGCCATGCCGTGCCATACAATGCCATGCCATGCCATGGCGTGCCATGCCATGCCATGCCATGCCGTGCCATGCCGTGCCATGCCATGCCATGCCGTGCGATGCCGTGCCATGCCATGCAACGCAGCAGGGAGAGATGGTAAGGCACAGTGATACAAAGGCAGTGCAAGCTAGTAGAGCCATTGTGCATTCACAATGCACGTGATGCCGCATCCTGCCACACAGGCGCGTGTAGCACTCAGTGTGTGAGGGGCGAGGTGGGGGGGCGAGGAGGAGGGAGGGGGAGAGGGGGGGGAGGAGGAGGGAGGGGGAGAGGGGGGGGAGGAGGAGGGAGGGTAGCGGGGGGGGGGGAGGGCAGTGACGGGAATCTAACTCACCCGGGGTCGGAATTTGCTGACGGTACCGACTTGGACATCCTGGCGCACGGGGTAGTACGCGTCCAGGTCCTCTTCAACCAGCCCTCCTTTGAAGAACCCCCGGAGGAACGACAGCGCCATGGCCGGTCCAGCGAGCGTTGCACTCGGACCTGATCAGAGGAGACTTTCAAGTCGACTAGCGAGCGGCATGGCTGGTCGAGAGAAGCTCGCAACCGGACCTGATCAGCGGCTAGCCGTACCATGTCGTGTCATGACTCATGACATTTCGTCTCGTGTTATAACGTCTCGTGTAATGTCACGCTATTTCACGTCAAGTCATACTATTCCGCGTACTTCGTGTGACGCTATTTCGTGTCATGTCGAGCGATGTCATGGCATGTCAATGACACTTTAGGCTGGATTCCTGTCTACCGTTCTCGACAAGTAACGCAACGCTCCAGCGAATATGCTACAGTAACAGCCAAGAAGCACGCATTCACACATATGGAAGTACAGCGAGCATTACTGGCTTGGATTCCCAGATTCGACAAATAGCTCTGAGCTGCCGATCGTTTACTCGCAACAAAAACCTGTGAGAGAGCATTTCAAAAGCTGCAGTCAGCTTTAGAGACTTGACGTTGAGTGTATAAACTCTAGAGACACTAGAGACGGCCGCCTGGCAACTAAACTAACTGTTCCGGTCTTCAAGTCCTGACAATTCTAGGACTGGCAGGCTGGCAAAGCAACTGATTTGGTCCCTCCCAGATGATTGGCCACCTATTTTCTCTGGAGCTTGACTTGCTGACCTAGCACTTGGCTGACTGCCCTAGGGGTTGGTTTCTGGCGTCAAGAATGTAACACCACGAATTGGCGAAAGAAACACCAGAAATTTTGCGACTTATCGAACTACCGGTAACTGTCTACAATATTGCACGCTTTAGTAAAACGTAGAAACTGGCGATTGGCTCAGGTCCTCGTGCAGTCACATTTTCCTCTCTAGATTGGTGTTTTCCCTATAAACGTGATGCAATCGCGGCCACTGAGTGGAGAACGCGAGCCGTCCTAATCGAGCCGCACAATCCGCCGCTCGATAACTCCCAGCACTCCCCAACCAAATTCCCCCAAACCCCTAACCACCGGCAAAATTGCGTCCCCCGCCATGAGTACATTTCCGCTCAAAACCGTATTTAAACGTTTTAGGTTAGTATTTGATCTTTCTGAATCAGAAAGCACCTCACTCATCGCAATCATAAGTCCACCCTGATCCCCCGCTTTCAAAATTGCGCCCCCATTCCGTCCGCTCAACCCTTTTTCCTCAAGCGTGACAGGCGCAAGCTTCAATATTCCCCCTGCTGCTCTTCCCCTGACTACTGACTTCTCCGCCCCGCGGAATTGCTGCCTCCCCACAACTTCCGTTTGTATCACATGGCAAGGATTGTTGCGCCAAGAGACGTCGTCTCGTCTCGCTTCGGAGCACCCTGGGCGCGCCTCGGAGTTAATCAGCAACGCTCCCGTCCACCCTTGCTTTTCCCTTACCTTCAAAACTCACTCGCATTGCAGCAGCCATCCCGCCAGTGCGATGCGACAGTCCAGATTGTAGCCGAACTTTGCCCACCAACCAACCAAACATTTCCATTGCACGTCCGAATTGACAAAAACCGTAAACGTCACCCACAGCCCCGCTCACCGCCAGTCCTTCGTTCTTTCGTCACACCGCATCTAGCTAGTCCGCGCATCTAGTTCAACTCTCGTCGCTCTTTCTCACACACGCTATTGTATCGTCATCTGCAAGGCAACCAAGCAGCTTAGAAGTGCGCATCTCACGCTATCGTGTATCTAGGGACGGGATGTGATCAGGCCAGTAAAGTTCTTCGTGAACGGCGCAAGAGAGTAGGAACTTGCTATCGGAACGTCGATTTTTTAGGCGAATAGGAACTTGCTATCGGAACGTCGATTTTTTAGGCGCCTCAAAAGTAGACTCCTCACGCAGGAGAGTAGGAACTTGCTATCGGAACGTCGTTAGCAGAAAGCAGAAAGGAGGGCGCGCCATACGCGTTATTAGCACGAATAGCACGCGCAAAATAGTTTCTGGTCCTAGTGAGCCCATCCTTAGTCTGGCACGCGTTGAAGCCCTCAGTGAGGAGCCACCAGAAATACGCGTAACTCGATAAATACGCGTCTATCCATAGCTCCATCGTAACCTCTACCCGAGCACCTCCAGTCTCTTCTACCGCCTTGAGACGGACTAACGAATGGTGAGTAAAGCGAACTGTCGGATACCGCGGGAAAGCGGCGCCTCTAGCACGCGCCCACACCAACCTCCCCTTGCTCTCCAAGGAGTCCTTGCGCGCAGTCCTCCCAGACGACCTCCAGTGCCGCGCCCCTCCCCCTGCGCGGGGTGCGCGAGTCGAGAGGGAGCTGAAGCCGCTGATTCCTATGACTCGTGTCCTGCTTGCGCCTCTCCCCCTTCCCCCTTATTCCCCCCTTCTTCCCCCCAGGCATCCGCACACGCGCCTGGTAGCGCGCCGCTTCCCCCGCGCGTGGTGCGCGAGGTGGCGCGGGAGCTGAAGGCGCTGCAACAGTGCGCCCTGGACGGCATCCGCGTCACTGTTCACGATGACAGCATCGCAACCGTCCATGCGGAGATCGACGGCCCTGGTGAGCAAGTGGAGGTTACTAATCTGCGTGGTGCTGGCCTCTTCCCGCGTCCCTCGTCCCTGGTCCCTCGTCCCTCGTCCCTCGTCCCGCCTTCACTGCGCCGTGAAGTTTACCTCTCTTCATTCCGGTGAAATGCGCCCCTAACCGCTCGCGTATTGCTTGTGCGTTTCGTATTCGCGGTGTTCGCGATGTTGGCGCTGTTCGCAATGTTGGCGATGTTCGCGATGCTGCATGGTGACGGTGCGACGGGCAGTCGGCACGCCGTACGAGGGCGGGGTGTTCCGCATGAAGCTGTTGCTCGGGCGAGACTTCCCCCACGCCGCCCCCAAAGGTGTGAACTAACACTACAGAGTAGCCGTGCAGCTTCAACCGGGGAGTAGCCCCTTTTCGTGCCTCTAGCCCCATCATTCGTGTTTCGGCCTCCGCACGGTCCGTTCTTCTTTTATACGATGCTCATACAGAGCTTTTCATTTGTCCAGAATCATGACGTCGCCCTAACAGGTTGCCACCCGGCGCCACCCTCACCCTGCCTAGGCTTCGCTTGGACTCGAAATATCGCCCTTCAATCCTATCCCTGCCGCCCCTCCCTTGCAGGCTTCTTCCTGACGCGCATTTTCCACCCCAACGTGGCCAAGAGCGGCGAAATCTGCGTGAACGTGCTCAAGAAGGACTGGAGGGCCAGCCTCGGGCTTAAACACGTGCTGCTGGTGAGCTGAGGAGAGGGTGGGAGGATTGTGGGCTTAACCTTGTGCGTGTGTTTGCCTTGCACGTTGTAACAGTCTGTATTCTAGTGCGCTGGGCGACACTGTTTGTGCGCTGGGTCCTCCTACTGAGATTGACTGCGTTCAACTCCCCCTCATTGTTTCTCTAGTCCTATTCGACCAATGCAGGTGGTGCGGTGCTTGCTCATTGAACCTTATCCCGAGTCCGCTCTAAACGAGGACGCCGGGAAGCTGCTTCTGGAGGACTATAACGCGTATGCCCGCCACGCCCGGCTCTTCACGTCCATTCATGCCACCCCTACCGCTCATTCAATTCTGACGTCCGGGGGAAAGGCCAAGCAGCAGCCCCAGCAGCCCCTGCAGCATGCTCAACACGAGCTTGTGAAAAAACCTTGCCAGAACCAGCAGGGTGAATGCACGCAGTCAACCCAACCTACTGCAGCAGTAGCAGCAGAGATTGTGGGACAGGCAGCAGCTGACCCTCCTACAGACTCTGCTGCTACTGGTGCTGCGTCTGTTGCTGATACTGTGGCGACTCATGGCGACATGAGCAGCACTCCACTTATCCCACCTGTTGCTGCTGCAGCTGCTGCTTCTGCTGAGACAGGTGGTAACAATCCTGCTGGCAATGTCTCATTGGTTCAACATGCCCCCCTGGCAACCAATAGGTCGCTTGCTAATGCCGACTCAAGAAGGCAGGCGAAGGCAGGAAACAGCTCACCAGGCATAGTGGAACATGAAGCAGCAACGAGCACAGGATCTGGTTCTGTAAAGGCCAAAGGGAAAGGAGAGAACACAGGTCGGGGTGGAGCGGACAGGAAGGCTGATTTGAGAAAGAAGAGCCTACGGCGACTGTAGTTGTGAAGTGTTACTCGGTTTATCGTATTCCCTTTCGTGGGTTGTAATTAGTGTGTCCTTGTGCCAAGGTCATAACGTCTTTTACTTGATTTTGTGATGATGTTGATACACAACGTACACGGTAGTTCATATATTTAGGAAGTGTGATGTAGTGACCGTGTATTGTACAAGTATCCAAGCTGTTTTCTGCGTGATCGACTTGCTTACTGATACAGTACTTTGGCGCCAAGCCCAGAAAGGAGGTCAGATTCCTCGTAGGTCATATCTGTGGTTTGGGGGCGGTTGTGTGGCACCTGTTTGCTCGCCAGGCGAGGGATTCCATTCGCCAGATTTTCTTTCGGTCAGAAAGGGGTAGATTTGTCTGGTTCGGTTCTGGTTCGGAACGAGTTACGGCGCTCTACGGTGCCGCGAGCAAGGGTTCCGCTTAGGTCTGGTGTTGACGAGCCGGAGGTATGAGATTTGCAGCGCGGGAGCCAGATTTGAAAAGTGTGGGCGGTGATGGGGGGAACAGAGAGGCCTGGAGATTGTCGTGGCCCTTCAGCCATCCCCAGCCAGACTGGAAGGAAGCAGCAGAGTTACTGTACAGTAGAAGTACACCTGCTCCACGCTATGATTCTCAGACGAACTGTCCAGATTGCAGTTCCCGCCAGATCTTGTCATCCCTAGGGTCCCAATTGCAATTCTCGCCTATTCGTGTCCCCCTAAGTTCAGTCTCAACCACCAGGTACCGAGCTAAACCGCATCAGGCCGAAACGTTCGACATTTTGCCCCAGAGTTACTGTGCATTTTCGGGGCTAATGACCCGTTTCCATGTGTATTGAAATTTCCGGAGAGCAGGTCCGATCCGCGTGAAAACATCCTTCTTCCTTAGCATGAAACAGGTGCATTTGCAATCCGCCTTATGCTAATAGGGTAAATATTCTTGTTTGACTTATTTTAAAGGTACAGATATGCTAAACCCTGTAGTTCGAAGGGTTCGGTGAAACCGACTCGTATATGTTCAGGGCTATCTCTAACACCTCCCTTTCCTTACGGAGAGTTTTCAGGGGTTCCCGCTTATTTTTAAATCTACCACCCCCCCCCCTCCCGACACCCCTCCCCTCCCGCCACCCTTCCCCCCCTCGGTTTGTCATTTCACACCCGTCATTTTCCCCCAAGCTGTGGCAGTTTTTTTCCCCCTCTCCCTCGTCCCTCTCCCCATTGAATTACTGCCACGTATTCATAAAGGGCGCCATTTTTCCAGTCTTGAATCTGACTCAAGAGACAAAGTTTGTCTCGGTTTTCATGCCAGTGGTAAGGCAGAATGCCATGCCTTGAGCTTTTGTTGCGCGTGTGGTAATTGGAGGTCGTACTTCCTGGCAGTTCTTCCTCTACTGCCTCAGTGGTCGTACAATTTCTGTATGCCAGGGGAGGTTTGGCCAAGCTCTACGAGTGGTTTTTGTAAACGTTTGTTTGAAGGGAATATTTTTTCCTGAGCTGTTATTTTAAGGGTAAATTTTGAGGGCCGCTCTTCTGTCCGAGCGCCCCAAATACCTAGCATAAGCTCTGTAGTGGCGCTCAAACCAATGTGCACTGCCGCCGCGCCAGCGCGACGAATTTGCTGTCGGCGCTCGATCAGCATTCTAGCTCTTGAACCAACTGAAGCCGCCAGATTAGCTGGGCAACCACGAGGATCCACCGGGATGAGTGGTCAGGCCGACATATCCGCAACTTGGAAACAGCCAGGCCGCGTACGAGACAATGCGTGAGGAGATTGGTGGATAAACTGCGGGTAAGCGCGGCAAAACCAAGGGCCTGGTGGGAACGCCTCCCCCCTCATTCCCCCCCCCCCCCCCCCCTCTCTCAGTGATGCGCCACTTAGCGAGGTCGCCGTCATCCCCCTGACCCGCCGAACCTCGAAAATGCGTCGCCTGGCCTACTATTTTTCAGCCAGCGCTGAGAACCACCGAGCCAGCTCCCCAGGTAGGGAGGGAACTCACTTGTCAGCAACTGGTATTCTCTTCCCCAAATCCCAGACCCGCGCCAGCAATGCTGGTCGCTGGTCGGTTGGTCACCCCCCGTGAGTAACCCTCCACCCCGCCCCTAGCCAGGCACAAACCTCCCCACTCCCCACTCCCCCCTCCCCACTCCCCCCTCCTCCCTCCCTGCTCCCCCAAGCCAGTTCTCCGTAATAGGTCCCCGCTGGTTTGGTTAGTGAGCAGTGATCACCCTGAGGGAAAACCCAAGGCGGTGGTGAGGTACACAGCAGTGTACCAGAGGCCTTGTGGTGGTGTGTGTGAGTGATCCGCCCCGCAGCGCAACTCACCTCGCTTTCTTCAACGGCCTTCGTGTAGCAGTTATCTATCGTTCAGACCAGCTCGACGCAGTCGCAGTTTTCCGCGATCTTCTCGTCTATCCTCACTTTCCAGCTGATCCGATAGCACGGCTAACCTACAGTCTTTCGTAGCTGAGCTGTTAAGCTAGGCTGGCTAGGTTGGAGGTATTGTTCGACTTAGCGGCGAGCCATGTTCTGATCACGCACCTCGGATTGATGTTGTAAACTCGACGGCGACGAAGGCCTAAGAACACGGGACCGACTCAGTTTTCTCGCTTTAATCTGTTTCTACACCGGTTCGGAAAAGATCACACTAGGCCGTCTCTCTGGCCCACCTCGCAACGTTGCACTCGACACGGGACGTGTCAAACCCGAGGCGTTGTAACTTTCCCAGAAGAAGTCGAGCCTTGCCAAGAGTTCCACTTGAGACAGGACGAATCAAGCTCATTGCCCTTGCAACGTGCTCAGAAAAAGGCTTGCTAACCTTGCCAAGGGTCACACGTCTAACCTTGCCGAGGTTTGCTCTTGACAAGGAAAGAGCAGATGTCGCCTAAGCCTGGCCCGCTGTTCCACGTCCCATGGCGCTGGATGGGAGGTTTCAAGGTGAGCACCTTTTCGAAGTCAACGGATATTTCCCTAGTGCTGGTGTGGCGCTTTGTGAGTCAAATCAGTTGAGACCAGAAGCGTTTTGCGCCGACTCAAATACGAAATGTGTGAAGGTCGTTTTAATCTCGAGCCTGTCACATTCAGCAAAAGTCAGCTCGGATGTCTCGTCTTAGCTGGCATCATCACCGTTGAACACTGAACTTTCGACTTCTTACCTCTTTCTTACACCCTCTCCCTCCCCCCCTCCTCCCCCTCCACTCTTTCCTACCCTCCTACCTCCCCCCGTAACGCCGCCTTCCCCGCAATCCGACACTCCCCGCAGTATATGATCCTCGCGCCGTTCCTCGCACGTGCCGTGCACGCGCATCTGTACGGCGGCGATGACGTGGACGCGTGGAGCTTCCACATGGTGCTGCTAGCGCTGCTGCGATTCGCGCACGGGAACCTCTGGATGGCCGTGTCGCGGTGGCCGTACTTAATCGACCGGTACAGAATAGAGAAGAAGGGGATCAATTTCGACCAAGTCGATCGGGAATCGCACTGGTGAGTGGCTTTTGAGCCGACCTAGGGGATTTCTCTGCATGGCTGTGTCGCGGCCCGTATCACCTGGCCGAGGTCCAGGGTTGTGCCAGACGATGGTCATACGAGGCGACGGCCGTACGAGGCGACGGCCGTACGAGGCGACGGCCGTACCTGGCGACGGCCGTACCTGATCGAGCAGAACTGAATGCAGACGGGGCGATCTAATCCGACCATGTTGGTCAGGAATGTCACTGGTGAGCGGCTTCTAAGCCGACCTATGGGCTTGAGCGGCTTCTAAGCCCACCTAGGGGCTTGATGGCTGTGTTGCGGCCTGTATCACCTGGCCGAGGTCCACGGCTGTGCCAGGCGATACAGCCGACCTAGTGGCTTGAGCGGCTTCTAAGCCGACCTATGGGCTTGATGGCTGTGTTGCGGCCTGTATCACCTCGCCTGGCACCTAGGGGCTTGATGGCTGTGTTGCGATGGCCGTACCTGGTCGACCGGTACGGAATGCAGGCGAAGGGGATCAATTCCGACCAAGTCGTTAGGGAATTGCGCAGGAGTGTGTTTTCTGGGTCGATTCAGGAATCATTTCCCTGTGCGCTGCCGATGACCGCTACTGGTAAGCGACCATGACCGCTACTGCCGATGACCGCTACTGGTAAGCGACCATGACCGCTACTGCCGATGACCGCTACTGAATACAGAAGACAGGGACACATCTCGACCTAATCGACCGTGAATCGCGCTGGTAAGCGTCCCGGGCTGTGACCCAATGCCGATTTCGAGCTCAGCCTTTTATTCCGAGTGCACGCTGCCCGGCCGCTACAGGATACAGACGAGGGGGACACATTCCGACCTAATCGACCGTGAACCGCGCTGGTGAGAGTCGCGGGCCCGCCCTGTGAACCAAAGCCGATTCCGAGCTCAGCCTTTCTCCGCCCAGGCTCAGCCCTCCCCAGGCCTTGGTCTGGCGGCGCAGCAGCCGACCTTACCGCCCGCCTACCCGTGCTCCCCGAACGCCCGCTCCCTCCCCTTTCGCCCAGCACCCACTCTCGCCTCTCTCATTGCTCCCCCTGCCCCTTCTTCCCCCGTCCCGTCTTCCCCCGTCCCGTCTTCCCCCGTCCCGTCTTCCCCCGTCCCGTCTTCCCCCGTCCCGTCTTCCCCCGTCCCTTCTTCCCCCGTCCCTTCTTCCCCGCCCAACAGGGATGACGCCATTATCCTCCAGGCGCTAGTGATCACCGCCCTCCGCGAGTGGTTACCAGGCGCGCACAACCTCCCCCTCTTCAGCTGGCAGGGCTTGGCGCTGATACTAGCGCTACACGTGGGGCCGGTCGAGTGCCTCTACTACTGGTGCCACCGTTTCATGCACACTCCGTTCTTCTACGCCAGCTACCACTGCCACCACCACGCGTCCGTCCAAACGGAGCCGTCCACGGCGCACGTGCACACGTTCCTGGAGCAGGTCGGGCACGCGCTGCTGCTCTGCCTGCCCGTGGTGGGCACGTGGCTGCTGGGCGGCGCGTCCATCGGCGCGCTGTATGTGTATTGGCTGGCGTGCGACTTTGCGAACGCCGTGGGGCACTGCAACTTCGAGTTTGTGCCTGTGTGGCTGCTGCGCGCGCTGCCGTTCCTCAAGTACCTCGTGCACACGCCCACGTGAGTATGAGTTTGAGTTTGCTTTTGGGTTAGTCTGACTGAGAGGGAGAAGTCAGGGTTTAGTGAATGGGGTGGGGCGTTGTAGGTTCGAGTTTGTGCCTCGTGTGGCCGCGTTTGCTTTGGGTTTAGTCTGTTCCAGAGGAAAAGGGGGCTGTTTGAACGCGGGGCATTGTAGCTTCGAGCTCGTTCCCGCCTGGCTGCTGTGCGCGCTGCCATACTGCAAGTACCTCGTGCACACGCCCCCCTTCCGATTGTGCGTGCAACCCGCCGGTTCTTCCTCTCCCCCCTCAAACCCACCACCCACCCCCCCGCCCCCCCCCCCCCTCCCTCTCCCTCCAATTGCGCTTGCAGGTATCACTCGCTGCACCACTCGGAACCGAGCAGCAACTACTGCCTGTTCATGCCTGTGTATGACCTCCTAGCGGGCACTGTCAACCCGAAGACTGACCACGTGCACAAAGAAGCTCGGAAAGGTACCTAAACAGGCACTCGGCATATACAGGCACTTGGCATGTACGGGCACTTGGCATGTATAGGCACTTGGCATGAGTAGGCACTTCCATCCCACCACCGCTGGTCACGTGCACCAGGAGACGAGGAGAGGTCAGCTGCTGCCATCCCACCGAGATCAGAGACCATTAGCGCTTTCAGGTAGCTCTCGCACCACTGAGGTCTTAGAGGATTCTCGCACCACCGAAGTCTTGGAGAATTCTCGCACCACCGAGGTCTTGGAGAATTCTCGCACCACCGAGGTCTTGGAGAATTCTCGCACCACCGAGGTCTTGGAGAATTCTCGCACCACCGAGGTCTTTGGAGAATTCTCTCACCACCGAGGTCTTGGAGAATTCTCTCACCACCGAGGTCTTGGAGAATTCTCGCACCACCGAGGTCTTGGAGAATTCTCTCACCACCGAGGTCTTGGAGAATTCTCGCACCACCGAGGTCTTTGGAGAATTCTCTCACCACCGAGGTCTTGGAGAATTCTCGCACCACCGAGGTCTTTGGAGAATTCTCTCACCACCGAGGTCTTGGAGAATTCTCGCAGCTCAGCCTATTGACTCCACGGTAGCTCTCGCGTCACCGAGCTCTTTCTGGCCCACGGCATCAGCCTGCTGTCCTCCTTCCACCAGCCCTGCCTCGTGCCCACACTCACAAGCTGCTACCCTTCCCCGCCCCCCTCCCCCCTTCCCCACTCCCCCCCAATCACCAGGCCCACCCCCCACCCCGACTTTGTCTTCCTGGCCCATGGCGTCAACCTGCAATCCTTCTTCCACCAGCCCTTCCTAACGCCCTCCCCCCGGTCTGCTCTCTTCTCCCCTCCCTGTGCCTCTCATCCCTTCTCCCACCTTTTTTTTGCAGGTTGTTTTTGATAATTCTCAAAAACACCCTGCAAATTTATGAGAATTCTCAAAAACATCCCCCACCAGGCCCCATAGCACCCCGACTTGGTCCCATAGAGCACCCCGACTTTGTCTTCCTGGTCCACGGCGTCAACCTGCAATCCTTCCACTAGCCGTTCCTCTGCCCACACTCACAAGTTGCTTCCTCCTTCCTCCCCTCTCACAGGCCCTGTAGAGCACCCCGACTTTGTCTTCCTGGCCCACGGCGTCAACCTGCAATCCTTTTTCCACCAGCCCTTCCTCATGCCGTACGGCTCCACGCACCCCTTCAAACCGACCTGGACCACGTTCGTTCTCCTCATCCTGTGCCTGCCGCTGTACGCGGTGCTGTGGTTCGTGTGCCCCGTGATTATAATGGACCGAAAGACGCTCAGAAGACGCAAGCTGCAGATCTGGACCGTGCCGCGCTTCGGCATCAATGTGAGTCTGTGCTTGTAGTGAATGTGCTTGTAGTGGGCGCTGCTCGTCCTCTGCTTGTTGCAGATCTGGACTGTGCGGCGGTTCGGCATCAACGTGAGTGGGGCTGGCTGTGTGGGTTTGAATGTGATTGTGACTTATTGTGTGGGTGCTTAAGTGGGTGTCTGCATACCTACTTCCTTCCCCCCATGTGTCTGCGCATTTGCTTCCTCCCCCCCATGTGTCTGCGCATTTGCTTCCTCCCCCCCCATGTGTCTGCGTACTTACTTCTCCCCTTATGTCTGCATATCTTCCCCACCCCTACCTCTCCCTTCTCCCCCCCCCCACCCCCCTCTCCCCTCTTTTATCCCCCGCAGTATTTCATCCCCTTTGAGAAAAACTCCATCAACCGCCTAATAGAGTCCGCCATTCTAGATGCAGACAAGCAAGGGGTGAAAGTGCTGGCTCTAGGAGCGCTCAACAAGAATGAGAGCCTCAACGGCGGCGGCAAGCTGTTTCTGGACCGGCACCCGGACCTCAAGGTTCGGATCGTGCATGGGAACACGCTCACAGCGGCGATCATTCTGAGGGAGATACGGCCCGACACCAGGGAGGTGTTTCTCACGGGCTCGACTTCCAAGCTTGGACGGGCCATCTCCCTGTACCTTGCGCTGCGAGGCGTGCGCGTGCTGGTGAGTTTATCGAGTCAGGTGTTATTTTCCTGTCGACTCAATGCTCAGCGGCGATCATGGCCGTATCATGGCCGTATCAGATCTGGCCCGATACCATGGAATTTTCTGACACGTGTTTCTCATTCTTCTGTGAGTGATTCTGTCGGAAGTTAGCAGGGTATTTTTGAGAATTCTCAAAAATACCCTACTGTGGGAAGTACTGACCCCCAACTCAACTCTCTCGCTCAATACTCTCTCTCGCCGCCTCTCTCCCCAATCACCCCTTGGCAGATGCTGACCCCCTCTAGAGAGCGCTTTGAGGCCATTCGGTCAGAGCTACCAGAGGAGCGGCAGCACCTGCTGGTGCAAGTGACCCAGTATTCACAAGCCAGCCAATGCCCGGTAAGCATTCGCCCTCTTAACCTTGCTGCAGCCTTGGAAAAGGTCCGGGTGCTTGGTTTGAAGCTTCTCAATCAGTGATGCAAGTGACACAGTACTCACAAGCCAGCCAATGCCTGGTAAACCCACCCTCTCCCAGAGGTAGGAAATGAGATGCTCATTTCCCACCATGGCGTGATGCTCTTTTTAGGCATAAATGAACACCATGCATGCTGAACACCATGCTGGAAAGAGGCCAGGGCTGGATGTACGGGGAGGAATCGTTGAGGTGCCTCAAATGTTTGACCATTTTTGCTCCCCCCCCCCCCCCCCCCCCCCACCCCTTTTTTTCCATTTCATGGAACCCTCAACCCGAACCCTCAATATCCCCATGGAGAAGGGTGTAGTGTGAGCAGTTCTTGACCTGACTTGGCTTGTTCCTCCTATTTCCTTTCCATGCACAGGTGTGGATCATCGGCAAGGGCATGATGTGGTGGGAGCAGCGGCACGCACCACCCGGTACACACTTCCATCAGTTTGTTGTGCCGCCCATAGCAGAGGTCCGCAGGGACTGCACGTACGGCAAGCTGGCGGCGATGCGGTTACCAGACGATGTGGAGAACCTCAAGTTCTGTGAGGTGAGCCTATTGCTGCGTTGCTGTTGGTAGTCCGCCTGTGTGTCCTCCTAGCAGGGGTCAGACTGCACAACTCGCGGCCATGCGGTTACCAGACGGTGTGGAGAACCTCAAGTTCTTTCAGGTGAGCTGTGCTACTGTAGGTGATTTGTTCTTTCTCTCTCTCTAAAAATCACCATGTGAGTTGAGCTGCCATGGTTAATGATCACTTGCTGTGAGCGGGTTGGATCGCAGCAAGCCAAACTGAGAAATATCGGGCTAATCTAAGCGTTAGATCTTACTAAGCCAGTGAGTTGAGCCGCCATGGGTGTTGATCTTGACCTCCTTACCTACTTATCCTTGCTCCCTATCACCTGCTTATCCTTGCTCCCTATCACCTGCTAATCCTTGCTCCCTATCACCTGCTAATCCTTGCTCCCGATCACCTGTCCCCAAGCCCTGTCGCTTATTCCCCCCCTTCAGCTGGCGTTGCCGTGCGGCCACATCTATGCATTCTATGCAGGAGGTCTCGTGCATCTGCTGGAGAGGTGGGACTCTCTTGGCACATAGCATGATTTCTCACCTTGCTGCCCCGTCTTCCCCCAATCCCCCTGCCCTCCCTCCCCCCCCCCACCTTCCGTCCTCAGCTGGCGTTGCCGCGCGGCCACATCTATGCATGCCATGCGGGGGGGCTTGTGCATCTCTTGGAGGGGTGGGACTACCATGAGGTGGGGCGCATTGATGTCAGCCGAATCGACCCCACATGGGATGCGGCCATGCGCCACGGCCTGCGACCCATGCAGTGATGCCAGTGCAGGGGTTCTAGCCCCATGCCGTGGTGCCAGTGAAGGGGTTCGAGCCCCTTGCAGCGATTTAGTGAGGGCTTACAAACACCATTGAGGGTTCTGTTCTACCCCTGTGGAGTGGCCAGGGCGGGGTATTTGCTGGTGGGAAGCAGCTTACCTTGGGCAGTGCAACATGACCAAGTAATCGCACTAACTCTAGGTGGGTTCTTCAAATTATCTCAGCAGCTCTTGGGTCAGTTCTGGTGCATGCATAGCTGCACTGCAGCTCTGCAGCAGTGATGCTGCTTCTGAGTGGAAGATATAGCAGTGTTAGGCTAGGTTTCCAAGTACAATTTGTCACTGTAAACTGCTGCAGTTCTGCAAGGCAGCTCGCATGCACTTTGATTGCAAGTCTCTCAATTTCATAGGGTTTCGTGTTTGGAGTATTGATGGTACGTTAATGGATGTTACACGTTCACTTGGGGCCTTCTAGCAGCACTCGTACAGTACGTGTTGCTCGTGCGAGCCAGGCACTGTCACACGTGTCAATCAGTCTATGACGTCAACACTACTGCCATGGGAGCAGGTTGTCATGTGATTCGATTCTTCTATTCATCTGGCTGCATCTGTTCTGCTGAATGCGTCATGGTCCGGTGACTCCGTCTCAGGGGTTTTGTTGCAATTGCTACTGCAACCTCCTGTGTTCACCCCAGCGACAATTTTATAAAAAGCAGCCCGTCAACAAACAGCCCGTCTGATTTCATCGAGGGAACCGCCCATTCAGTAGATGCCACGCGTTCATTTACAGGCCCATAAGTTCGAACACACGGGCAACGGCTCAGCCCACAGAGGCCCACAGATCTGCAAAAGTTACCACATCTGATACGAAGACCTCCAAACATGCAGACGGGACGTTCTCAGACCTTACACTTGTGCCCGAGAAACGAGAAAAAAAAACAACAATGGTCACCCGTTTTAGACTGGAAAATTCCAACGAGGTAACCAGACTACCCTTTATTGGCCCAATTCGCCCGTGAAAGTTATGTGCTCGACTTTGGAGCACCCGCTCGAAAAGAAAATGGGCCTGAAAAGGACTTCATGTGTAGTGTGTGAAGCTGCAGACCGTCAGTTACACGAACGTTCAGGCGAACCACCGCAGTCCACCCCGAACCCCAATAGCAAAACAGAGCAGTGCCGAGGCACACGTCGACGTTACGTCATCGAGCAGGCTGCTGCAACTACAGTACGCTCAGAATGTATCTTCCACGTCACTTGGAATTTCCCGCGTCTCTATCCACACCAACTAGCCACATGGAAGCCAATGAAGGAGATTTCAGTGCACCAAGAAGCGTGCAGGATGGTTGGGGAGATCCATTTGTGTGACGACGTGCTCGAACTGGACTGGCGGATTGAAATTTGCGTGGTTCCTCCAGATCGCTTCGCTAGCCTCCCTTCTGTCTGTCCCTTCTACTCCCTCCATTCCCCTGCCCGTTTTACCCATCAGATTCATCCATCAGTGCGCCTCGAAGAACCATAACCTCCAGATGTCTGTCAACGATTTCTGACGTGTCTCTTCGAGAGTCGTCCGAGAAGAACCGCCTTTCTTTTACTGACTGCGCATTACGCAATTCGATCATATTTCCACGGTGGTTGCCAGCTTGGCTGAAGGTGTGTTCTCGTCTCGCACGAGCCACTGATGTTGCGCCATCGCTAAGCAGCCAATATGAACCTGCGTAGTTTGGCGGGAGATTGGTGTTATGGGTGGTCCCTGAGGCCAATCACCTGCGTGGCAGTGCGGTCCAATCAGATGCCGAGCGAGTCCAGCCAGTTCTCGCTGAAATCCGCCAAGCCACTCCGGGCGAGGAGATGCCCGCGAGCAGGGCAGCCAGCACTGCGGTTAGGGGAATCGGCGGCAGAAGCTACGCAGGTGACGTGGAGATGCAGGGAGCAGCAGCAGGCGTAAACGCGACTCCCCGAGTACCCCCCCTCCCCTCCCCCTCTGCTCCCCTCCCCTCTCCACTCCATACCAACGAGCACCAGACCAGACCCTATGCCTTCCAGGAGAACCTCTCTAATCCTCTGAACACCTACAAATCAGAATTCTACCTCTCTACTCTTCCCCCCCCCCACCTCACTCCTCCTAAGCCAATCCATCCACCCTGCCACAACAGCAGCAGAAGCGATTGGGTTGGCGGATTTGGCGCAACACGCAACGTCCGATAAGGGAAGAGGGAGCCGCCGCCACACCAAACCCACCGCCATACGATACCCACAGCTCAACTCAAACCCTGGCCTGGACACGAAGAGAGACAATAAACGTCTTGAAGCACTACTTCGGTCCCATCTTCTCATCACCAGTGCTTTAGTAGGCTAGTTCTCCGACCCGCACTCTAGTGCTTGAGGCCCTGTCTTTCACATCGCAAACGACGCTTTAGCACTTAGTAGTGCCATATACAGGCCCACAATGGGTCCTCCCGCTCGTTCCTCAGGCACTGCGGTATCCGCAGCCTCAGCCGACTCCCGCGAGTCGACTAGGAGCTACGTGCAGATGGTGCAGCACTTGATTGAGCGATGCCTGCTGCTCAATTTGAGCCGAGACGAGTGCGTCGTCGCTCTGGCGAAGCACGCGGGAGTCAAGCCTGCTATTACTGCTACTGGTACGCCCTCGCGCTCTCGTTCTCCGTTTCGTTTCTAACCCCGGGTTCCTTCTTTCTTGTCGTCTAATATTTAGACGTTATTTTTTTCTCTGCTCTCCCGCCGTACGCCTTGAGTTCGGAGAATCCTAACCAGCACCTTTCATGCGCTTCCTTCCCCTGTGTTCTTCGTTTTCCTCTCCCCCGCAGTGTGGAAGGCCTTGGAGAAGGAGAATAAGAGCTACTTCGACGAGTACTCGAAGCAGCGAATGCTGCGGCGGGCCCAGAGTCAGCGGCTGCGCGCGCAGTACGCCAAGGATTGCGCGGAGAGAGTTTCCCAGTGCATGGATGTCTGGCGGTTGCCCGTTTCGGAGCAGAAACCTACGACCGACGCTCTGTACTGCGTCGCCGGGTTATAGGCTGTATCGCGGTACCTTGTATCGGAGCTCCTGCGCCAATCGGGAGCCCGATGGCGTGTCGAAACGTGTAAATATGGCCTCACGGCCGCGATTCTTCTCCCCGTCGGGAGCCAATTCACCACGACCGTTGATGACGGGTATCATCTGGACGGCACTCAGCAGTCTCGCGGGTTGTGCTGCAATGATTGTCGTCCCATCAGTGGGGTCGGTTGCTGGTGGCTGTAACGGAAGGCGTTTCGCATGATGGTTACCACTCGGACTGGCGATTGGAGCCGTATAATTGCAGCAAGCACACGAACTGCTGTGGGCTGCGTTACTGACTCGGGGTTCGGCTGAATCCCGTCTTAGACTAGGCTGATTGGATTGATGCGAGGAGGACCCCTCTTAGATTAGGTGTGCGGTGTGCGAGGGCCTCTAGTGTGTGAATACATCGATGAGTCGGGGCCCATTCACCCCGCTGTGTGTTTGTGTGCAGTAGTCTTAGCCTTGTCACTCTAAGCCATTTGTGGCCGTAGCTTGGCCCTGCAGTGAGTGGTTCCACGCGTCACTGCTGTTTGTGAGTGAAGCGAGTTAGCTGGATCTCTCCAGCAGTGTGCACTTTGAGTGAAAAGGGAGTTTTTTTGGTTGTGAAGTATTTGGAATTAAATGCTTTCTCGTCACAACAATCTAAACCCTTCATTGGCATTGGTGATTTAGATACTCCTTCTGGACGTCATTCCATCGTTAGGTTGATTTATCTTGCAACCAGTGGAGGAACGCCTGCTGCTATATTGTTACTAGATTTGTTCCGCAACCAGCAGAGAGGTAGCTGTTAGTATTTCGTTGCTGGAGCTTATTCGGCAACCAGCTGAGGGGAATGCTTGCTGCACTTCTGTTGCTGGATATTGTTAGGACTCCATACATATATCCATTTGATTATATGTTGCGCGTACCCTGGATATGGCTGCTTCGTGTGCCAGGTGTAGCTGGTGACTCAATCCACAGGAAGAGTAGTGTGGCGAGCTTGCGGTTGTCATGTCACTCGAGCAACATGGGCCACCCCTTCGCGGTACATCTTTGGTGGCTCCCTGAACCGCTGAGTATAACGAACCAGCCGCTTACACGCGTATGTTGGGGCAGCCCAATCCACGCGTCGCTGTCTGAGTGGGACATGTGCATGCCAACTCACCATGCGGTTATCACTGGGTGGGTGTTGTGGATACGCATCACGATTTTGATTGGCTGCATTTGGCTTAGATGCGTAAGCCGACGGAGCTTGCTGACCATCAATTGGAAGTTGGGGGGTAAACTCTGGCACATGGATGATACATGTGCTCTTCTGGCTGAGGGGACTTCCAAAGGTCGCCAGCGCAGGCGAGGGGAAGCTGTGCTGTGCTAGCACGGATTTCCGAATCTGAACCGTCCAATGTTTCCGAATGACGAGGAGACTCAGCATCGCCCGTCCGATCTCCCCAGGAGGACGCAGTATTGTGTGGAGGTGTTGGAATCTGACCTGTATTGGTGTCGTAGCCGATTCAACTTTCCTCCATGACAACTTATTATCCTTCAGGCCAGTGTTCTTCTGCTGGCACATGTGTAAAGTGGAGCACTAGAGTTGTGTATCTTATTACATGTAGTACGCATCTGCAACCAGATTGGCAGCAGTTCTCTGTTGATGCTTGAATACTCGGGTCGGGACTCGGGTTCCTCCATGGGTTGACGTGGGACCAGCAGACGAGAGTACATCATGCAGACCTGGTGCAGGCCTGCTCACAACCTTGATGGTTATCATCCGCGCTTCACATTCCTGACATTGAACCGCCGTCAAATGCGCTCATCAAGATTAAGATACCCGTCGGCCTTTTTCCAGCCTAGCGTTTGCTCTCACCATCTAGGCGCCGACTGCTGACATGCTGTCTGAACGTGCCGATTAAGCGACATTTTCCAAATATTCCCAGACATGCTAACGGAGCGTCTTATGGCGGATCACATACCGGTCTCAACCGTGGCTCCGCCGGACCGGTTCTACCTCGCCTACTTCATCTTCCTGCTGCTGGGCGTCGGCTTCCTCCTCCCGTGGAATGCCTTCATAACAGCCGTCGATTACTTCTACCTTCTCTATCCGACGGCTCATGTCGCGACGCTCTTTTGCGTCGCTTACATGTTCGCCAACCTCGGCACTCTTATTCTCGTCCTGCTGTAAGTAAGCGGCAGCTCCCTTGGTACCATTCTATCATGATCTCTGTCGTAAGGGTATTTGCGTCAGCATGTCCCCTCTCGCACCAACCTCTGCAATCTTTCTAACCTTTCTCAATCTGCCACGTGTCTCGCCCGATTCCTGACCCCAGGTACGGCCAGCACGTGCCGTCTCGCACGCGCATCGCCCACGGCTTCATCGCCTTCGCTCTCCTCGTCCTCCTCGTCCCCGCGCTCGACGCCATCTGCGCTCCCGGCGCCATTGCTCCCGGCACCAACCAAGGCGCACAGATTCCCGGCACTGCCGATGGTTCCGCTGCCGGTCTCGCCGGGAATTCCGCCGCCGCCTCCGCCGCGTCGTCGTCGCTGGCACTGGCGCTGACGGTGGCGGCGGTGGCGGCGTCGGGGGCGATAGACGCGGTGGTGCAGGGCAGCCTGTTCGGCATGGCGGGCGAGCTGCACGAGCGCTACACGCAGGCCCTCGCCGCTGGAACTAGCGTTTCAGGTTGGAGTGACTAGCGTTTCAGGTTAGAAGTGACTAACGTTTTAGGTGGGACGTGTCGCGTGGGCAATGTCAGGTGCGATGGGATGGAAGCAGTTTGTCAGGTAAGGTGCAGTGAACGTGCGTTTTGAGATGTCACAGAGCGATAGACGCGGTGGTGCCGGGCAGCCTGTTCGGCTTAAACGGGCGATCTGCACGAGCGCTACACGCAGGCCCTCGCCGCTGGTACTAGCGTTTCAGGTAAGATGTGATGTGGCGTTCTTTCGGAGTTCAGGATTTAGCGTATAACGAGCCAGATTTGACGTATCCTGATTACTCCTCGTCCGCGCCATCATACTGATTACTCGTTTGGCTCGGCGAGAATTCGCCACTTCGCCATGCGGGTTTGACTTTGGCGCAACAAGGATCGGCTGGGTAGGCCGCTTGTGCGGTCAGGCGCAAAATGGGTGGTGGGGTGGCTTTTGTTATCCCGCTGCCTGCTTCTGCCATGCTTGCCTGCGGGCCTGCCCAGTCACAATTCCGTCCCGCACTCTTTTCGCCTTGCACAATTTCGTACCCATTTCGTAGGGGTTTTGGACATCCGTCTCGCGCCCTGGGGCTTATTCGCTTAGTCTAATCGCTTTCACCCCCCTGTTCGCAGGCATCGTGGTATCCGCAGCGCGCATTCTCACCAAGGCGGTTCTCCCCAGCACCCGCGCGGGTCTGCGCCTCTCCGCGCACCTGTACTTCCTCCTCTCCGCGCTCATCCTCCTCGGCTGCGTCCTCGCCTTCCGCCGCATGCACAACCTCCCGGTCATCCGCTTCCTCCAATCGCAGGCTTGTCTCTCAGGCATCGTCCGTCCCTTTCCATCTCTGTTTCCCCCCTTCTTGCGCAGGCATCGTCGTGTCCGCGGTGCGCATTCTCACTAAAGCGGTTCTCCCCGGCACCCCCGCGGGCCTGCGCCTCTCCGCGCACCTGTACTTCCTCCTCTCCGCGCTCATCCTCCTCGGCTGCCTCCTCGCCTTCCGCCGCCTGCACAATCTCCCGGTCATCCGCTTCCTCCAATCGCAGGTCGCCGCGCTCGCCGAAGCTGAGCGCCGGGCCCGGGAAAAGGCTCGGCGAGCCGGGCCTGGTGCGGGTGTTGTAGCCGCGGGGGCAGTATGCCATGGTGGGGGCGGAGGTGAGGGAGGGGGGAGAGGAGGGGTGGGAGAAGGACATGTGGGAGGGGATGTAGGAGGGGTGGATATGAGCGCTGAGCATGTAGCTCCAGAGGGCAGGGTGAGGCAGGAGGAGGCAGATGAGGAGGAGGAAGTAGCTGACAGGGGTGCAGCGGGCGCTGGTGGGGATGATGATGAGGCGCTGGAGCCGTTGGTGAAGCGAGAGGCGACTGAGGAGGAGGAGCAGGTGATTCGGCAGCTGCTGGCGATCGAGGACGAGGCGGAGCGATGGGAGCAGGAGAGGGAACGGGACGTGTCAGCGGCAGGGACAGCAGCAGGAGCAGCAGAGACGGAAGGAGGCGCAACAGCAGCAGCAGAGAGTGAAGCAGAAGCAGGAGCAGAAGCAGAATCAGCACCTGATGTTGCTGCACTGTTGGATGGGCGTGGAGCAAGCAGAAGCGAGATAGCAGAGGTGAATGGGGTAGACCATGACAGGGATAGTTTGAGTCAAAATCGCGCTCACAGTAACGGCCACAGTCACAGTCATAGTCACAGTCACAGTCACAGTCACAGTCACAAACAGGCAACCAGCAAGGGCAGGCACTCACATGCAGTGGGCAAGGCAGGGAGGCGGAGGTGGGATCGGGTGATAGCCTGGTGGGAGCACACATTTCGGTCGGAAGACGCCATGCTGGCAGAAGGCCGTGCCTTCTCCCTCCACGTACCCCCTATAGTCGACTCCGCCCCCTCGATATACCACCAGCAGTGGCAGGTGATGCAGCAGATCTGGCCGTACGCTGCGTCCCTCTCGCTCGTGTACATAGTTACTATCTCCATCTTCCCTGGATTCATTTCGGAGCTTCAGTCTGACGCGCTCGGTTCCTGGTACCCTATCCTCCTTATAGGCATGTACAACGTGTTCGATTTTTTCGGGAAGATGGCGCCGGTAGTGTTCCTGGTGACGGATTTGAAGGTGTTAATGGCTCTAGTCCTGGCGAGAGGGGGGTTTTATGTGTTGTACCCCCTCTGTGTGTGGTGGGGGCCCTTATGGGCTCGACACGAGGTCGTTATAGCCGCTGTTACGGGGGCGTTTGGGTTCTCTAATGGCCTGCTGACGAGCCTGCTTATGATGGCGGCGCCGAACCAGGTGCCTCGGGACCGAGCCGAGTCGGCTGGTATGGTGATGGTGGTGTTCCTGGTGGTGGGGCTGTTCACAGGGTCGCTGCTCAGCTGGGCACGGCTGGGCTTTTGAGTCTTGAACGGTTGGGCTTCAGAACTAGTAGTTGGATGCAGATTCCTAGTTGTGTGAGGCGCCTCAGAACTACTGGGAGCTGGTATGGTGATGGTGATGGTGGTGCGCCTGGTGGTGGGGGGCTGTTCAACTGCATTTTGAGTCGACTCAAAATGCACCTGGTGGGTGGCTGTTCATAGCGTTGCTGCTCAGTCAGGCTTCTAATCAGATCGTGGCGGGTGTCTGATGGGACGCCGTTGCCTAGTTGATTACCAGGCGCCTCAAAACCATCCGGTATGGTGATGGAGTTGCTGGTGGTGGGGCTGCTCATTGGGCCTCTGCTCAGCTAGGCATGGCTGGGCTTTTTATCGGGTATGGGTTCTTGAGCCCCAATGAGTTTGGGCAGGAAGTATATTGTACATAATGCCTTCAGTGTATATTGCATTTCCAGTATTATCTGAAAACTGTTGGATTGGAAAACGAAGATGAATGATCCACATACGCTTGTTTGTTACTCTAATCGGTCCATATCTTGTGCTGCCATTGGGAGAGTTGTACCATGCAACGCTGAGCATTATATTCTTCTAGCATGCTTTGGTTAGGACGGTAACATAACGTAGAGTGTACACCATACCGCCAACAAAATATTGCTGGACAAACATACCCTTATTGATGTGGTATTACACAAGTGGCACCATTAGCTGCTCTAAAGCGTTTCCTTCTTCGTCATCCTCCATGCCCCTACCTCCTACCTCCCCGCTTGCCCTTCCTCTTCCTCCTCCCAGCGACCACCACGGCCAACAGCAGCACAGCCGCCTACCCATCCCCCCCCCTTGCCCACCCCCCATCACACTCCCTCCACCCCTCTCTCCCCCTCCCCCCCACACTCCACTCAACCCCCACCCTCCTCCTGCACTCTCACCCCCCCTCGCACCGCCACGGTGGGTCGTTTCGTCCTCTAGCTGCTGCTGCAGCTCCTCCACTCGCTCGCGCAGCTCCGCCACCCGTCTGTCTGCCGCCCGGAGCGACCGCTCGGCTGCTTCCCGGGCGGCGACTGCTGCTGCCGCCAGCTCATCGCGTGACGTCAGCATCGCTTGTGCCTCCTCTGCAGCTCTCTGCCACTTGTCAGCCTCCCCTTCCAGGCTGAGGAGCTGCGGAGGGGAGAGAAGGGGAGGGGAGTGAGGTGAAACGTGAGTGAGTGAGTGAGTGAGTGTGAACATGTGTGACGTCAGCATTGCTTGTGCGTCCTCCGCTGCCCTCTGCCACTTGTCCGCCTCACCTTCCAGAGTTAGAAGCTGCAGAGCAGGTGAGGGTGAGCAGGTGTTGGAGCGAGTGAGTACGCACGCAGGTGTGTGAGAAACAGAGAGCAAGAGTGTGCGAGAGACACTTAGGGAGAAAGGGTGTGTGACACACGTACACCTCATCTCACCCACACATACCTCATCTCACCCACACATACCTCATCTCACCCACACATTCCTCATCTCACCCACACATACCTCATCTCACCCACACATTCCTCATCTCACCCACACATACCTCATCTCACCCACACATACCTCATCTCACCCACACACACATACCTCATCTCACCCACACATACCTCATCTCACACACACATACCTCATCTCACCCACACATACCTCACCTTGCCCACACAGACAGTACCTCACCATACCCACACATACCTCTGACCTGACCTCTCATCTCTTCCAACCCTTCTGCCACTGGGGTCCCTGCCACTGGGGTCCCTGCCACTGGGGTCTCTGCTTCTTCCTCCTCCCTGGCAGCTTCCCTCCACCCACCATCCTGCCACGAATCAGAAGACCCGAGTGATTCACCCCTCGCACTCACCTGCCAGTGATTCACCCCTCGCACTCACCTGCCCTCTCATTTCTTCCATCTCCTCCGCCACTGCTGTCCCCGCTGCTGCCTCCTCCTTAGCAGCCTCCCTCCATCTCCCCGCCTCCGCCTCACACTCCGACAGGCTGGCTTGCAGTGACGTGATCTGGAAGGGGGTTTCGGGGGGAAGTGGGGGGGTGGGGGGGATGGGTAGGTGGGGGGGATGGGGTGGTCGGGGGGATGAGGTGGTGGGGGGATGAGGTGGTGGGGGGATGAGGTGGGGGGGGGGATGGGTGGCGAGAGACGCTGAGGCCTGCTGCCTGCCTCTTCCTTAGCTGCATCCCTCCATCTCCCCGCCTCCCCCTCACCCTCTGACAGACTGGCTTGCAGGGAGAGAATCTTAAGCGGCGAATTGGGGGGGGGAAGGGGGGTTGGGGAGTAGGGAGGGGGGAGGAGTGAGTGAGTGGGATGGTCTTGCCAGTTGCCACCTCCTCCTGAGCTGCATCCCTCCACCTGCCGGTCTCGGAGCTGCGTCCTGAAGGAGGGGATGGAGGTGGAGGGGGAGTGTGAGGGGGGGAAGAGTGTGGGGGGGGAAATGTTGGGGGGGGGGGAGTCCTCCCTCCTGTCGCCTCCTCCTCGCGGTCCGCTCTAATAGCATGGAATGCAGAGAAAGTGTGTGAAAGGTACTGTTCATTCAAGGTGCGACAGCAGCAACTCCCACGCAAGCCACAGGTGCACAGTTCCTTGAACAAGTCCCTCCCCGCTCACTCACCTGTTCACCTGCTCCCAGCAGCTCCTTCTGCAACTCCTCCATTGCCTCTCTCAGTCTACCACCTGCCTCCCTCTCCTTCCGCAACTCTTCTTCCGCCACTTGGAGCTCATGCCTGGTGGGGAACACAAAAGGGGGGGGGATGGGGTCATCCTCCGTGATGCAGTGCGGTGCTGTGCGGTGCCACTGCCTCTCTCAGCCTACCACCCGCGTCCCTCTCCCTCCGCACCTACCCTTCTGCCACTTGGATCTTGCCTAGTGGAAAACGCCAAGGTGGGGGTAGGTAGATAGGGGTTTTGGGAATTATTCCCCATGATGCAGTGTGGTGCTGTGTGGCACGCAGTGGCCATCGCCACTCACAGCATAGTGCCCGCCCCCCCTCCCCCAACTCCCCCCTTTCCTACTCATCCTGACTCACATGCTGCCCTCCATACCCCATAACCCCCCCCCCCATACATACCCCATAGCCCATACCCCATTCCCCAGTCCCCATGCCCCAGTCCCCATGCCCCAGTGTTGAGAATAGCCCTGATCCTGCGAAGGCTGCAGAAGTCTGCAGAAGCGGCAAATCAACGAAGTCTATGGATGCAAGCCCTGTAGAAAGGTCTGTCAACGAAGAGCACATTTGACGACAAAGCGCGGCTCTGCAGAAATGCTCGTCGACGGAGAGCAGTCCCGTCAAAGTGACTTTGTTGGTGATGGCGCAGCTACTGCAAGAGGCGAGTGGGCTCTACGACGAAAGCGGTCTTCTGTGGGAGTGGTCTGTGCACATTACGGAGTGTAGAAGACCCTTCTGCCGAGGGGTCATTTGCAGGTATACTGTCGTTTGCAGAAATGCTCGCGGAATGCGCTTCTACAGGCGACCCAACGGCAGAGTCAGAATTCGATACTGCACTGGAGAGGGGCTCCACGCGATCTGCGCAAGGGCCCATTCGCAGAAGAGTTGCTTTCTGCGGAGGGTCTGCAGACAGACAGTTTAGAACCGTCTTCTGCAGGGGACCTCTTCAGCGGAACCTGAAGCGTCGTCCCCAGAAGGACTCGCAGATTGCGCTTCTACACGTGACCCTTCGGCAGAAAAGAGAGACCTATATTTCTGCTGAAGGTGACATTCCGAAATCGCGAGGAATTTGCAACTTCGTAAACTGCCGAACTGGACCAATCTGGACCGAAAAGGCAAATCAACCATCGACATTGAGAAATTGAACACAGTTAACACACATTTCGTTACTGCGGAAATGTGCGTAACAGCTGACAGCTTCTCACATGAAACTGTTAAAACAACTACTTCCAAGTTGGTGAAAATTACCAGCTAAGCGTGTGCTGTAATTTTCACCTGCCATTGCCGACTTGGCTAAGTGCAGCTGAAAGTAGTTATGTACTGATTCCAGTGGGAACGTTCGGGCTGTGATCAATGAGGTAATACTAGTGCCTGCCTTTGAACCATATTATGTATTCTTAATTCTAGTGAATTTGTGTGTGCAAGCTTTCTCAAGCTACTCTGTAAGACACACAATTCTGAAGGCAACTCTCTCCTTAGAGAACAACGAAGTTAGAGTAGCTCTACCTCCGTCAGGCACTTCCGCAGAAGCTCCCTTTGTAGAAGAAACTCCGCACTCAGTCCCCATGCCCCAATCCTCTCCATGCCACAGTCCCCATGCCCCAGTCCCCATACCCCAATTCCCCAATCCCCATGCCCCAATTCCACAGTCCCCATGCCCCAATTCCCCAGTCCCCATGCCCCAATTTCCCAGTCCCCAAGCCCTAATTCCCCAGTCCCCATGCCCCAGTCCTCCCCATGCCCCAGTCGTCCCCATGCCCCAGTCGTCCCCATGCCCCAGTCGTCCCCATGCCCCAGTCGTCCCCATGCCCCAGTCCTCCCCATGCCCCAGTCCTCCCCATGCCCCAATCCTCCCCATTCCCCAGTCCTCCCCATGCACCAGTCCTCCCCATGCCCCAATCCTCCCCATTCCTCATTCCTCCCCATGCCCCAGTCCTCCCCATGCCCCAGTCCTCCCCATGCCCCAGTCCTCCCCATGCCCCAGTCCTCCCCATGCCCCAGTCCTCCCTATTCCCCAGTCCTCCCCATTCCCCAGTCCTCCCCATGCCCCAGTCCTCCCTATTCCCCAGTCCTCCCCATTCCCCAGTCCTCCCCATTCCCCAGTCCTCCCCATTCCCCAGTCCTCCCCATTCCACATGCCCCAGTCCGCCCCATGCCCAAGTCGTCCCCATTCCCCAGTCCTTCCCATGCCCCAGTCCTCCCCATGCCCCAGTCCTCCCCATGCCCCAGTCCTCCCCATTCCCCAGTCCTCCCCATGCCCCAGTCCTCCCCATTCCCCAGTCCTCCCCATTCCCCAGTCCTCCCCATTCCACATGCCCCAGTCCTTCCCATGCCCCAGTCCTCCCCATGCCCCAGTCCTCCCCATGCCCCAGTCGTCCCCATTTTACCAGTCGTACCCATTCCCCACTCCCCACTCCCCACTCCCCACTCCCCACTCCCCACTCCCCACTCCCCACTCCCCACTCCCCACTCCCCACTCCCCACTCCCCACTCCCCACTCCCACTCCCCACTCCCCACTCCCCACTCCCCACTCCCCACTCCCCACTCCCCACTCCCCACTCCCCACTCCCCACTCCCCACTCCCCACTCCCCACTCCCCACTCCCCACTCCCCACTCCCCACTCCCCCACTCCCCACTCCCCACTCCCCACTTCCCACTCCCCACTCCCCACTCCCCACTCCCCACTCCCCACTCCCCATTCCCCATTCCTACTGATTCTAACACTGAATTTTTCCCTGCTGTCCTGCATTCACGATTCTCCGCTGCAACTTCCTCTACCTTCCCTCCCCACAGACTCCCCCCTTTCTCTCTCACCATGTCTTTTCCATCTCTTCCTTCCTCGCCCTCCTTCCCTCTTCCACATCCTGCAGCGGAAGCTGCATCTCTCTTTCTCCTGTACAGCCACACACCCCCCAGACTTCCCCTTTCTCTCTCACCTCGTCTTCTCCATCCCCTCCCTCCTCGCATGCCTTCCCTCTTCCACATCATGCAGCAGCACCTGCATTTCGAGGTGACTTTTGAGTCGACTCAAAAGTCACCTTCCCTCTTCCACATCATGCAGCAGCACCTGCATTTCGAGGTGACTTTTGAGTCGACTCAGAAATCACCTTCCCCCTTCCACATCATGCAGCAGCACCTGCATTTCGAGGAGACTTTTGAGTCATCTGAAAAGTCACCTTCCCTCTTCCACATCATGCAGCAGCACCTGCATTTCTCTCTCCAGAGGCATCACTCACAAGAATGGATTGACGGACGCACCCCCCCCCCCCTTCTCTCTCACCTTGTCGCTTCCATCTCCTCCTTCCTCGCCCTCCTCTCCTCATCCATATCTTGCAGCAATAGCTGCAGTTCTCGCTCCTGTACCACACAACACCACACCACACCACACCACACCACACCACACCACACACAGACAGATAGACAGTTTTGAGGCGCCTCAAAACTAGCCGCAGTAGCTGCAGCTCTCGCTCCCGGAAAGCAGAAGACGGAAATCAGTGAGCGGCTCGAGTTAAGAGATGTGGGCAGTGTGTGTGAGCCTATTTCACCCGCCTTGCACGCATTCTTCTCTCCTGCACCCACCCTGGCTGCCAGTTTGGCTTCAGCTCACACAGCACGACTCTGTGCGGCTCTCTCTGTTCTTACACTCACTCACTTCCCTTTCCCGATGTTTCTGACGCCCCACAACCCACCCTTGATACCCTCTCGCACCCACCTTGGCTGCCAGTTTGGCTTCAGCTTTCACGGCTCTTTGCTGTGCGGCTCTCTCCCTGCCCCTCCACACCCTCTCTGCCCTCTCTGCCCTCTCTGCCCTCTCTGCCCTCTCTGCCCTCTCTGCCCTCTCTGTCCTCTCTGCCCTCTCTGCCCTCTCTGCCCTCTCTGCCCTCCGCTGAGTCGTCCAACAACACACCCTTGATTCCCACTTGCACCCACCTTGCCACCCCCTCGCACCCACCTTGCCACCCCCTCGCACCCACCTTGCCACCCCCTCGCACCCACCTTGCCTGCCAGCCTGGCTTCGGCTCCAACAGCACGATTCTGGGCGGCTCTCTCCCTGCCCCTCCACTCCCTCTCTGCCCTCTCTGCCTCTTCCAGTCGTCTCTCCACCCACCGAATCTCATCCGTGCCTCCCTCCCTCCCCTCCCCATCCCTTTCCCTCCCCTCCCCATCCCCTTCCTTCCCTTCCCCACCCTTTTCTCTCCCCCCTTCGCCTCCGCCCTCTGCCTCTACACCACAACCCTCTCTCCTCCTCCCTTCCACCTCCTCCTCTTCTCCCTCCTCTCCCCCATTCCCTCGTCCCCCCTTCCTCTTCCCAACCCTCTCTCTCAACCGCTCCAACTCCCCCCTCACTCTCTCTAACTCCTCCACCCTCCCCCTCTCCCTCCTCCTCTCCTCCTCCAACTCCCTCACTCTCCTCTCCGCCTCCTCCGCCACCCCCCTCCACCTCTCCCCTTCCGCCCTCCCCTCCTCCGCCCTCCTCTCCACTTCCTTTCTCGCTCTCTCCACCTCCTCCTCGCCCTCCTTCCTCGCTCTCTCCACGTCTCTCCTAGCATCAGCCACATTAGCCTCGAGCTGAGATACCTCCATGGCAACGGCCACTGCCCTCTCTTCCATCTCCTCCCGCTGCCGCCGCACTGACTTGGCCACTAGGTCTACTAGGGCGAGGATCCTCTGCACTCCACTTTCAAAACCCGCTCCCGCGTCGTCCTTTCTCTCTGCTGCTGCCCCTCCCCCTGCACCTGCTGCTGCCGCTGCTGCTGCCTCTTCTCCTGCTCCTGTAGCAGCACCATTCCCACCACTGCTCCCAGCAGCACCACCAGTACCGCTACTGCTGCCACTACTTCCCTCCTCCGTCCTCTCACCATCCGCCTTCGCATCTTCAAACTTCACATCGAACATCCGCTCGATCCGCTGCGCTTCCCTCGCCAGCCTCCCCACGGCACAAGCAGCAGAACCCTCCAACGCCTCTAAGTGCCTCACAGCCGCCTGTCTCTGCTGCACGGCCACATTCCTCTCTTTCACCACCGCATCCCTCTCTTTACTCATCTGGCTACTCATCTCCTTAACTGCGCTCTCCCTCTCCCTCACCACCATATCCCGCTCCTTTACAAGCCGTTCCATTTTGCCAACTGCCGCGTCTCTTTCTCTAACTGCTCTCTCTTTCTCCTGTATAGCCCTGTCCCTCTCTCCCCGAGCCTCGTCCCGCTCCTTCCGAGCCTCGTTCCGATCCTTCACCGCAGCTGCGGCAGCCCCTTCGGCAGCGGCTTTTTCCTCCTCTGCCACCTTCTTTCTCTTCACCGCCTCTTCCACTATATGCCGCAGTTTCTTCAGCATCTCAGTTTTTGTTTTCTCCATTTCTGCCCGTTCAGCCTCTGCCCGCCTCTGCCCGTCCGCCGCCCGGGTAGCTTCCTCCGCTGCGCAGGAAGCTTTTCTTTCTGCCCGTTTCGCCTCCTCCTCTGCAGCTACCCTAGCAGCTTTCTCCTGCGCCAAAGCAGCCCTTGCTTGCTCGAGCTCGAGCAATGATACCTTTTCAGAAACAACGCCTTGTTGCACTACGCCCTCTAGCGATCCTCTGTTTTGACACACTATTTCTCGGGACAGTACGTCTTGGGCTGCTGCGTCGCCGGCTGCTACTTCTTGAGACACCATATCCGGAGGCTTCGTCTGTGGCACAGCACGACCTTGACCTCCGCCAGTGGCATCCTTAGGCCGTGCCAAGTCGTTACTTGAGTCTGTAGTTTGCGCTGCCTGGCTCGCCTTCCTCCCTCGTCCCTTCTTCTTCTTCTTTCTCCCGCCCTCTGTGCTCCTACCCACCTCTGAACGCTCCTCTGCACCCCTCTCTACCGCTGCATTCGTATCATCCCTCTCCTTGGACCCCTCCTCTCCCTCCTTCCCTGGCGTTTCCGGTTCTGACTCATCCTCGTTAACAACGCCCTCGTTAGTAGTACCCTCGTTTGACAGACCCTTCCCCTCCACTTCCCTACCCTCTTCTCCTGAGTCTTCCTCAATCGTGTTAGTAGAAACACCAGAATCCGTCCCATCCACCTCCCTTGAATCACCACCTCCCCCGGTTCCACCTCCCCCGGTTCCACCTCCCCCGGTTCCACCTCCCTCCCCATCTTCCCCGCGCGCACCACCTTGCCCCACCCTTCCCCCATCGCCCTCCGCTTCTCCTCCGCCTGCTCCGCCCTGCCAAACCTCCCCAATCCGAGCCTCCCTAACCGGATCGGGAACGACAATCAGCTTTGTAGCAGCGCCAGGGGTAGCCTCCGACTCTGACGGTACGGCTGGTTCGGAAACCTCCCAAGTGGGATCCTCGTCGGAACTCGCGGTGCGAGTTGCGGCGGGAGTTGCAGCGGACTGCGCGGAGAGTGCAAGCGGCCGGACGAGGGACGAGATAAGGGCCGGCCGCACCTCGGCAGCTTCGCGGAAATCGTCATCGTCCGCGTCGAAGAGTGATAGGTCCTCCTCCTCCCCGCCCCACTCCATGGCCTAACTCGCACGGATGCAGCACGGAAGACAAGCCAGGGCCAGATATGTTTAACTGGCACTGGCTAGCCCAAGAATCAGGGAGCTTCTTGGACTAGCTTGCTCAGTGAGCCAGTATCGAGGCGACTCCGAAATCGGCCTCCTCCTCACTCCATCCGCCGCATATCACGGAGCCGATTCCGCCGCAGAGTGAGAGGACGGCCGTCGATCTCGACTGGAGATGGAGAGTTGAGTGTTGAGTGTTGAGTGTGGGCGCTTATCACGTGTACTAGGAATTGCCAGGAATAGCTTCAAGGAATAGGCGCAAGTTCCAGTAATAACTACCAGATCAAATAGTGGCCCACATCCTGTTTCGTGGCAAAATAGCAACTTCCTGCCATGTGGTGTGTGGTGTGGTGCTAGAATCCTCGAGATTGCCGCTATGTGCGTTGTAAGGCGGACGACATGTTCGCGATAAGCGGATCCGTCTCACGTCAACATGTCCTTGAAATTGATCCAGCGACCAATATCGGTTTGTGAAATCAAACACTTTCACATCATCCAAAACAATGTTAAATGATATATATTCCTAAGGCCTCATGCAAGTAAACGTGGTTAGAAGTTACACGCCCAAATCACCTAAATAGAAGTGATCCTCTATATCCAAACGCATGGTGAACCAACGTAGCACAATGTTGCATTGCAGCCATCCCAAAAGCAACCACACCCCCCAACGGCAGATTTTAATGCCCAAATTACCTGGACAGATGTGCAGCCGTATGGCCATACACATGGTGAGACAATGCACCAGCATGATGCAATTCAGGCATCCCAACAGCACCACCACCACTCCCACTTGCACCTATACCACCACTGGCACCAGCAACACCAGCAACACCGGCAGCGGCAACAGAAGAAGATGAATGTGCACGGGGCAGCGACGCCGGCAGCACGAGGTACTTGCTCTGGAGCCCCAACTTCCTAAGCGCCGTCCTGAGCTGCTGCAGGTGCATGGAGCGCGGAATAAACGCATCGACCCCCGCCAGCATGCACTGCTCCATGGCCGCGTCTAGACTCGCCTGGTCGTACCGGCTCAAATCAGCCACCACCACTATCAGTGTCCGGTCGGGGGCCGCAGCAGAGCGAGCAGGCGCTTGCGTCTGTGACGGCTGATGCTTCCCCTCCTCCTGCTGCTTCGGCTGCTGCTTCTCCTGCTGCTGCTGGTTTTGAGCTTCAGCCTGAGCCTCCGTCCCCTCCTCCTGCTTCTCACTCTTGTTGTCCTCACTCCGGGTTTCCTCCCCCTCCCCCTCCTCCCCCTCCTCACTCAACACCTTCAGGCCCCCCAGGGACCTCACATCCCCATCGCTGCAATTGCCGCTCTCGCTCCTGCCGCTCCTGCTACCAAACCCACCAGCAGCGCCAGAACCATAGCCAGAAGCAGAGCCAGTCTTGCTGCTGCCGAGGGTGAGAGTGAGTCTTCTCGACAGCAGCCCTCGCTCGGCTCGCCTGATGTCTCGGATGGCAGCCTGCCCCGCTCGGCTGGTGGCCTGCTCTAGGTCCAGAACCACCAGGGAGAAGAGCACACCGCCAGCCACACCAGCACCGGCAGGAGCAAGAGCAGCAGCACCGGCTGAAGCACCGGCAGCAGCAGCAGGACCAGGAGAAGTTAAAATGGCGCTGGTGGCTGTAGTAGTGCTCGCACCAGCACTGAGAGCAGTACCAGCAGCAGCAGCAGCAGCAGCAGCAGCAGTGCAGGGGGGGAGTGTGCCATTCAGAGCCGTCTGCTCGTATTTCCACGCAGCTTCCTGCACTGACGTGGCGCTGACCACGTCGAACCCGCACCGCTCAAGCTGGTGCGCCAGGTCGTTGCGCCCCGTGGCCACTCCATCCGCTATCAGAGCGCGCACTAGCGAGGATGAGGAGGAGGAGGTCGGCGAGGAGTGCCTTAAGGGGTTCGCCGAGTGCGAGGAGTGGGAAGAGGAGGGGAAAGGGCGGGCATGGTAGGGTCGGGGGAGAGAGGGGGAGAAGAGGAGTGTGGAAGCAGTGTTGGTAGGGTTGGTAGTGTTGGTGTTGGTGGTGGTGGTAGTATGGAAGGAGAATGCGGAGTGGTGGGAGGTGTGGTGGGAAGGGGATGTGTCCGCGTTATTGAGAGCATCACTGCTGATATTGCGACGCATTCCCGTGAGTGAGGAGTAAGCTGGGGGAACACGAAGGGAAGGGAAGCAAGGAGAAGAGGAATAAAAGGTTAGGCAGCGGGAAAATAATAATAATGATAATGATAGTAATAATGATGATGATGATGATAATAATAAAAATGAACAAATGTGAATGCGACTGATATGCAAGATTATGACATGCAATTGCTATAGAAGTTTATGAAATTAAAACTGCAGCAAAGAATCCTCATCAGTGAGTGCACTTACATGTCTTAAATGCAGCCAAGTGGCAGAATTGGTTACACGGTAACATGTAACGCACCATAATTCGGCAACTCGCACGAGGAACGCCGGGTAGCGGATCTTGTCCGCACTGGCTTTAAGTACGGCCCCGCGCCTCCCCCCGCGCCTTCCCCCGCGCCTTCCACCCCCAAACCCCCGAGCGCGGGCGAGCTGACAGACGACGACCGGGGCGACGACAGCGCCGCCGCGACGGATGGCGAAACTGGCGGAGTCAGCGACAACACCGCTGCCCCTGCCGCTCCTCCCGCTCCTGCCGCTCCTGCCGCTCCTGCCGCTTCTGCCGCTCCTGCCGCTCCTGCCGCTCCTGCCGCTCCTGCTGCTGCTGCTGCTACGGCCGACACTGGCGCACCTGCCGCTGCTGCTGCCGCCCCTGATTCGATCGCCGCCTCGCTCCCTTCCAGTGATAGCCTCCCCGACAGCTGTCGCTCAGAAGACGACGTCGAATGCCGCTCGGTTCCCCCGACTCCTCCCCCCGCGCTGGAGTCTAGACCCGCGCCCGTATTCCCCCCGCCTGCGAGGGCTGCGCGCAGCCCCCCCCCGCCGGCGCGCCTGCTGGCGGAGACGGGCTCCATGACGTGGCGCCTGGTACCGCCGGAATTCCCGCCGCAACTGGCGCTGCTGCTGCCGAAGGGTTGCGCGCCGAGCTGGTAGAGGTCGCTGCAGCTGCTCGCGGCATCGCTGTCGTCTGGTTGGGGGAGAGGGGGAGGGGGGGAGGGGAATGGAGGGAAGGGGGGAGGCCGATTAGAGAAGGGGGGGAAGGCGGGAGGGGCTGCAGGGCCCTAAACCCAGAGTTAGTAGAAGTAGTAAATACACGAACAGCCGTCGACTCACCGCCCACGGATTCTTCGTCCACGGAGTGCATGGCGTACAGACTCCCCTCCCGCACAGACCATGTACAGACCGTGTGTAATGAGTCGACTTATGAGTCGACTTATGAGTCGACTTATGAGTCGACTCAAAAATCGACTCATTACACATGCCGTACAGACTCCCCTTCCCCACTCGCTACCCCACTCGCTACCTAATGACCGTCGACTCACCGCCCACGGATTCCTCGTCCACGGAGTGCATGCCGTACAGGCTCCCCGCCGATGCGTTTCGCTGGAGCCATTCCTCCGTTTCGCCTGCAGCAAATGCCGGCGCAAATGGCGGCAAGCCGCCTCCACCGCCGTCCCCGTCGAACCCCCCATGCACGGACGCTACACTCAGGGCGGCCGCTCCGCTTCCGGCGCCCGCGCCCATCCCCGAGGCCGTGGGGATGACGGCGCAAATCACGCCGCAAACTGCGCCGAGCGCGTCGATGCGCGCCCCCGCGAACAGCCGCACTCGCGCGCAGCTGCCCCCCCGCTTCAGGAGAAGCAGGTCCGCCGTGACTGTATCGCGGCCGAAGAGCGCGGCGCGGAGGACGTCCTCGCATCGGCGGAACGGCGCGCCGGCGCTGGCGGGGCGGAAAAGCCGCTCCGCAAACCGCCCTTCCGCGAACCGACCCAGGCGCATGATTTCCGCTTCCGCCCATCCGGTCAGCTCCGCCATGCGCCTGTTCCAAAGCGCGCACAGCAGGTCGCGGTCCACCGCAAACAGCGCCACGGGGAGCTCGTTGGCGGAAATCGGCGAGTCTCCGCTGAGGCTTGCGCCCAACGCTGCGCCAATCGTTGCGCCGGGGTTTGCGCCGAGGGTTGCGCCAAGCGCCGCGCCAGCAGTCGGAGTCCGCTCCCCCGAGAGGGGATGCGCGGGGGAGCTAGAGGCCTGCGGCGGACCGGCTAACTCCGTCACGAAGTCTAACGCGGCGCGGCGATTAATCTCCTGCTCTACGAGGCGATCCGACGCGGTAGCGAATGACGCGAGGCTGCTCGTCTCGGAAGACGCGAGCGATAAGAGTGAGTCGGCTGACGCATGCCTTGCCGCCAACCCGCGGAACATCGGCCAATTGCCGCTGCCGCCGCCGCAGCCGGCGCCGCCGCCAGCGGGCGGGGTGCTGCCAGTGCTGAGACTGTCGATCGGGCTTTGAACGTGACTAAAACTGTGACTGTGACTGTAACTGTGACTGTGATTGTGTGACTGTGGCTGTGGTGAGATTGGTAGTGGGAGTGGATCTGGTGGAGCGACGACGATCGCGGTACGGGCGTGGGTGCGGGTGCGGGAGCGGGGGAGAAAGAGAGCCCGTGAGTGAGACCCATGGGCGCGGGAGTGAGGCCCATGGGCGCGGGTGAGGGAGCGGGGGAGAAGGAGAGGCCATGGGTGAAATTAAGGCCGAGATTGCTCTGGTGAGGCTGACGTGGCAGGCTGAGGAGTGTCGACCACGCGTCCGACCGGCACCCGTCGACTGGAGCGCTTCCCGCACCGATTCCGACCCCGCTAAGGAGTCCTCCGCTAACACCGCCGACACTGCCCCCGAATGATCCGCCGAACGATTCGCTGCCGATAGCGCCGGTTCCCCCCGTATCTCCTTTCCCGGTCTCGTTATTCGCGCTTCTGGTCTCGTTATCCAGGGTCATGCCGCCTCCGCCGCCGCCGCCCCCGAAGTTCACCTTGCGCTTGGACGAAGTGGGAGGGTCGAGGGACAGGGCGCGGGAGGTGACGGGCAGGAGCGACACTCTCGTCGCCATGGACGCGACGCGAACGGCAGCCGTGAGCGGAGGACTGTGAGACGGCTGGCACTGAGCGGCTGGCCGAGCACACGATGAGTGTTGCACGTGCAGTCTGAATCGACACAGCTCAGGCGAATGGGACGGTGCCTTCTTCAGCTCAGGCTGCGTAACGCAGACACAGCACGGGAGAACAGACTTTCAGTTTAGACTGAACCAGATTAACTGTCAGAGACCGAGCGCGCAACGGAATACATGCTTACTGGTATTCCTTGGACAGAGGGAGGGGGCGAAAGGTGCCAGTGACAGACGGGAGAACCAGAGACGCACGTTACCCCATGAACTCTATCCTGCAATTCTATATTTTACAGGGTGATTTTTCCAGAAGGCAAGAAAAACCTGTTCTGCACCGAATACCTTTCTTTCCTAAAGAAGCGAAACTTTGTTCGGCTCAGGGAGGATTTAATTGACCTTTCGGGGGGGGGGGGGAGAAGCCTCTGCGTTCCTATGAATCCGTTTACGTTCAGGGCAGTTTCGCGGTCATCACAACTTCCCCAGTTCGTGATTCATTTCGTGAGGCTTGGGATCTGCCAGGATAACGGGGAGAGTCACTCCAGGACCCACCAGCCAGATCCATCGTCAACCAACCAAGTGCAGTGTTTGGGTTCGTTTGTTCAAACGAACTCCGTCAACTTGATTTGGGCACCAAAGAACGAGGGGTGAAAACAAGTCGGACACGATGGGCCTGTAAAACTGCTGCTCACATGGCGCTTATCGATTGGGTATTGCTAACGTGTTCTGGCATCCCTCTGAAGTGCCTCGCCCGTCACCGTCGAATTAGCCAAGGCTGCCAGGGCTGCAATGAACTTCGCTCTGATTGGTTTCTTCGTTGCGACTCGTGTGATGTGCGGGCCGGAACCAGAACTTGGAAAAGGAGGGCAGGTTGGTTGCTTGCTTGTCCCTGCCTCGGCCGTTGGCCTTGCTCTGCGCTTGTCGTTCCGCGGCTATGGGAGACCTCAACGGTTCAGCTGACTTCAACCAGCCGACGTGTACGCAATGCTGGCACCAACTGTGCTGACTGGACGACGAATGCCTGTGGGATACAGTGTCCAAAGAATTCGCCACGTCACTGCGCGTGGCCTGACCATGCAACTTACACGCCCTCAGGATATTTATCTTGAATAATGAACAACAGTCGCTTCTCCTTCACGTGACAGCTCGTAAAAGTGGCCGGGCAAAATGATTGTGCTGAATGGGGCTGAAGAACTGTTCCCTTGGTGGGGATGTTCGGTTCGGGTTTGGTCCGACCTTCAATCGCTCACCTTCACATGTTGGAAATGTACGTTGTTGTGATCAGGATTTCCCAGGCAAAAAATGTGTTAAAGCCCAGATCCCAAGTTGCAAGGCGCGAGTGTTTTTGCTAGCAGTTTCGGAGCGCAAAAAAAGGGGTAACCCCATGCACCCGGATGAAACTGACAAATGACGCGGTGGCTGTAAATGGGGGCTCGTGATTGGTCGAAGGCAAGCTAACACTTTCGCCCAAGCAAACCAACACCCCGGCTCTCTCACAGCTCAAATGTCTAAGGGAAAGGTGCTAGCAATTTTTGTAAATTGGGACCAAGGCGAGACAGACTTCTGATTATTTAGTAGCCTAGCCTAGCCGAAACTGCGTGTCATAAAGCGACGACGGGCTTAGCAGTGCTTCCCGCGTTTAGATTCTCGAGGGAGGAAGTGACGCGGTAGCATCGATGGTGAGACGTGATAGCAGGGAGAGAGCGACGCACAAACAGCGAGGGATAGACACGACTGCAGCAAGGGACTGAAGCTAGTCGCCGAGGGAGGGACGCGATAGAAGCGACCTCGTGACGCGAATCGACCTCGTGACGCGGTAGAAACTACCTCGTGACGCGATAGAAGCGACCTTGAGACGCGATAGCACGGAGGGGGAGAGGCGAAAGCAGGGAGGGAGTTGAATCGATAGCAGGGAGGGAGTGGCGCGAGCATCGAGGGCAGGGGATGGAGAGCGGCATGAGCGCGTGGGAGAGAGAGTGGCGTGAGCGCGCGGGAGGGTGAGCGGCGTGAGCGCGCGGGAGGGAGAGCGGCGTGAGCGCGCGGGAGGGAGAGCGGCGCGAGCGCGCGGGAGGGAGAGCGGCGTGAGCGCGCGGGAGGGAGAGCGGCGTGAGCGCGCGGGAGGGAGAGCGGCGTGAGTCCGCGGGAGGGAGAGCGGCGTGAGCGCGCGGGAGAGAGAGCGGCGTGAGCGCGCGGGAGGGAGAGCGGCGTGAGCGCGCGGGAGGGAGAGCGGCATGAGCGAGCGGGAGAGAGAGCGGCGTGAGCGCGCGGGAGAGAGAGCGGCGTGAGCACGCGGGAGAGAGAGCGGCATGAGCGAGCGGGAGAGAGAGCGGCGTGAGCGCGCGGGAGGGAGAGCGGCGTGAGCGCGTGGGAGGGAGAGCGGCGTGAGCGCGCGGGAGGGAGAGCGGCATGAGCGAGCGGGAGAGAGAGCGGCGTGACCGCGCGGGAGAGAGAGCGGCGTGAGCGCGCGGGAGAGAGAGCGGCATGAGCGAGCAGGAGAGTGAGCGGCATGAGCGAGTGGGAGAGAGAGCGGCGTGAGCGCGCGGGAGAGAGAGCGGCATGACCGAGTTGGAGAGAGAGCGGCGTGAGCGCGCGGCAGGGACAGCAGCGTGAGCGCGCGGGAGGGAGAGCAGGGGCAGGGTGAGGGGAAAGGGGAAAGGAGTGAGAGTAAGGGCAGGGGTGAGGGAGAAGAGTGAGAGCAGGCGCGGGGGAAGGCATGAGAGCGGGGGAAGGGAGAAGGGTGAGAGCAGGGGAAATGGAGAGGAGTGAGAACAGGGGAGGGGGAGAGGAGTGAGAGCAGGGGAAGGGAGAAGAGTGAGAGCAGGGGAAATGGAGAGGAGTGAGAGCAGGGGAAGGGAGAAGAGTGAGAGCAGGGGAAATGGAGAGGAGTGAGATGGGGAGAGGGGAGAGGAGAGAGAGTAGGGGAGAGGGTGAGGAGTGAGAGCAGGGGAAGGGGAGAGGAGGGAGAGTGGGGAGAGGGGAGAGGAGAGAGAGCAGGGGAGAGGGAGAGGAGTGAGAGCAGGGGAGAGGGGAGAGGAGAGAGAGCAGGGGAGAGGGAGAGGAGTGAGAGCAGGGGAAGGGGTGAGGAGTGAGAGTGGGGAGGGGAGAGGAGCGAGAGCAGGGGAAGGGAGAAGAGTGAGAGCAGGGGAAGGGAGAAGAGTGAGAGCAGGGGAAGGGAGAAGAGTGAGAGCAGGGGAAGGGAGAAGAGTGAGAGCAGGGGAAGGGAGAAGAGTGAGAGCAGGGGAAGCATCGAGGGTGAGAGCAGGGGAAGGGGAGAGCCCAGGCACGGGATTGTGGGCAGGTGAGTCAGGGCAGGTGAGTGTGGGGAGGAGAGTGGCACAATCACAGCCCAATCTCTGTCCTGGCATGTACGGTATGTCCCTTGCAACCCTCACCATATATCTTTGCCCTAAAGCTGCTATGCCCATTAGTCCCTGCCCGCGCATCTCTGCCCTCCCCACTTCTGCCCTTGTAGTGACGGCCGCTGCTTCATCCACTAGCTGGCCTGGAGCTGCCAGGGGAGCTTCGGCATAAGTTGGCTGGGTTTCTTCGCTGTAATGCACTTCTGTTGATTTTTGCAAGCTTGGTCACCCATATTTGCTGAACTTGATATGTATGTTAAGCGCATAGTCGTACACGGTAGTATACAATGCTAGTTGCACATGCAATGTGTTCCACAATACCAGCCCAATACCAACCTACCTATTTCTGTGTGAAGACATCAACCCCCACAACAACTATGTAGACATGTAAAGCTCCTCCCCTCTCTCTGCATCGTCCTATCTCTCTCTGCATCTCCCCCTCTCTTTCTCGGCATCCCCAATTCTCTCTCTGGCGTTTCCCCCCCCTCTCTCTCTCTGCATCTCCTCTTCTCTCTGCATCCATCTCTCTCTGCATCTCCCCCTCTCTCTCTGATCTCCCAGTGCTCTCTCTACACATCTCCCTCTCTCTCTCGTTGCATCCCCCCTCCATCTCTCTCTCTCTCAGCATCTCCCCGTATCCCTCGCTCACTGCTTCTCCCTCCCTCCCTCCCTCTGATTCTCCCTCTCTCTCTGCACCTTCCTCTCTGTGTGTTCTTTCTACGTCGGGAAACAGGTGCTGGGCAGTCACATTCCCGCAGCCTGGCAGTTGGCATACCGCAAGCCTGCACGTGATGGCCTGGTCGGACCTGCAAATCGTCCCAATCTTCAGGCCGCCCTCTGCATCTTCCCCCGTTGCTGTGCCCTTGCGCAGTCGCTGCCGTGCGCTATCATGCGCTCGGGTTAAACGCCCTAGCTAGAGTGGCGCTGCCAGCCGTCTATCATTCCGTGATTTCAGTTGGTTGGATCGCTTCGCGCCTCGTTGACGCTAAATACCCCAGATAGAGTTTTATGACACCAATTCGCGATCCTCCCGTATTAGACCTACGCTGGGTTTTTTTTTCTTCTTAGTATCCGCACGACCTTTTCATCTAGTCTCTAGTAAGCTGCGTTCGAGTTAAATATCTAGGCTATCATAAGTCTCAATATCTCAATATTGCACGCGAAGTATGTGCGTCGGAAGACCTAAGCTTGTTGGTTGTACTCTGCTGTGTTCAGCGCAGTTGCCGCAGTGGGTGTGGTCGATGGTGTGACGCGTTTCCCAAGTTTGTGCTCTGCTGTTCTGTCAGTTGAGCTCAGCACGTCCCTGTTATCCTTTCCCAACCTCGCGAGAGTTCTGGTTTGCGAACAACAAATTTCCATTTGCGAGTTTCGCTTCCCGATTTTGTGACTTTGGGCTCTCGCCACCCTTGCAGCCAATCGCACGCCTTCCTCCCCAACCCAAGCCGCGCTCCCTTTTCGCGGCTTGTAATATGGAACCTGGGCTTTAACTGTGCAGATAGGTCAATGGTAGAAATGGAGGAGGGAGAGGGAGAGGTACAGTACGTTACCCTGGAAACAAAACAAGGTCGACCAGCACAGAATGTCATTTTACTGTTTACTGAACACGAATGTCGTGGTGCAGTTCCCTGCCTGACTTGGCAGCATCACATGACCAACCCAGGAAACCTGCATTTGCATTTTGGCACCTCAGGAAAATCGCAAGGAGTGGTCTAGATAGATGCGTTTGTAGTTACAAGAGAAATCCAAAACATGACACACTATTATGCACACCAAAAGCCTCCAAAGAGAGTATGAGGTCTTCGCCTAGCAAATGCTCTATACACCTCTACTTCTGTGTGCTCACAAAAGAAGGGAAAAGGCTAAGCTCCAAATCTTCATGCCTTGAACTGTCACCGTTTTCGTCTCTCCTCCGTGTGTTGTCCTCTACCATTCCACTGGCAGATGCTGCCACAGCAGAGCGCCATGCTGCAAATGCTGCTGCACTGGCCGCAGCAGCAGCAGTCCCAGCCCCCCTAGGCTCCATCAAGGAAGCAGCTGCTGCAGGAGCAGCAGCAGGAGAAGCAGCAGGAGCAGCGGTCGGCGGAAAGGAAGGGAAAAGCCCCCCTAGGCTCTGAAGCAGCAGCTGCTGCTGCTGCTGCTGCTGTAGCAGCTGCTGCCGCAACTGCTGCTGCATCCGGTGCTGCTGTGCAATGTACATGTGCAGTGCTGCCATGTCCATCATCATAGATGGGCCTGAACCAGATGCACCTGCACCTGATGGGCCTGTGCCAGATGCACCTGCATCTCCTGCAGCAGCAGCTTTCCCTCCTGCTCCTGCAGCAGTGCCCAAATCCAGGCCCATGCCCATACCCATACCCATGTTCATCCCCATGCCAAAATGCATGCCCATGGTATCAGACATGCCTCCAACTCCAGGCATACCAAAATTAGCAGGCATGCCAAAATTGGCAGGCACGCCAAGATTGGCAGGCATGCTAAAATCAGCAGGCAGGCCCATGGCACTGAGCATGGCAGCATACTTGGCAGAGTTCCCTCCAGCACCCTTTGCCTTTTTCTCCCCTTCCCCTCCGCCCCCTCCCCCTTCACCAGCCTCCGACTCAGGCACGGTACCCCAGCTCAAGCCAAATACGTCCGAGCCTTCCGGTTCGGCAGATTCCGAGCCTGTCCGGAACCCGAATGAGGCTGGGGTGATGCCGGTAGCCCGGGCGGCAGTGGCGTTGTCCGAAGCTGCAGGAGGCGCGGCAGCAGGCTTGGCAGCAGCATCGGCAGCAATGGCAGCAGCCGCAGCAGCAGCTGCAGCAGCAGGGTCGGCGTTCTTGGCAAAGCGAGCGTATAGGGGGAACGACCAGCCAGCAGGACCCCCCTTGCTCCCAGATGCTGCTGCTCCAGTCATCACTTCTCCTCCTGCTGCATCCAACACGACAGGACTCACTGGCCTTGGCATTGCTCCTGCTGCTGCTGGTGATGCTGCCGCTGCTCCCTCTGCTGCTCCTGGTGCTGCTGCTGGTGGCACAGCTGCTCCTGAGGAGCCTTCAGCAGCAGCAGGCGCATCGGTGAATCCAGGGAAGGCTGGGATGGTGGCCAGACGGGAAGCGGGAGACACCGGAGGGCGGCCGTGGGGAGAGCGCGCAGGAGGCGGCTTCATGCCAGGCGTGCTGGCGAATGCTCCTGCCGCCGCCGCTGCCGCTGCTACTGCTGCTCCTGCTGCTGGCGGTGGTGATGTAGCTGTGGCAGCTGGAGTGTCTTCCACTGAAGCCGACTTCTGAATCGCCTCAGGGGAGCTGTTCCTCGAAGCCGTAGCGCCGCCACTGCCAGCACTTGCAGCAGCAGCCACGCCATAATGGTTGCCGGAAGGATCAACTATAGTTGCCGCCGGTTGTGACGCCTGCTGCTGGTCGGGTTGCTGGCCCTCTTGCCGTCGTTGCTCCTCCTGCTCCTCCTTCTGCTGGTCTTCTTGCACCTTGAGCTTTTGAGACTCGTGCATCAGCCCCTCTTGAACCTGCAGAAGGGCGGCCAAAAAAAAAAGGCAAGCACAGCAATGACACTTGAATCAAAGACCACGAGTAGCAGGAGGGCAATGATGCAGGGAGGAGAGCACGTAAGGGTGGAGGTGCAACAGCGGAGGAGCGCCAGGGTTATTATGCAGGGTGGAGAGCACGTAAGCAGGCGAGCTCACCTTGTTGAGTCGGTGCAGCTCGAACAGCTGAGTGGAGAAGATATGCTGCTGACGCACTAGCCCCTTGCCTAACACGCAGAGAGCAGCAAACCTCGACGATACAAGACGAGCAGCTCACCTTGTTGAGGCAGTGCAGCTCGAACAGCTGAGTGGAGAAGATGTGCTGCTGCCGCACTAGCCCCTTCCTCACCCGCCAAAACTCCTTCTGTCCCACCGCACCCAGCAGGTCCGCCGCACATAACCCCCCTTCCCCTCCCCCCTTCCCCCTCTTCTTCTTCCCTGCGTCCTCCCCGCCCTCCGCCCCATCATCCTCCCCTTCCACTGCCCCTTCCACCGCCCCTCGGCTTCTCTTCCTGCTCTCCCTTCGGAATCGCTCCTCCTCTTCGTCCTCCACCCCGCCTTCCACCCCCAGCACCATCGCCAGCATGCCTCCCGCCGCTTCCCCTCGCACAGCCGCCATGTCTGCCTGAACGCCTGAAATAACAGCTGGAGCAGCAGCAGCAGCAGCAGCAGGAAGGGCAGCAGCAGCAGCAGCAGGAAGGGCAGCAGCAGCAGCAGCAGCAGCCGCCGGTGCTCCTTCGCTTGTCGCTGTGCCGTGGTACCCGCCAGCGCAACCAGCAGCAACGCCGGCGGCCGCGGTGGCTGCAGCGGCGGCAGCAGCAGCGCGGAAGCGCCCCAGAGCCCGGGCCTCACGTTGCCCCTCGCTGCCGCCGCGCTCTTGACCCGCCTCCACCGCGCCACCCACCTCCGCCGTCCCACTCGCTTCCGCCGCCGCACTTGCGCCTTCTCCCTCGCTCGGTCTTACATCCTCGTCCGCCTGGGCAGGCGTAGGCGCCATCCCCATACTAGCTTCCCCGCCCTCACCGCCCTGACCCATGATCCGCGCCTCTCCGTTCCCCTCCGCATTCCTTGCGCGATCAGCCGTCGTCCCCCTGCCCTCCCTTGCGGCGGCGGAAGCGGCGCGCCTCTCCTCCTCTCGCGCGGCGATGGCAGCAGCGCGGAGAACCTCGATTCCCGCAAACAGCTCCGCTTCGGCTGCTCCCGCTTCCGCTGCTCCCGCTGCTGCTCCCTCTGCTGCTCCCGCTGCTCCTTCCGCACGCTGCTGCGCCTGCTCCTGCTGCGTCGCACCGTCACCAGTCACCATCTCCTTTCTCTTCTTTCCCTTACCGCTCTTAACCGCGCTCCTCACCCCGCTTTTCATCGTGCTCCGCATGCTCCGCCCACTCGTTGTCGACACCGCGCCAACCGCTCCCCCTTCCCCTGCCGCTCCGCCTCCGCCTCCACCTGGGCCGACCACACCGGCAGGCGCAGTGGCCGCTGGTCCTCTGGACCCCGCGGACCTTGTGCTTGCGCTCTTCCGCAAGCCCCTCTCTTTCCGCGTCTCGTCCACTCCGCTCCGCGCGGCCCCCCCGCGGCTGCCCCGCTCCTCCGCTCGTCTGCGCCCGAGCCTCTCGCTGGCGGCGGAACGCGCAGCCGCAGCGGACGGGCTCCGCCTCTGCAACCCTGACGCCTCCCCTTCCCCGTGTATGCACCCGCGTTCGGGCGGAGACCCCCCGCCTGAGCTTCCGCCGAACCCGCCCATTCCGCCAAACATGTGCGCTTGGCTCATCATGAGTAACGCATTCGGGTTACCAGGCCCAGGCCAGCTGAAATTGGACATGAGCCCCGCCAGCCCTCCCTCCGCCGATGTGCCGTTCCACGTTCCGGGGGCCAGTGGCGGAACTGCGCCACTTGCGCCTGCGCCTGCGCCAGAGCCCGTACCCGCCCCGAGCGACCCGCTCCCATAATTCAAAAACGCCGCGCCGGCCGCCGCCATGGCCGCCGCAGCAGCCGCCGCCACACCCGGGTCGCCGCGGCCGCCGCCCAAGCCCGACGCGGCAGCGAGCCCTTGCATCGGGTACATAGCCGCAGTGCTGCCATCCTTTCTGTTGTTGGTGCCCGCAAAGGCGGCCATTGCTGCGGCGGCGGCGGCGGCGGCGCTCGCGGGGGACATGGAGGCTTGCGGGATGACGGGCGGGGAGGGGGAGCTGGGGGAAGCGCCGCCCCCCCACGGCATGTGGCGCTGCTGCCAGGCCCAAAACGCCCATTGATCCGCGTCGTTGCGAGACGCTTGATCCTGGCTGTTGCTGTTGCTGCTCATCGCACCCGCACCTCCCGCGCCTCTCCCCTGGACCATGCTCACCGTACCGCCTGCTCCTCCGCCTCCGCCTCCGCCTCCGCCGCCGTGCCGGCCGGCGGGAGTTCCGGCGCCGCCGCCTGCGCTGTGTGCGGCGCACGCGGCCAAGGCTGCCTGGCCCGCGGTTTGGAAGGCGGCGGCTTCGGAGAAGCTTCCCGTGCTGCTGGCGATTCCGGAATGGGACTGAAGCATGCTGCCGGCCTGCGGAGGAGTTTTGAAGCTGTTGCAGGGGTACTGCTGCTGCTGCTGCTGCTGACGTTGCTGCGCCTGCTGCTGCGCGGCGTACGGCGCGTATGAGAACTTGCTCTCGTAGTTGGGAGGCATCAGAGGGACCTTGGTCTGCGGAGGGATAGGACGGGATAGGAGGGTAGCGAATAGGGGGACGAGCACGGAAGGACGGAATTGAGAAGGAAGGGGAGATTAGTTGACGTGACGACGAACCGTACTCGACGGCGGAATGTTGTAGCATCACAATAAACATAATATCAAACCACCTGAGTTCGGTAGGGACGCGATCCCAGACAACGCGTACGCCGCAATTCTGTGCTATACTTTATTATTCGCCAAGTACAGAATTCTGTGCTATAATTAATTCACAATAACAGAATCCTGTGCTATGCTAAAATAATTCGCTAAAGAAGAACGCCGCTAGTCGTGCTAACGAGCGTCGCTAGAAACCCAACGCCGCTAACACCGATCACGATCACGTACTTCGCTGTGCATGGGATGAAACGTCGACGGCGCGTTCATCGCCGGCCCTCCAAGCGGCCCTCCAAGCGGCTGCGACGACGGCCGGAACCGCTTCGACGGAACGGAGACCTGCTCGTAGAGCGCCATCTTGTTCCGCGGAGGAGCCTTGGGACCCGACGCCGCTGTGGCGTGGCTGACATGTATCGGCGGGAAAAGCGCTACGGGTTCGGGTTGGTCTTTCCGGCTACGACCGCCATTACTATTCTGACGACCCATCGCTAACGCGGTCTAGGATACAAAAGGTGGGGATTTACGTTACCGCAGTATCTATTGGACTTTCTGAACACGAGTTTTCGGGCATATTCTAGCGACCGAAACCAGACACGAGCTGCACAGGTGACAAGGCCACGGGAAGAATCAATCCTAGATCCAGTTTTGCTGAACAAGAGACCCTGAGGGCTATGCTGCTGCTTGGCGTGCTGGTGAATCAAAGAAACGAATGGCCGAGAAAGGCTCTCAACCTTATCCTGATGCAAGCAGGCAGACAAGCAGAAAAGAAAGCTGGGTGAGCTGGCTGTGAGGGGGGGTGGCGTGGGGGGAGCGGAGGGGAAATCCCAGGAGAAGGAAGGTTTGAGTGGGGGTGTACAAGGGGAGAGAGGGGGAAAGGAAATCTCAAGGGAGGGTAGCAGAACGGGGTGAGGTTGGGTGGTTTGGGGAGGAGCTGCGGGCGGAAAGGAAAGGCTGCACGCAATCTCGAGGGAATCGAGAGAGCGGAGGAGAGGATGAGAAAATATCCAACCACTGGCAATCGCGAGGGTTTGGCGGGCAAAAAGTGCAATCCAGCGCGGCATTGAGTCGAGCCATCCATTCGGCGCTCGGCAAAATATCGCTTTGTCACGGGCTGAACGGGAAGATATGGTGAAAAAGTGCGGAAGAAAGCTCCGGGGCGCTTAAGGGAGCTAGGGTTTCATCTGAGCGTCCAGCGCGTCATGGAAGTGACATCAGGTGCCTCGTCAGATCCAATAGACTGCCATGACAGTCTTGCCAGGTGGACACAGAAATTCGATCGACGGCCTGGATGAACCAGTGTGGCGTGGCAGTGGGAGTCAGGTGCACCGCCTCCTGCGATGTGACCAACTGTACGAATCACTGTGTAGAAGAATGCTTGGGCCAGCCTGTGCTGTCGTGTTTGTGGGCTGCCCCACTTTATTCCTCTCTGTGCTGGCTCAGCGATTGCGGGATGCCCCCAAATTGAGGCGTGAAGCTGCTTTGGTCACCCTGACCACGTGAACATGCCAGCATTATGCGGATAGCGAATCTGCTATTGGGTATGGCAGATCTCCCCAAACGATTTCGTTTTTTTCCGGTCAGAACATCTTCCGCTAAGCCAAACTGCTTTTAAGGTACAATGATGACCGACCTGTCCAATTAGTCTAGCCTTCAAGAGACAGAAACGCTACTTCAATTTCTCATCCCCTTTCCTTCACCATCAGGGCCTTTGTTGGCAGATCCTCACTTCCGGATCCTTCACGTGACGAAAGCAAATGTTGCGCGACTGCATGCTGGGAAACTGCTGTACAGTTGCCCGCCTTATCTCTGGTTGGAAAAATGTGGTGGGAAATCGTTTTCTGTGCTTGCGAAGCGCGAGAGGTTCAACACCACAAAGCGATTGTGGCCCTCTGATAGGTTGCTGGGTTGCCCGCCCAAAACATTCCCAGGATGGCATCCTTTTCGGGCTATCTAAGTGGTTGAGAGCAGCCCTCGGTGAATCTCGTCACGTGAACCAAAGAACTGGCAGTTTTGCTTATGTCAGCCATACCCAGGCACTGCTCGATGGCACTTCTCTCGTGGTTTTGAATTTGGATAATCCTGAGAGAAGAGGATGCTTGAAATACCTTTCACGAATTGACGGGGTAAGTTGCACTCTTCTGAAAGCATTTGTTTCGAGACTCGGGTAGATTCTGGAGCAAGTGTCAGACCCGAGGTCGACCCGAGGCCGAAGGAGCCGCGGGCTGTCACAACCTAACTGTGGGTTTTATATTCTTGACGGTGCAGCGGCTGCACAGTCGCGAACTGTCGCAAAGGGAGGGTTGCGACTACACTGTCCGAACTTTGCGAGTCCACCAGAAATGTGCGAGTTTTTTATTGCTGGATTTCTTTTGTACGACATTATTAGCTGTTCGGTATGACAGCTGACTGGCTGGAGCCGTCAGTTTTCCACAATAATTTTCCGGCCTCGGATCTTAGAGCACAACCCGAGGATCTAGCACTCATTCCAGAATATACCCTCAGATGGAAAGATTGCTTGAAGTCAGAATGTGTGCCCGCATGCAAGCCAAAAAAAAACCCATCCAGCTCACTGTACCGAGAGTCCATCTGAGAACCCAACAAGAATGGGCATATCCCACTTGTATCGTTTGAAGCAAGTCTCACAAAGTATGTTGCCTACACAACTGTGGAGTGTTCTGCCTTCGTGCAATTGTGTCTGCCTAAACATTAGCAAACCAGCACATACGAATATAGTTTAGATTCCACTCCATGAGTATCTTCTCTATGTACAGATACTGAAATGAAGGTTTGATCACTCGAAGTACTTCTTCATTGGCATGTTGAACAACAATGTACAGTTTGTGGGACCATAATATACAGCTCACAATATTTTTTTTTCCAAATAATGGGAGCTTTTCTCTGAAAGCACTTGGTTGGTTGTGCAAATCGTTTCTTGTCAATGTGCGCCTCCTTCCCTGCCGTAAGAACATCTGTGAGTTCCGCAAAGAAGTGGATGCAGTAGTGGTGCAGTGCACGGAGCTGCTTGTGCATATACAGGAGAGTAGACGGAGTGTGCGGACGGTGGTCAAACAGGTGGGGGTGATGGGGTGTGGGCAACGTTGCATGTTATGGTAACGTCACTTATCTTGTGATGCTAAAAAACGGCATGGCATGTGAGGAGCAGAGCCTGACAGAAGCAGGGCAGGAAATATGGTTGTGAAACTCGGTGACCTAGTGAATGCTAGGACAGAGCTTTAAGGTGTGATTACAATGCATTTGTGGGACCACGTGTCAACATATATTTCTATCTTGTTATAGGCCAGATAGGTGCATGCTCATAGAAAGTACAGCACATTAGCACAAAACCACCATGTATGCTAGTTTCTAGCCTATTATGTTATTCTAATATGGTATCAGACTAGGTTAGGTCCCCCGCTTACACTTCCGCCCTAGCCCTTGCCCTAGCCCTACCTAGCCCTAGCCTGCGCCCTAGCTCTCGCCCTAGCCCGCTGCCCTCCCTCCCTCCCCCCCCCCGAGCGCGCCGCACAGCCCCTAGCCCGCCGCTGCCCCTTTTTCGCACGCCACGCGGTTCTTAGCCCGCCGCCGGCCCCGCCTGCCCTTGTCGCGGACCCCGTGCTCGCCGGCCCCTAGCGCGCCGGCCCCTAGCTCGTTGGTCCCGCTTTCGCGCCGGCCCCTAGCTCGCCGGCCCCAGCTCGCGCCGGCCCCAATCCGCGCCGGCCCCAGTCCGCGCCGGCCCCAACTCGCACCTGGCCCAGCCGCTGCCGGCCCCGTTTCGCGCCGACCTCTGTCCGTGCTGGCCCCAGTCCGCGCTGCCCCAGCTCTAGCCGAGCCGCGTCGCCGTGCCGCCGTGCCGCTATATCGCCGCCTTGCCAAGCCGCCGTGCCCCTGTGCCGCCCCGACCCGCCGGCCTTGGTTCCCCTCTGCGCCGGCGCTTCCGCCGGCCGTCTCCACCACCGCTCTCCACCGCACTGCACCACCCTTTGCTGATCTGACATGTCCCTACCCGCTTCGTTGTCTCCTCCTCCTCTAGCGGTTGTCTGCTGCTGCAGCCGTGGTGATGGCGGACTCTGTGCTCCGTCTGAACGTGGAGGGTTGGGCGGTCGACTTTGAGGCGTGGCACGCCGACCTCCGCCGCCACCTGAGAGGCCAACGCAAGGAGGGTAAGTCCCTGGCCGTCCACGTCGACGGTAAGCTCCCCTGCACTGACACGCCTGCTGCGCTCCCTGACGCCCCCACGCCCGCTGAGCGTGAGGCCTTTGCCACTGCTGAGCTTGCCCACTCTGTCTGGGAGTCGTGCGATGCTGTTGTGCAGATGGCAATCAATCATGCCCTCCCCTTGTCCGAGCGTCCCCACTACCAGGCTGTCGTGACTGCGAAGAACTATCTCGATGCTGTCATTGCGCGCTATTCTAATCCCTCTTCTTCCTCTGCTGGTCGTCTCCTTCTCCCCCTGTTCTTTCATGATTTTGCATCCTTCCCCACTGTCACTGACCACGCCACCCACCTGCGCGCCCTTGATACTAGCTACCGCGTTGCTAGCACTGAGGCTCATATCACTGTACAGCATCCCCCCATCAGCAAAACCCTCTATTTCCTTGGCACGCGTCTTCTTGACCGCCTCGTCACTGCCCGCGACCACTTCCTGAGCCTCCACCCTGCTGGCCACATCCTCACTGACTTTGTCACCACCCTGTCCACTATAGAGACCCGCTAGTGCACCATCGCTCAGTCTAGCGGTACAACGGCGGTCCCTATCTTCCAAGATTGTGCTCCCTCCCAGTGCACTTACTCTGACGTCTTTGCCGCAATTGCTGAGACGGCCCCTGCTACTGAGACTGCCGCGGCGGCCTCAGTGCAGTCTTATCGGGGTAGGGATCGCCAGACCCGATGGGGGGGGGGGGGGGGGGGCATGGCGACGGGAGGGGTTGCGGGGGTGGCGGGAGTGGCGGAGGTGGCGGAGGTGGTGGAGGGGCCGGTGGTGCAGACAAGGGGACCGGGGCTGATGCCCTGACGTAGCAGCAGCAGCAGCAGCAGTAGCCCCAGCAGCACCAGCAGTAGAAGCAGACGTCGTGACCCCCACCGCCGTGGTGGCCTTGCGGCTTTGGTGGTGGTCGTCGTGATGGCGGATCGCGCAGCTCGGTGTCGGGTGGCGGCTCCAGTGTGGTGACCTGCTAATACCAAATTCAGACCGGCCCCCGCCGTACAACCGTCTGAGACCGTTCTGGTCACATCACTGCCCCCTGCTACCGCCACCTCGATGACCTCTTCCGTCTCCGCTTCGACCCTGCGCCGGACCTTCCTGACTGGCACAACCTGGTACGTCGCCATGTGCCGGTCTTTGAGATGAATATGGATCATATTCGCTCTTCCTTGTATGCTATCTATGCTGATGACTCAGTATGATTGGACCTTATTACCATGTATTGCCCAATGAAGGTGCATCCCCTGTGTGTAGTCTAGGCTCCCATGCTACGTCAGGCGTAGGACCTCTAGCTTTGTTTAGCCTAGGCCCTTCCCTGTCCGGCGGTTCCCTCAGACTCCCTTACAGGCTTGCACATCCCCTCGTTCTCCAGGAACCTAGTTGGTGTTGGATGTCTTCAAGACCTCGGCGCCACCACTACGTTCCTTGGACATGAGCGGTTCGTAGGCTGTACCGAGGCCGTCACTGGTGCCCTTCTCACCGCGTTCCCCCGGGACCCAGTGTCTGGCCAGTTTACGCTCGATGCT